TAAAATCTCAAAAAGTATCATGGATAAGAAGGCTGTTTACAACAAATTCTAAATTCAACAATATCTTAAATAACATGGTAAAAAATACAAACCCAATAGAAATGGGCTCAAATTACTTGAAAACACACATCATCCTAAAACTTAAAAACCTTTTCTGGAAAGATGTTCTGGATGCTTGGGCTGATTTACAAGAACGGTATCCTTATACGAAATCCGACTTTTGCAAACAGTATATTTGGGCAAATAACAATATAAAAATTGGAAACAAATCTATACTATATGAACACTACTTAAAAGCAAATGTAAAATTTATAAATGACGTACTAAAAGATGATGAATCCTTTCTGTCTTTCACTGAGTTTAAAGAGATGCATAGAGTAGAGACAAATTTCTTAGAATATGCGGGATTAGTATCTTCAATAAAACAATATTCAAAGCAAGAAGCTACGCTATTGACAAAGCAAAGACATTTACCCTTTATTCCCCCGAATGTAAAAATACTCTATGAAAATAAGAGAGGCTGCCATATTTTCTACACAACGCTACTAAACAAGGCTAAATCTATTCCAAGTTTAGGATATCAATGTAAATGGGAAAACGACCTTCATCACAGTTTTCCACCTGACTTATGGAATACCTATCACTTTATACCATTCAGAGCTGTTCATAACACTAATGAAAGATGGTTTCAATATCGTATTGTCCACAGAATTCTCACAACCAATAAAGACTTATACAACTATAATATATTAGAATCACCACTATGTACATTTTGCAAGCCTGAAAAAGAAACAACTGTGCATTTGATGTTTGAATGCAGATACGTAAATAGGCTGTGGCAAGACCTTTTAAATTGGATTGAAGATAAAACAGACACTACTATAAACCTGGATCCGAAAACAATCCTTTTGGGCTTTCATGAAAAACGTAACGATGTTCTGAACTTGATATTTATCATAACAAAGGAATATATATATTCCAGAAAACTAGCAAATATACGTCCAACCCTTGAAAGTCTCAAAGCCAAATTAAACCACAGTTACAATCTCCACAAATATAATGCATACTCTGTATGCAAATATAGCAAGTTCACGACTTTCTGGTCATCATGCCACAACTTATTTACATAACCTACTCGATCTCACTTATGCTTGTTACTTATTGTGCTGTGTATTTGAAATAATGTTGTGTATGAATGATAAAACTGTACAAATGCGTAAAAAAGAAATAAAGTGAAAAAAAACAAAAAAACTTTGCACGTTGCGTTTACATTATGCTCTCTCTATATATCTCCGTCTTCAACGTTTCACAAAACTGATCTTCAAGCTCTATATGGCCAACTCCCGAAGCCCTATATTATTATGGGAGATTTAAATGGGCACAACCCACTCTGGGGTAGTGCAAATACAAACGCTAAAGGTAAACTACTGGAGGAGTTTTGTTCAGATAATGATTTATGTATTTATGATGATGGTTCCAACACATATTTACACCCTGGTACAGGAACCTATTCTGCTCTCGACTTGTCAGTCACAAATTCAGAACTACTAAATGAATTTGAATGGTCAGTCCACGATGACCTCTGTGGTAGTGACCATTTTCCTACTATACTAAAACCTGTAACTCCATCTGATGTACCTCCATCATCAAGGCGGAATTTTAAAAAGGCTCACTGGGCTTTATATGAAACACTGTGCGCTACAAAACTTAAACCTGAACTTTTTAATGACGTTCCTGATGCTGTCAACTGTTTTTCTGATGAACTGAATACCATAGAGTGTATACCACAGTCCTCTGCAATTCCACATATCCGAAAACCAGGGTTCAACGATGAGTGCAAACAAGCTAGGGAGGCCAGAACATTATTTCCGTCGCCATCCTATGGTGCATAATTTAAATAAATTTAAAATGTCAAATGCTAAAGCGCAGCGTACTTTTAAACAGAATAAACGCCAATCTTGGCAAAATTATGTATCCAAAATAAATTCTCGAACGCCCATGTCCAAGGTATTGAACATAGTCCAGACAATTAAAGGTAAAGGTACTAAATCTAGTGTCATCTTAAACATGGAGATCAATTACTTACCAATAAATCAGATATTGCGAATAAACTTGGTGAAACTCTCGCTAAACACCCTTTCTCTTCTAATTATGTGCCTAAATTCCAATAATATCAAAAACATCAAGAAAAGGAAAACTATTAATTTCAATTCAGATAATGGGGAAGATTATAATGAAACACTTTCGATTCATGAACTCCATACTGCTCTTCATCAAGCTAACGATACTGCTACAGGTGCTGATAACATGCATTATCAACTCCTGAAGCACTTACCAGAATCATGTTTAGAGACGCTCTTGCACCTTTTTGATGATATTTGGACATCAGGTAAATTTCCTCCTTCATGGCATGACGCTATAGTACTACCAATACCTAAACCTGGACGTGATCATACAGATCCGTCAAATTACCGAACTATTTCACCAACTAGCTGTGTTTCCAAAACCATGGAACGAATGATAAATAATCGACTTGTTTGGTGCTTGGAAACACATAACCTTTTAACAGATATACAATGTGGTTTCCGTAAAAACAGAAGTACTGTCGATCACTTAGTGCGTTTGGAATCATTTGTTAAAAACGAACTAATTAATAAACAACAGGCTGTGTCTATATTTTTTTATCTTGAAAAGGCATATGACACTACGTGGAAATATGGCATTCCAAGAGATTTACATGGCTTTGGATTGCGAGGCCGTTTGCCTCAATTTATAGCCAACTTTTTAAATGACAGACAATTTCAAGTCCGAGTGGGTTCAACCCTGTCTGATCATTACAATCAGGATCAGGGTGTTCCACAAGGCAGTATTTTGTCTGTCACACTATTTAGTATAAAGATAAATAGTTTATCAAAAGTTTTAATCGATTCGATAGATGGATCGTTATTTGTGGATGATTTTAACATTTCTTGTCTTGTCTGATCATTACAATCAGGATCAGGGTGTTCCACAAGGCAGTATTTTGTCTGTCACACTATTTAGTATAAAGATAAATAGTTTATCAAAAGTTTTAATCGATTCAATAGATGGATCGTTATTTGTGGATGATTTTAACATTTCTTGTCGTGGTAAAAATATGCATACTATTGAACGGCAACTGCAGTTGTGTTTAAACAAGATAAATAAATAGTGTCTTGAAAACGGCATTACATTTTCTAAATCCAAAACTAATTGCATACATTTCTGCCGTAAATACAAACCACATAAAGACCCTGAACTATCTCTAGATGGCACTCCCATCAAAGTTGTCAAGGAGGCCAAGTTCTTGGGTTTAATGTTTGACTCACACTTAACGTTTCTGCCACATATTAAATCCCTGCATGTCCTGCTTGACTGTGTTGAATATTCCACCACAAAGGATATCTATTTCAAATCACGAACTATGAAGGATCTTTTTAGTAATATATGTTCTCATTTAATTATTGCATTTTTAAAAGAATTAGATTTGGTAACTGATTTGTAAATAGATATACATTTTATGATTGGAGGTTTGAATTAATAACTCAGATTGTTTGTGGCTGTATCATCAAGGGGGGTTAAAGTACTGTAAAATGATTGTCCTCCTGAGAGGATACGTAAGTCCACAAACATTCAAAGTAAATTGAATCTCTCCGCTATTTTTAATCGTAGAATATATGTGTTTTTAAATGTATGGCTAGATTTGTCTACGTTGCTAACGGCTGAGGGGATGGTGTAAATCCAGCTAGGGTCCATGCAGGAAGCAAATGTACTGTAAGTCCCCATGGTGATCTACCTTCAGTCGTTGGCAATCTATAGCTTGTTTTTATATTGTATTGCCATTTATAGTTCCAATATTTTAGATTTAATTGCTAGTTTTAAATGGATATCTGTGATGCACTAGTAGTTTTACTGTTCTTCGTCAACAGGTTTTTTAATTTCTAACTTCATTGATCTTTATTATAATTATAAAATGTTCTCGTCACGATATGGCTGAAATATTGCCGATGTGACGATAAATCCTAAGTCACTCACTCACTTAGCATATTGCAATTATAAGCTAGTCCATGCAGCATTGTTTAACACTCGTGACGGGTCAGAATTGATCTTCAGCTACCCTTGCACGTTGCAAAAAGTGTCAAACGAACTCGGAGGGTCAGGTTTGTTGACGTGGTAGAAGCTGATGCTGTTGATGTCAATCACTGGATTATTTGGTGCGGACTCGCAGGCATCCATCATGTAGCCGGTATATTGCTGAGTGCGGAGTTAAGCGACAGAGTTTTTGTTGAAAACCCATTTTCACGTAATCAACCGACGCGTATTATTAGCTGCCTTGGGGGACTGTTCTTTTTCTATGCATACCACCCCTTATTTGGGACGGATACTTGAAGCAGAGGATACATACATCAACTATGATGTTTATTTCATCAGAAAACATTTTATGGGAATAAGAATGCTCATGAAATGGTCAGGTTTCAATTTGTCATTACACATAGTTTCATATAAAAGCCAGTTTTGTTTTATTCCATGAAAGCTTTCAAATGAAAAGAGTCAGTTTTAAGATTCAAGATGATGATCTTCCACACCTAGGCCTGATAAATTACCTAATTTGAGTTCACTCATCTGCATATGGTCCCATTTATGGGACACAGTTTTGCATCGTAAAAAGAGTATGGAAAAGTTATTTACTTGTAAAATGACACCTCATTCCTTTCATTTTTGCCCAAAGAAACTAGCTCACAAACTTTGATTAAAATCTGAGACCCTATGCATAGATGGGTTAATATTATAGTCACACTACACCTAGCCAAAACAGACTGACCACATATTGGTTATCTTCCTCAAGTTTCGGTATGGTGAGTGAGTGAGTCGGTTTGTTTTTGACGCCGCTTTTAGCAATATTCTAGCAATATCACCAGAAATGTGCTTTCGTAATGGCAATCGTGACAAGGACATACGGTTTTATAAATATGAGCACTCACCTCGGGTAAGTAAATGGATAATTCGGAGAATATATGTACTCGTTGCTGTAAGAAGCAGATCGCTCCTCGGTCTCAGAAACTGAAATATAAATATGTAAACAACATAACTTAGACGTGTGTGTTTATGTATGTCTGTCTGTTTGTTTGTCTATTGAACGATATATTTGTCTAAATGGGAACGTAAAACACCACCAGTCAGTTCCTGGTAACTTAAGTAGTATGCATACAATTGATGTACAAATTGAAATGTCGTTTTTGAAGTCTTAACACGAAAACCATCTCTTGAAACGTGATGGATCTATTTTAACCAAGTGACCTCAAAACGATTCGGGAAACGGTAGACGTCTTGAGTACGCGCTTCCAAACACACAGTGTCATAAACAAGAACATGCTTCGGCTAGTTTTGCCTTTGAGTACAAAATCCAATATAAAGATCACTGTCCAGGCATATGTTCTGCAGAGGTTACATACAATATCATATTTGTCCAGTGTTGGAATTGCGCATACACGTTTTCTTACCTCTAAAGTGTCCGGCTTTGAGTTGCATTTGAAATCCTTTGTTTCTGGTTCCTGAGTCAGAGTGAAACCTTACGGTGATGATGTGGCCGGAACTGATGTAATCAGTGTCGTCATCGCCACAAAACCTCCCGGCACTTGACGAACTGGTTCTTACTCCTGAAGACAAAAACGTGTTCACGCAAATCAATAATTTACAATTATGATATGAATAGTATCTTTGTGATATTAATTGTATATAATTGCATGTGACATTGCATTGAACACGTGTATTTCAGGGATACTAATGTGCTTTGCATACTGCCTGATGAAAAGCTTAGACACATACACACACACACACACACACACACACACACACACACACACACACACACACACACACACACACACACACACACACACACACACACCTCTTCCTCACTACCTTATGTTTATATCTTGTTGTTCAAATGACACATAGAAATATCGGTGTGTCGCCATATTCCTATGTCACATTTATCAAATGATTTCAAACCGCTTCCGTGGTGTAGTGGCTAGGGCGTCCGCGGAAAGGTTCGATCCCCGACCGCGTCGTACCAAAAGACGTTAAAATATTGTTCTTGTTGGTCCCTGCCTGGCGCTCGGCATTAATGGGTACAAGAAGGATTGGTCAGCTTGGAGTCAGTATAATGTGTCTTAGTGGGGTATTCATGTTAGAGCGTCCGCCTGGAGAGTGGAAGGTCGCGGGTTCGATCCCCGACCGCGTCATACCAAAAGACGTTAAAATATGGTACTTGTTGGTCCCTGTCTGACGTTCGGCATTAATGGGTACAACAAGGACTGGTCGGCTCGGAGTCAGTATAATGTGTCTTAGTGGGGTATTCATGTTCACTGCGGCATGGTATCTCAGTGGGCTAGCACCATAAAACCAGCTTAAGTCTGGGCTAGTACAAGCAGCCGCACATACACATACACACGCATGCACGTCGTCATATGAGCGAAATATTCTCAAGCATGACGTTAAACCCAATTTCACCTCACCTCAACTCACCTCACCTCACCTCACATAATTTCAAGAATAATTACCATCGTATATTTCCAGGAAATCGTATGTACATTGGGATGTTGATTCAAACAATGCGTTCCTGACTTTAGCTTCAATATTCGTGTTTGTTGCAGCATGTATGGTCCAGCTGCATTCCTGGTTGCTGAAAAGACATCACAACAGACTGATTGATGCCATTCTGATCAGAGCACACAAGAATCTAGACGAAAGAGATGTACATTTGCTCGCCCATGATGTTATATATGTTGTAAAGGAAAATATTCATGCTACACAGTAAGCAGATATATCTTAAAAACTACACATTTTCCTTCAAAGATATCAGGAATGTTTTGTTTTCGTTCTAAAAGTCGTGGTGTTTTTGACAAATTTAAACTTACACATACACTGTATGTTTGTATACATATGTTTTAATTTAATGTTCTCACTTTCAATAGTACCGACAAAACCCTTTATACATCCTTAAGTAGTCTCTGCTAAAAGCAGTCGATTGTACAGTTGTGACTTTATATATTAGTTTCAGCAGTATTACAGCTGTGCGATGTTGTTTGTAAACAAATCGAGTCTGGATGTGACAATCCAGTGATTGTCACCATGCGGTTCGATAATTTAAATCTCCATGAAATAGTGATAATACCAGGTGTTCACGAAAAGGTGAGCGTATATATCACCCCACCGGTCGCACCCGTCATGAACATATACAAAGTATAATTTCGAAATGTCCTCCACATGTCTACTATAAAAAAAAACGTTTAAATACTTTACTGAAGCCCCGAATGTTATAACCTTGATTGAACAAGTTCTGAGCGAGGTGGTATGAAACTCTATGAAATTTTGTTAAAAGGGAAGCTCGATTGTACCTCAAAAGTTGTGAAATGTAAACACCAAAGGCTGGGGCTGTTGCGATATTTTTCAGTTTGCAGTTTAATAATGTAAACATAAACTGACGTTCAAAAGAAAGTACACACCTGATTCTTTGGTAAAATGTTTTCTTTAAAACAGCATTGATATTTTAAAAAGCGTTTTGATTCTGCCTTGTCACATGCATTGTGCAAGTGTTTCCAAAACACCACAGATATTGTACCCAATTACAACATTGCTAGCAAAATATTTATGATGTTATTTTGAATAGCCCCAAAACACCAGGTGTGTACTTTCTTATGTACGTCAGTATATTATCTGACAAAATTAGTAGCCAACATCAACTGGATGAGATCCTTTTTGAAAAAGGTTTTGTTTGTATTCCATCTGCGTCTAGTTTCGCCAGCACACAAAGTAAGCCGCGTAACCCGCGCAGCCACCGAAACTTCCACAAAAATGGAAGTCGGTCAACTGGTAGTCTAGACTGCGGACTTGGTGTACCCCGCTGATAAGTGTAAATTGGCACGGCACCCACGGCCGAAGTCTATGATGTGTGCTAGCGATTAGGTGCCTGACTCTGAGGGTGTGGGTTCGAATCCCGGATGGCACCCAGCAAAAGTACTAGAATCTGTACTTTACTAAGAAAGTGTAATCCCAAATATAACATATGTTACATTTTACCACTTTCAAAATGGCAAAATTGTGTATTCATGACACAGCTTCTGGTCGTATTGTAATGAGCTGATGTAGTACAGTTATCCAGGACCTATTGAATATTGTCCACACACTGTCAATGGTTGACCTGCTCTTATTTTGTTACTATTTCCGTATGCTATATTGAGTGGGGGATTTAAGTCTGATATTTTAGGTATCGTCTATTTATGCTGTTGACAATTAAACTGAATACAAATCTCTTGCGTCATATATGACTCATATATCACACGGTCATTCATAACCGATGTACATTGAGTGGAATCACGTGCACGCATGCACCGTTCGTCATTACTTGTAGGCTGTTATACATGTTCTTACTTCGGGTATGGTCCAGGGTAGTTAGGGGATGTTATGGTTGTGTAGTCAGTCGTCGTTATATTCAGAGCACCCCCACAGTGGTATCGTTCTGAAAAAGATTAATTTATTTTTGAGTGAGTTTATTTGAAGCTGACGCTATCTAATGAACATTCTGTCAGGAATATAACATCGTGACATATTGTTACAGTCGTCACCGCTGGTAAAGAGTTGCTCAATCCAATGGTGCTGGCCAAGCAAAGATCGAATTTTGGGTAATTTGCAGTTGGAAACCATGATGATCAGAATTTTAACGGCTGCAACCTTTGCCAGATATTTGGAACGCTATTCCACCGATGCCCCTGGCTTGGAGCATCTGTCGCAATGTGCAATGTATGTATATTTACAGACAATACATTTACTTCACATAAGGGGAAAGGGGTTATTTGTGAAAAAATGGAATACCATTCGTTTCAAAGTATGCCAACTTGAAGCCTCTTTTAGCTGTTGATGCATCTGTATGAAAGTGAATTGTCACAGCTGATCCCGTGCTCTGAAAGGTAGGTCGTGAAGGGCCGCACCATGATGATAATGTGTCATTAAAGATTGATGGTCCTGGAAAGAATAAGTATGCTAGCATAGCATAAACGAAAGCAGGAAAATGCAAATGGGAAGTAATACATATCGAGGAGAGAAAGTTAAGCACTTTGCTAAGACCAAGAGGTTCCTATATGAGTTTTACAATGTCCAACAGCTCTTTAGTTGAAATGATGATGAGCATGAGACCAACTTTGACAGCAGACAAGCAACTCTAAATGTCCTGCAGATATACAAAACCTAAAATAACTTAAATGTTAACAAAATGACGAAGATGATACCTTTGATCAATCAGCAGGTTTTCATCTTAGATATATTTTCAAATAAGAAATACTGTTTTGTCAGTTTATGAATGCTTATTCTGTTAGTTTGAAATATTCAAAGCTTTCAAAGTGAATATCATATGACATTGCTTTCATTGTAACAAAGTGTTACTGTGTTTATTGACCAGTTGGAGGCGTGAGACTGTGGTGTACAAGATGAAAAATCAAATGTTTTGTTTTCTTTCCTGACATTGCAACATTTCAAGCAAATACTTTGCGATTTTGAGACTTCATACATTAGTAATTATTCTTTTCTCAAATACTGCTTGGAAATGTTTATGGTTAATCTGTGAGACGGACATGTGGATATTTGAAATGCGTTTGTTTTCTTTTCACAATATTCATACGTTGCAATCAGTAGACATTTCTGTATGAGATTTAAGTGAAATGAGGCATTCTCGATCCCATGTAGTTGTTGTAAAGAATAAGGCAGTGGAACTATTCATTGTACTTAGGCGTTATCAGTTTAACTCACCGTCGTAAGCCGTAACATGGTCATATCGGCAGGTTAGGTAAAGTCTATCATATGATTCTATATCTGAGTCGATGACTTCTATGCGCACCATCATATTTGGAGTAGAAGCCGTTATTGTCCACCGACAGTCTTCATTGCTGTAAGATGTATAAATTCAGTTCCGTAGGATCGTTATGTAAATGGAGACTGTGCTGTCTAATTTCTACCTTTATTCTCCATTCCATGATTTCATTATTAATAATTCGATAATGAAAAATAAAGTCATAATGTCACTGAATGAAGGTCAGCATACATCTACGAAATTTGAATGGCCAGGTGTATATAAACATTAAAAAGTAATCTGTCGATGTTGTGGAGAATTGATTTGTACTCTGTATCGGCCATCATGAAGTCGAACATATACGCACTCAAACAAGTACGCATGTATACACATGTAAATACGCAGCCACTACTTGAATACTTACTTTGGATATCGTACAGGGTACCCAGGGGACTGTAGGAATTGTCGATTTGTCGTCGCATGAAGGAACTGGGAGCCACAATCTCCAGACTGTACTGTAAATTTGACGAATTCAATCACACTACTTCAGAAAATTACACAGTTTAATAGCTACATGGTGTCCTAACATATCAATTCTGAGAGTGTGGGAACAAATCTCGGATGGGACTCAACCCAACAAAAGTACCAGAATCTGCACTTCACTGAGAAAGTGTATTCCCAAATATAATATATATCCCAAATTGACCCCTTTCTAATGATAGGTCCCCATGGTCCCTAGTATGGTGATCTACCTTCAGTTGTTGGCAATCTATAGCCCGTTTTTAAATTGTATTGTCATCTTTAGTTAAACTGTTTTAGATTTAATTTCTAGTTTTAAATTCGTCTCTGTGATAATCTAGTTATTTTACTGTCCTTCGTAGACAGCTTTTTATAATTTACTATTACTTACTATGTATACCAATTAATTGTTCTCGTCACGATATCGCTGTAATATTGCCGATGTGACGATAAATTTTAACTCACTCACTCACCCTTTCTAATGACACGATGGTGTATTAATCATTTATGTTCTTAAAATTTAGCTAGTTTTTACTTCTGCAAGTTAATTTTCTTCACATACCTCCCCGTGTGCTGTGGGAAGCACGGAGTCGGAAGCCCCGACCACTTGCGTCACCGTTGGTTTTGAATACCATTTTCATTATCATTCCGTTGGAGTAGTACGGACCCACTGGAGTTGTTGAAGAATCACCACAAAACTCTCCAATGCGGCTCCCTCTCTGACCTACATTCAAAACATTTTGACCCCTCACAAATTTGAATTAAACCTCCTTATTTCTCACATATTTTACTCTGAACTGGTCTGTCACTTGTTAATTGTTTTGATGAGTGTAACATAATTTGTAATCCTTTTAACACTTTGATGTTTGCACAATATGCATATAACTTAAGAATATTCAACCTGAAGATAATTTATTTTTGTCAAATGTACTTTTATTGTATTTAAGGAGTCTAAGCTTAATATAAGAGGCATGAAGAACAGGTTGAACTGGTTGTTTGTTTTGTTGTGTGTTTGTGTGTGTGTGTGTGTGTGTGTGTTTGTGTGTGCGTGCGTGCGCGTGCGTGCGTGCGTGCGTGTGTGTGTGTGTGTGTATTATTTTTTTATAGCACAGTATTTCATTACATCTTGTGTACTATATAATTTTCAAAAATCAAAATCTGTATTGAGAAAATACTAATCTCAACAGATATTAATATGGATTAAAATTCCTTTGTCAGGTTTTGTTCCTCAAGGTTCTCAATACAAGATCAGTAAGTTATGAGGAGTTTCACTTACGAGGAAGAGTTGTCTTAGGTTTTCCCTGACTACAATGCGCTAACAACTTGTGCTCTGGGTATACAACCCACAGATCTTGTTCCATTTTTGTTGTTGCAAAACAGTCACACACCTTGATAAAGAGTCACCGAGTCGTTTTCGCAGTTAGGGTAGGCGCCATCTAACTCTGAGTCGAAGATGTCTACTTTCAGGTTTCGTGGCGTTGATTGTGATACATCGGCCAGTGTTATGAAGCATTCCAAGTTGCTGAAACATTTGTAATCGTTATATATAGATTTAGCCCCATGCGGCATAAAGCAAGCGAATACTTAAAGACATTCCAGTCATATACGAATAGCGTAATTTTCCTTGAATACTGTTCCGATGAGCAGATGTACAGCATCATGTAAAATTAGACATCCACGTAACTGCATTGTACAGTGAAACCCTGTTTATCTGGACCTACCTTGCTTCTGTGAGACTGATTAAAAATGCAATATTGTGTTTTGATTCGTTATCCTGAATACGTGTTAAAGTGGAGCGGCGGCATAAGGTGAAACAACATTGATGATGTTACAGTACATTTAACATACCTTTCATACGAGTCGGGATATCCAGGTGACAGAATGATCACGGGTGTGGAATACACAGGATATGTATTATTGCAGTCACCAACTGTCAATATCAAATGTCTTTTTTGATACATTTCGCATTCAGTTTTCATTCTGTTGTCATCAAAATAAATTACACAAATACTCTTTTTGTGAAATATGACAATGGGGTAAACAGCACAAAATCCTGTCTGCAATTATGTATCCCAAACATCCTCAAAAGAAGTTAATCTGGTGATATTCAATATAATAATATATTATCTGTATAATGTATTCAATATTTTACACATACTATCGCCTGTGGTAACATTACCGCAGTTATGGACCTCTGAGTTCTTCCCTTCCTTGTGTAATGGTACATTTTGAGTAATCATTTTGCCTATTCCACTAGAGAGTATCAACTATTCAGAAATTATTTACTGAAACAACAAACAAATGGTGAAAACATTATCGTTACACTTAAGTATCTTAGGTATGACTCGCGTCCTGTCCTCTCTCACATTGTCGATATATCTAAATGTATAGTTCAGGGAGTTCAGAATAATATTGATGCAAGTAATCAGTGCCGAGACTGTCGTGTGTGATTCGACCAATACCACACAGTTACATCTGGATAAATGAGATCGCGTCATCAACGTCCCAATGTATTTACTGACATCAGTCCCTAGTATGGTGATCTACCTTCAGTTGTTGGCGATCTATAGCCCATTTTTAGATTGTGTTGTCCCCTATGGTTAAAATGTTTTAGATTCAATTACTAGTTTTACATGTCTATCTGTGATACTCTAGTTGTTTTACTGTCCTTCGTCGACAGGTGTATTATAATATACATATATTTTATTTCAATATCAAATGTTCTCGTCACGATATGGCTGAAATATTGCCGATGTGACGTTAAATAATAACTCACTCACTCACTACTGACATCAACACGAGTGTAATCTAAAGGCGAATACCTTTTCGTGCAGTATATTGTAGCCTGAAGCCTTGTTTGGTTGTGCCAACATCGGTGATAAACTGTACCACCAGCGAATTCTTCGAACTCTGGTATCTGGGCTTCTGGTTTGAACAGGATTGCCCTAGATATTGATCAGCTGGAATATCCAATTATTTCGTGACTCAGTCAACCTCATTATAATATGTATCATTATTACGTAAATGGGTTAATATCTAATACCAATTTTCAAGCATATATCAACAGACACACATTTGTTATCTGCAACCTACAGTGCACCAACGTTTTCATATTCCACACAAATTTGAAAAAGTTATTTGTTAACAGCTGCTACATTTGATGGGTTTCCACTTACAAACAATCTTTGAAACATTTTCGGACTTTTCGAACAGGTTTTAAATGGTTTTGGTTCCGTAACAGAGAAAATTATGTCTGAGTGTATTTATTAAGGTTTGTGCTAATGGAATCATTGTATTGGAACTGAAAATATCCTACATTCAGCAGCCATACACAACGTCGTGCATGAATGAGTGGCTGATCCTTAACGTCCCACGAATGGTTTTCCCAGCTGAAGATAATCGTATCTGGGAGAATCAGCTGATGGTATTATGAAAGCAAACAGGTCACAATTTTGCATCTGTGAGCACATTCTTCTCAAAGATACCAGAGCCCTAGCCTGACCTTAAACCCCAGTGGCATTACTAAGGTGAAACGATTTCACATGCTGTGGTACATGGCAAGCCCATGTATGAATGTAGGTGTACGATATTCGTTCCACATAACGACCCTAGTTTTACGTACAGATCGTTTAATTAGGCGTGCACATGATGGTTCAGGTGATATCATGTGCAATGCCGACAAATGAACCCGTCAGTACATAATGCAGTACCTTCAGTTGTATTTCCGTTATAAACATAAAGGGCATCATAACTGCACACATTTGCGCCATAGGTATCTTTCTCAATATCTGAATGTCGAATCGTCAGACCAACTGTATCGGTTTCATTTTCCGCTTTAATGATCCACGTGCAGTGAAGGTTACTGAAAACGCAATAAAGTGTTTGTATATTGAGTATTCAATATCACCTATCAATATCATGATGCTAGATAGGAGTGAGTGAGTGAGTGAGGTAATATTTAACGGCACATCGGCAATATCTCAGCCATATCGTGACGAAAAAAATTATACAATATAAAGAGAAAACATTTTGAAGATTAAAACCTGTCGACGATGGACAGTAAAAATACTAGAGAATCACAGATATGAATAAAACTAGCGAGCAAAGCTAAAACATTTCAATTAAAGAGGACAATACAGTATAAAAGTGCTAGATAGGAATTTGAGTGTGTGAGTATGGTTTTACGCCGCTTTTAGCAATGTGAATATTCCAGCCCTATCACGGCGGGGGACACCAGAAATGGGCTTCACACATTGTACCCATGTGGGGAATCGAACCCGGGTCTTCGGCGTGATGAGCGGACGCTTTAAACATTAGGCTACCCCACCGCCCGATAGGAACATGAACAAACAGACGCTATGTGTTATGACGTTATGTGATGTACAGCTCATTGCATTTGTGATCCTTAACATATCACGAGTATAAATGCATACTAATGATTATTCAGTATCAGGATAACTTCTGTCCCTTATAAACATAAATATATAGCATTCACGAATTGGTAAATTGAGACGTTAACAGCTAAAGACATGACAGATTTCAACAACGATTCGTAGTGAATAAGCATCAACTTACTTGAAGTAGGTGTAAGGATACCCCGGAGAAGTGAGGTTTTGTGGCTGAGATGTTGCTGTCAACGTTCCACCACATCCTACAAAGACAACAGTTTCGAATTATTGGATAACGTTGAGTGAGTGAGTGAGTTATTATTTAACGTCACATCGGCAATATTTCAGCCATATCGTGACGAGAACATATGTGACATTGAAATGGAAGATATGTATATTATAAAAACCTGTCGACGAAGGACAGTAAAACAACCAGAATATCACAATTACAACTAAAACTAGTGTGGAAAATTCAAACTAATAGCACTATTTGGACAATACAATATAAAAACTGGCTATAGATCGCCAAGGGAAACGTTGAATACCACAGGGATAGATTTTCAGTATTCTTAAAACGTTGAGTATCCGTAGGTATCGGTGTTGGCGAAACTGGCAAATTAAACGAATCTGTCATGAACAGAAGGTTATTGCTAAAAGACATATCAGTGAAACAGTTCCGTATTTTTTATACTTACGTGTTTTGCCAACCATTTATGAAGTATATCAAGCTTAAATACTGTCAAAGCTCAGGGTTTTGTTGAAACGTGTCAACATTTCACGTTGTCTTGTTTTCAATGTGTTACAGTGGTGAAACTTTCTGTACATTTTTCTAACTCACGGACTGAGAAAACAAAACATTTTGGGATGACAGGTAATTATAATTTTCAGAATCAATCATGGCGTTCATGTGTCTAGATCTAAAATGAAGGGGGTACACTCACTTTCAACATCAATAATGTTGATGAGAAACCCCACTGCATTCCAGAAAGAATCAGAGATAAACTCTATGTACATGCTGTTGCTGCTGCTGAGGAAACTGCTCGGGGTCGCCCTTCTGCCGCAAAATGTGAACATGGATCCATTTGATTTGTCTGGCCCTGGTGACAAAAATATCACAAACATTTTGACGACAGACGTCAGACACGTTTTCATGTTATTGCAGTTATTGATGAATTAATTTAATTAATTTTAACAATAGATAAAGACAATATACTGAAACATAACAATCCTTTATTATACACAAGAAAATCTAAAGCGCCCAATTCTCATAGTTACAAGGTGGGTAAACACTTGGGCCTGAATTAGGACCATGACAATCCTTCCCACACGTAAGGGTCTAGTGCTCACAATTGGGAACAATGAGATAACGGACAACGACTATTGCTCATATTATGAACCTCTTGTTTCTTGGTATATGGGGAACTTGAAAGACTGCACCTGTATGTACTAAACCTATAGACACTGAGAATGGTATGGTTTGGGGCAAAATTGCACAGTGACTCTAGGAAATTATCTAAATTATCCCTCCTTGGACATAAAGTTATTGTTAAATGATGAACTATTTGGAAAGTAAGTGTAAACATAAAGTGACTACATATATCAAACTTCTGAAGAACAAACATTACTTTTCAAAACATCAACCTAATCCTGTTGGATAGGAGCAAGTCTTCAAAGATCGCAATATGTATAGTATCATAAAGAAATATTGTGCAAATGTTTAATCTTACTTATGTTAAATAATTTAGAACATATAAGTAAACCATAATCTACCCATTGGTGGAGGTGGAGAAATATTCCTTATGACCGAAAGAAAAAAACACATTTTGTAATTGGAAGGATCTGACGCAAGAGAAGAATTCCATTGTCCATCTTTAGAAATTATACACATATTTTACTGCAATCGATTCGATATATGTAAAACTAATTCACATTTCAATAATCCACGATGAGGTAACATTGAGAATTTTTTGTGTAAAAGTCATTGTTACCCTTGATAATATGTGTACATATCATGAAGGCTCGACGAGGATGTTTTATATATAGCCTACATCTATATGTATAGGTATTATGTTGTTTCGTACAACTCATGTAGGTGGTAGGGGCCTGAATGAAAATAACAATGCTATTCAGTTGGCATCGCAAGGGCTCAGGTTGAAACCATGTGTACTCTTGACCAAAAAATTCAAATGATATACGTACCATTATAGAAGGACAGACTGTCATATGTGCAATTTTTGGACGAATGCAAGGAAAAGTATGCAATGTGAATGCCAACTCGACGATCTGGTGTCAATGTGTGTATCTTCCATCCGCATGTTAAGTTACTAGAATAAACGGTATTAAATCAATATTAACAATGTTTCCATAGTACCAAATCATGAAGAGCATTATGATTACAAAAATGACAGTCTAGATAAATAATAATTATGACTCAACATCATTGATCGATGTGAGTCATGTTACATCCCCGAATACAGGGGTGTATATTCTTTCTCAACTATGGCATCAATGGAAGCATATGAATATACGTACGTTCATATACGTATGAATGTACCTAATTTCATCCAGCCAGCCTGCCAAACCCACCCATCCATCCATCCACACACACACACACCCATCCTTCCATCCATCCATCCATCATGCATGCATACATACATACATACACAGACAAACACATATACATACATACATACATACATACATACATACATACATACATACATACATACATACATACATACATACATACATACATACATACATACATACATACATACATACATACATACATACATACATACTCACAACGGTTCGGATGTCTTCTTAATATACGTGGTTTAGTAAATACTTGCATCAACTGTGATAACACCATAGATACCCGATAAATAATCACGCATTAACATATATATTTGCTCAAGAGAAAATATTCAAATAAGTTCATCATAAATCAAATATTATTTCTTGAAAAAGTATTCATAGGCAACATTTTCATGATAAAATGGTTATAAGCTAAAGCAATGTGGCAAGATCCTTTACATAGTCAATTAAAAACTGATGCCTCGGCCCTCGTATCTTGAGCATACCATGGCTCTACATAAGAATTTTCTAAGCACATGGTCTTATGTAATTGATCGTTCTGAAGTAAGCGTCCATTCTCACATTGCACTAGTGAGAAAACAAACATTTGATGCTTACGCGCCATAAGGTTTTGGATATCCTGGCGATGTTATGTTTACTGTGTCCCCGGTAAGTGTGATTTCCTGGAAACATCTGTCTGGAAAGATAATCAATGACACACACACATACATGAATTTGAAATTGTGTTTCGAAAAGAAAAAGGATGATATTATAGGAACCGTACAATTGACTCTTTTATGGCTTTTAGCAGTTGTTTGTTTAGATAGCGTCTGTATGTAACTATAGTTAGTTACCGTACAGTTAAAATCAAGTTCCTAGTCAGATATGTTTTTATTCTAAATAAGTAATGTTGACCAGGTGGATAAAAATATACTATAAGTCATAATTTCAAATATCTAACAAATTGAATGCATCCTTCTCAACAGTCGATATGTCTATTGTTCAATCACGGATTTAACCCTCTAGGCTGGTTAATCACTGTCAGACTGAGGTGTCGTTTTAAACTGCACGTATTGTCAGCATCACGCCCCCACCCCAAGCACAATGCCAACTAACGTAATCCACACGAACCCCGAGAACAATGCCAAGTACTACAGAGTCGCATAACGTCATGTAAAAACCTTTATCCTGACGTCACATCTTAAGCATCCTTTTTTACACAGATTACCCTTAAGTATACAGATATGGATGCGTAAACATGAACAAATCAAGTTCTCGGTCAGATAAATACCTAAATACAATTTCTAAAAGTTATTTATTTTCCAAATAATTAATGTTGAGACTTTGGGCCTAAAGTGTCCTTGGCATTCACTAATTTTTCATTCTTTCAGTTCTTATGCTCCCTGGGTTTTTACCAACTGGTGAACGCACAGGTAAATGATTTTTGACCTTGTTTAACTGTGAGCATTCAACGGATCCAGATATAACTTGAAAAGTAGGTTGCCGGGTCGTTTCACAGTTATTGATTCCCATGCACGTCTTAATAAGGAACCACTACTGAAAGGTATACGATCACTTTTACGCAGACAGATATAGTCAGTATTTAATTCTTAAGAACAACACATTTGATACAATCGGAGTCGGTCCATAGATTGTGCTGTCGAGACATACCTTTCTTATGATTATTGACATTGATTTTAACACTATCTATATTTCAACACCGTAAATATATATAAACCTGTGTACTGCCCGTACGAATTATGTTTGTAAGTAAGCATGTTATGCGGATTGTACGAAGTTCGGATCATTTAATACAAGTCATTAAGAAGAATCAAGGAACAAGACACTGAATCAGATAAACGCCTATCCCAGCGTCGCGCAGTGTCAATATCTACCTGTGGAAGCCTGATTGTTTTTACCTGTACTTGCAGCATGCAATGAAGACAGAGTTCCGAGAAATACGGCTATAGTTTTGTATATCCCCAACATTTGTTAGAATCCCGGCTAAGCATACATCCAACAGACTCGGGTGGCCAGTGTAATGGCGAGATGTTCTTAGGCGGTGACGATATGAGGTCACGTTGTGAGATCAGCAGTACAGACTGCTTGTTTGCTTAGTATTGGTGGGCGTTTCAGCGATGCACAAGTATCTTGAGAACGGGAACGTTGTTCTATCGACGATTACAAGCATCACTCTGGCAGTGATACTTCGGTATCTCGAACTAATAGCTCGTACTAACGGTTGACGGTGTAATTTCATGGACCCGACATTACCGAAATGACATTTAGTTCACCGCACCTTATAGTTAACTATTTGTCCGCATTGTTTTCTGAATATTGCCTTGACTATTGCTTACATTTACAATGCTGTTCCTAGAGAATGTTTGTGCATCAAATACATGTACCATCATGTCTACATCACCGAATGGCACAACTGATGTGTTCATGTTATTTTGTTCGCCGTCAAACAGTGATGGGAGCACGAACCTCACAATTACCCTATGGCACAGTGCACAACTATAGCCACTCTCTGCACTCTCTAAGCACCACCCATTTTAGATATTCGTAGTAATATTTTATACAATTAACTATGTTTCTTTATTTTGGTATATTGTGTATAATATATGTATATTTTATGCTGTTATAGTCTCTCATAACTCTAAATGGAGTGGCTAATGTTTTATGTAATATATGTGCTTATTAATATGTTGTATGCTTTTAAAATGTACCAAATGAGGTGAGACTGTAATAAATAATTATCTATCTGCCTTAGGTTCACGCTACCTTTTCACATAACTCTTTGCAAAAAAAGAAGTACAGCAATATATGGTCGGGTTGTCTTGGATGTTTTCTTAAAGGGCTGATTTGGAGTCACGTTTTACACTGAAGTCTGATGCGCTTTGATTCGGGTTATGGGAGCCCTAGATACTCTACATAAGCCTGTCCACAATTGCATGGAACATGGTAGACTGTTCCCCCGTGGTGGTTGTTTCGGGCTGATACTTGTATGTATACTTCTCTATCTCATTCTGTTCATCACTTGCTTGATAAAGGTGTTAGAACCAACACTGAAACGTCGCTCTCACTGTAATAAAGAAGTTGTTCATCCTTGTATTGTTATTCTTCCTTACTGCCCCAGCTTCTAAATGCCATTCAAAGAAGTTATATTTCTGTGATATTTGTTTTTTTTTCTGTATATGTGGAGGGGAGTTGACAGCAACACCTGAGGAAACAATCTTTCTATCACCTGGATTTCCCTACTGGCATGCAAAGTAAGTACATCTAAGAATGTAATAATTAGTGTTTCGCATTAGTGCTCATTGTTCATAAAATGCTATGAATACCCCGTTAAGTTAAAACATAACCTGAAAGTAAATGCTGGTGTGGTAGCCTAGTGGTTAAAGTGTATATTTGTTGCGTCGAAGACACAGTTCGATTCCCCTCATGGTTATTTTGATTGTAAATAGCACTGTAAGTGTTATTCTGGCGATAAAAGAACAACCCTGAATGTCAGGACACCATGTCAATACTAAAATGTTACAAGGAGTAAACAATAATGCTGGCCTTCCTCAACGATACCATGTAATTAAGAATTCGGGTAGAACCATTTAGGGAAGGATATTGTATTGTCACTATTTGACAGTGAACCACACATATATGCTTACTATATTGCACATATGTTACACTGGTCTCGGTTTCTGATGATTATGACTTTTGCGTGGCTTTCATAGTAATATGCATCAAATTGTTCGTGTATCGGCGTTGAGTCAAATTCTAAATACTTTTTAGAGGCTTACCCATAATTATAAATCTTGGATCTACGAGTTTGTATCATGCAAGTCAAGACATTTCACGAGGTTTGAATAAGACGAAACAAAAATGTGATTGTAAATCAATTACTGTGCAGCTGAAATTCTACCGCTGTCAAAATGCCCTACTTGGAAGTCTTGTTTCTGGGTCTCCCTGGTTGTGGGTGCAAAAACTCAACCACGATTGCGACATTTTCGCCTGGATGTTTGCCTGGTGTGGGAGATATCGTGGGTAGTTACCTCAACAAAGCAAGCACTCATTTCGCAACAGATTGAATACCAGGCTGAGACGCTCCTGTACAATGAAGAAGAAATACTTCAACAACGAAATCTTTCTTGCTCTACACAGCACGCAAGATGAACATATCGATGACAAAGTCCATAAAAGATACTACGGGTCCTTCCACCATTTGAACAATTGAAGTGTGTGTGTGTGAGAGAGAAATAGAGAGACAAACAGAGAGAGAGAGAGAGAGAGAGAGAGAGAGAGAGAGAGAGAGAGAGAGAGAGAGAGAGAGAGAGAGAGAGAGAGAGAGAGAGAGAGAGAGAGAGAGAGAGAGAGAGAGAGAGGGGGGGAGGGAGAGAGAGTTTTGGCACTCTGTAGGAAGTCATGTTTTTTTTTATTTCTGGAACATAACGACCATGTAGTCCAACTTCAGCAGATATGAAGGAAAAGCAGGTTCTATGGATAGTCAACTTCTTTATTGTGAAACAGCACTTGATAATGGTGTTAGTACCCACACTGAAACGTCGCACTCATTGCAATAGTTAACTATCCATAAACCTGATTTTCCTTCATCTTTACAACTTCTAAAATGCCTCTCAAATAATTTCAAGAGACATACAAGATTTGAGCAGTCCGACGTATATATACTGGCCACATAAAGAAACTGTGCACACAGAAAATATAAGGATAGGCAGACAGCGTCTTTATGCATAAATAGAGGTGTGTACATAGCAAGTACTGGAGACAATCAAACGCTCATGCAGGTGCCAGGCGACGTGACGTCATTGATGGTGGTCTATGGACTTGCAATGTGTTACAGCATGTGCAGCCTGTGCAGCAGCTCACGACATGTGAAATACAGAAATTGCTGTCTCTGTCGAAAGCTTGATGTTTGGTCATTCAAACGTTCACAAATTCACATGAGAAGTCACATGCACATCATGCCAAGATTAACATCTGCTCAACGTCATGAAGCCATTGGAATGGTTCGAGCAGCATGAGCCAACAACAGGTGGCAGCACATTTCCAATGCCATCGTAACACGATATCTGCATTGGTCAGGCGTTAGGGAAACAGTAATGACGTCGCCGACCACCCACGTTCTGGGCGTCCCCGACTAACTACGCCAAGACAGGACAGATGGATTCGGGTGACTCATATCAGACACAGGTTCCAGACGGCACTCATCACGCCCCAAACCATTGCCCAGTCCTTCATTTAGAACATTTGGTAGCCTTTATGCGTCGTCGATGCACTGCTGTGCTTCGCGCGCATTATGTTCATACCCGTTATTGACTTTGTGACTTCGACGTGTGACCCCCGACTCAATTTTGAACTTCTGACGTCATCGTTACGGATATTGTTCATGTTCTTTTGACATGTTGTTGAGGCCCGATACTTCAGCTTATATAGTGTCTACATCATGTCGTCTTTTCTGTGTTGTATTCCAATTCTGAAGGAATTTTCTGTGTGCACAGTTTCTTTATGTGGCTAGTATATATTCGCTGTTCCACGCAAACATATAACATTTTGAATTCTCTTAAATTATACAGAATCTTGTTACCAGATGGATAAATGTTTCTGGTAACATAATTTCATCGGTTCAATTTCTTAAAAAGATCGTATCCCGTGGACGAAAGGGCTCCTCGTCATATATTGACATTCAGTTTTCATGTTCACTGGAAAACCCGGTGTTCCTAAATGTGGAACCTTGCCTAACTCCAATAAGCCTTTGCAGTGTGCATTCAGCTTACCCAGATATGACATGAAACTTTGACTTGTTGTGTCTTTGTACCATTGTTTTACGTTGTCATGCTGGGGATGCATAAGCAAATTGCTCTCAAAGCTGATTCCATTGAAAAGTCCGTTATCGAATAAAATAGTCACGAAAGAATTATAAACACTCCAAAGAGACTGGATTCCACAGTATAATTCTATTATTTTCTTCACAAGTAATTTTAAATATATCGCCTTGGCAACCGAGTGTATCAATATCTGACACATGCACAATTACCTGTAGTGGCAGCATGCCATGGGATAGTTCATGCATATCACTGCATATCACGTGGTGACTAATCCGAAAGAACAACAAATAGTTCATCTTACTTAAAAGCTAAATCCTTTGTTTACATCAGTTAATTATTTTTTCTTGCTTACACATATTACGTAACTGTATTGAGAATTGTGTATTTTCTATCTGCAATTCGTTGTACGAAGTTACATCCCTTGTATGCTTGTATATGTATATAGAACAAAAGAAACGGAAACTGTGTACTTCAGTGATCGCTTTATTTACATGTTGTAGTTCAAACATATACTAAAACAGAAAAAATATATATGATAAAACAGAAAAATACCCTGTTGTAGCTGTTTTATGTTCATGAATTATTTCCAACCTGTTCCGAGTACAAAAGCATAATAAACTTCATATCAAAACATCCGGCTGTCTTTGAGGATTTGCTAAATGTACCACACAGACACGATTTCTGAATATTTATAATATTCATTTCTGCACAACGTTGAAGTACATTTAACAAAATCAAACAACTGTCTGTATATACATTCATGTAAACTGAACTCGCAAAAAAACATCCTTTCATCCATTTCATTCATCATGAACAAAAATTATAAAAATATGAGAGAAAAATAACACAGATCAAAACTATCACATCATGCCGTATCCCGTCACCGATTATCTATTTTAAGATGCTTCGTCAAAAGATCAACGGCACAGACCGTGCTGCATCCTGTGGCAAAGAACACCTTTTGAGTAACAACGCGATTCAAACTCTGACCCTACCAGTGTGATCTGAGGTATTTTGTTGATAGCATTGTTGTTGTTTTAATTATTCTTTTTAAGGACAAAAGTATAGTTTATTACACTACACATGGTATAAAACAAATGTTATCTCACAAGTGTATAGCTCCATTCTCTAAGGATAAGTACCCTATAGCTGTTGGCCACAGCACCCCTGCCCACCAGTTCCAGTCATTTGTCGTGACGTCTATAGGATTCTACTTCACACGGTCTAAAGGCCTAATTGGCCTGTTGTATTCATGACAGAATAATGATATCAGGCATCTGATAATCGATGGCGGTTGTACACATGGAATTTCAATATTTGTCGGGCAATGCTTCCGCAATGACGTTCCCTGGGGAAGGAATGACAGCACCCTGAGTTGCCGGTGTGTAGGCAGGAGGTCCAGTGAAGGTTGTGGCGGGCATTGCGTTGGTGATCTGTGCTTGGCCAAAGTTGATCGCAGGTACCTGGCCTACAGTATATTGCACTGGGATGTTTGTGGCAGTGGTGCGTTGGCCGTGTTTGTAGATGCATATGCCGAATACACTTATTATGAGTAGCAACAGAAACACGCCACCAATCGTACCTCCAACAATGGCTCCAACATCAGTATCTGAATCAATAAAATATGATGGTGCACAAACATTAGGTGATACTCCATAATGCATGGTAAAATTGAGGTACCAAGTCATCTTAGACACAAAGCTTGCTGTGACGTGTTATAATGTACAACCCATCCCTTGCAGTGATTGTTGGTTAGAATCTTAATACACAATCATCTTATGGTATACCTTTTAGTTTGGCCAACAACCATGGTTTCACAGTGGTGGTTCCCCACCGTTAAATATAGAGTTCCTGTCCATCGTAGTTTCATTTATGCAACAAAACGTAGATTTTTAGTTCATGAGGTTCTTCAGTTTTGTCCATGGTTTTCAAAGGTTACACATCTCCTGGAGGGTAGAGGTTCAAATGATCACATTGTAGATCCAAATTACATGTTCCCACAGACACTCACACGGATACATTGCATTTCTTCACTATTCATCACTATTTATGTTCTAACAAGTACAAAAGCAAGATTCAGGAAACTACTGACAAACAGACAAAACAATATTTAAGTTGCCTACATCTGACTCTGGACTGATCTGCCATTAAAAGTGAGACTTCAATGACTTGGCCACCTGTAAACCAATCTGAAAGCCCACCTGTTCTCAAAGACACACGCCTAGACCAAGCGGACATTGTTGATACCTTTGACATGCATCCTATCAAAGCGCTTTAGAGCAGTTATACTGACTAGATTTTCGCGTTATATTTGTTCTTAGTTTATTATATGATTCCCTTGTTGTATCAGATAATTTGTCTCAGTCTCTCTATCGAGTTTGCACAATTAACAGGCAGTGCCTGAAATATATTTAAACAATAACCAAGGAGTGACGGGGAATGACAGACTATCTTTCACGAGTTATATTGATCATACGTAATTTTCGAGCCTTGGCGAGAGTTTTCGGAATCAGTTTTCGATCTTAAAGAACCCGCGAAAATGAACGCAGCAGTTTCTCTATAAGGAAACCCGCTATGTGGGGAATTTCCATATCACTAAGCGTGTGATTGGCTGTGATTGCAACGTTCACCAAGAGGTGTAACCTCCCTAGAAGCTTGCAGGAAAAATGGTACCCTGTGCCCTCCTTCCCAAATGGGTAATGAATACATAAAATAAAAACATAAATATATATTCCCCATAACATTTCAACGAAAGTTGACGTGACAGTACAGATTCTTTCTGTATGTATGAATCCATGCTGAGTAAATCTCAGAGTTTGCTTCTAATTGTTTCAATATTTTCTTTTATGGCTTCATTCTATGATTTAATTCATAGTTTCCTTTATTTGTAAAGCATAAATTGCCACCGGCCAGAAGATCATGTTTGTCAATCCTGTACTGCAAGGTAAGACACTGTTATGATAGCACTCTAGAGAATTACATTTGGAGCAGGATAATCACAGTTTTATTTTATTTGATATTTATTTTGAGTTAAAGCTCTCTACGAACGTCTCCTAACATTATGGACATGTGTCTACGAATCACCATCAAACAACGATCATACCGAGAGTTCGTGTAATGTTAGCGTATCCTGCTCAGTCGTGGCACCACTCACAAACCACATGCAAGTGAAACGTTCGCCCGAAACATAAGGGGAATACATGGCATCATTTTATGGTATATGTTCAAGAAAAATAACATATGCCTTGATATGTGTTCTTGAAATGAAGTGACTGTCATAATTGTGAAATGTCTACAGAAGAAGAGAAGTCATGTTGAATTCTGTGTGCAAATCAAGGAAGGGGACGCTATGGTGAGTTGAGGTGAAATTGGATTTAACGTCGTGCTTGAGAATATTTCGCTCATATGACGAAGTGCATGCGTGTGTATGTGTATGTGCGGCTGCTTGTACTAGCCCAGACTGAAGCTGGTTTTATAGTGCTACTCCACTGAGATACCATGCCGCAGTGAAGCATGAATACTGACTGACTGACTGAGTTTGGTTTTACGCCGCTTTTAGCAATATTCCAGCCATATCACGGCGGGGAACATCAGAAATGGGCTTCACTTATTTAACCCATGTGGGGATTCGAACCCGGGTCTTCGGCGTGACGAGCCAACGCTTTAACCACTAGACTACCCCACCGCCCGAAGCTCATGAAAATCCCAGTCAGACACATTATACTGACTCCGAGCCGACCAGTCCTTGTTGTACCAACTAATGCCAAGCGCCAGGCAGGGACCAACAAGTACCACATTTTAACGTCTTTTGTTATGACGCGGTCGGGGATCGAACCCGCGACCTTCCGCTCTCGCCAGGCTATGGACATAACATAAACATTCATGTTAACCCGGTCGTCCACTCGACGCAGCCACCATGTTCTCACACTGATGCATTTTATGTAATGGTCTATCTTAAAGACCATTCCACTGGATGACAACGAACATGGGGTATATAAATTGTATCTTAAGCTTGTGTGTTCACTTACCAGGTGAAGAATGTTTAGATTTATATTGGACGGTATACTCTATCTTGAACCCACGATCAACACCAGATGAATCTGACTTGAATTTCAGGAACATAACAGAACCAGTACTGGTTGCGTTTGGTTTACTCTCTCCACACCAGCGACCGAGTGAAGGGGCATTCGAGTCCGACCCTTTAAGAGAACAAATGTCTTATATTTTCTACAAACCAATGAAGACACATATTTTAAATAATCCCTAACTCGCACCGGAGACCTGTACTGCAGTCAATAAGGTCATAACCTCAGGACTGGGCAATAGTGGTGCAGACACTATATACATAGACTTGTAGAATGTATACACACCACTTGCTATTGCACGCGCACGTTGCAAGACAAAGAATACGGAGAACCTATTCACGAATTCACATCAACCATCATATGCTAGTAAGACGATGGACATACATATCATGGAAATAAAACACGTGTCCCAGAAATTGTTTCAGAAATTATACAAAAATCAATTATTGTCGAAAAACAGCATCGAACAGTCTATCAAATGGCCCATCCCTCACCGTCGAATGCTTCAAGGTAGTCACTGGTACAACTGTCTGAATTTTCGAGTCCAAATTCCATAAAATCAATTGTGACACTATAGTCTTCATCCGCGGTGATCTTCCAGCCGACTTCAGCGTTACTAGAATAAAACAAACCCACACACTTGTATTGTTGTCACACCATCCGCAAAAATAATGAACGTAGATTATATGGAAACCTTTCACAAATGATGAATGTTGTACTTGTTCAAAATGCTCGTGATATCAATCACTGTATCGTTTCGTCAAAATTGGTCTACGTGCGGAGTTCAACTGAAAAGTTGAAATTGTTGAAAACCCATGTTCATGTGATCCGTCGAAGCGTATTATTTCGGCCTGGTATTGATAGCCGACATAGCGAATAGAAAGTCTGAAACGTACACATCATCTTTGAATACGAGCACTCACCTCGGGTAATAGAACGGGTAATTCGGAGAATATATGTACTTGCGGCTGTAGGAAGCAGTTAGCTCCTCGGTGTCAAAAGCTGAAAAATATGACACAGTACACATATGTAAATTTGTGCGTGCGTGTTTGTGTATGTATGTATATGGTATATGTCACTTTATGTGACTTTGACGATAATATATGTTCTGCCCCCAAAAAAGGAAAAATGGTTATATCTGACGCAGTCTTACTTATATCCAGAAACATAAATATCAGTTATATACTTTTCTCATGTCCGCGTGCATAGGTATTTCTCCCGGTAGAATTAACTGGAGTAAAAATATATCTAACAGGGTGGGAAAACGAAAAACGCAACGGTGTAGCAAGGTATTTCCACTTATGAGCACAATTTGAAAACTACGGAACCATTATCAGACGAATGTATCAACACGTGACCTGTCCAGATCAACTACAGCCGGGACAGGTTCACACGGTTACGTCACTTTTTTACGTGATAGATTCATCACAGACACCTCTACAATTACCAAGTTTGCATAGGATTTCAGCATAAACAGTTCATAACGTTATTCTGACAGACCGGCATCTTTGTAAGTGGTGATGGCCGCATTATGCTCGTAACTGAGAGTGTAATGATGTGGGCTGCCATCTCCCATATCGGTAGAACGGACTTTCAGAGAAATTTAATGACACAACGTTACACAGATGGCTATCTTCCGCCACATGACCTTCCCATTATGCAACAAGCAAACGTCCTTTGTCAACATGACACCGTCAAGTAACCATCCAAATAGCCAACATCCGATTGCGATATACGCATTAAGCTGGAAAACGCACGTTAAATCATCATCAGCATCATCATCATCATCATCATCAATAGCTACATGTCGAGTGAATGAGTAGGTTGTCGTTGACGACAATCTGAAAGATCTTTCAGTTTCACGTATGTCATGAGTGTCTGCTTGATATGGAATGATAGCCCAAAGTCATGAGAACCATTATTTTGAGAATTTTGATTCTCATGAGTTCTCTGTCTGTGTGTGTGTGTGTGTGTGTGTGTGTCTGAGTGTGTATATATATTTATATATATATATTCGGGCATATGCACTCGCTTTAGCTTCCTATATGCGCAATAAAACGACTTAGTATCCTTTTACGACTTGCCTGCCTGAAATCGATAACTCAAACTTCGAGGCGAACAGCTTCCAAACAGAGAACACTTGCCATATATAGAACGTAAACAACTACTCCGTACATCGAAATCCGTCGCACGCGGTGTTGTCGGTGTTTGCCGAACTGGTTTCAATCACAAGTTGCGCGTATGTTTTTGCGAAGACATTAGTGTCTTGGACTGAGTTCTATGTCCAAAAATGTTAAAGGATATTCGTCGCTCCAAGGGACATAAATCTATGGGGTACGTTTGAAATAATGTTCGACCGGTAAAGGGCGTGAGGGTATATTAATGCAACTTTGCATTAACTCATTCGAACTGTTTAATTTAACAATTGCATTCTAAATACGTAATGTTTTTGGGAATAAATTATATGGTAGCTTACCTATGGGCTGATAGTTATTATTATTGAGAGAAACTCATTATTTATTATGAGAGAAGTGTGATGTGAATAACATAAACCTGAAAAATCTCATGAAATGTGATGGATCCATTTCAATCAACTGACCTAACAAAATTATTTGGGGATGGAGACTTGAGGACGGGCTTTTAAAACTCACATTGTGATCAATAAGAACAGGTTTATGAGTACACACGGAAAACAGCCAATATATGGATCCCTGTCCAGTCATGTTCTGCAGAGAGTATATACAACATCATATTTGCCTAGTGTTGGAATTGCGCATCCACGTTTCTTACCCTTAAAGTGTCCCGCTTTGAGTTGCATTTGAAATCCTTTGTATCTGCTGAAAAGACCATCAGAGTAAAACCTTACGACGATGATGTGACCGGAACTGATGTAGTCAGTGTCGTCATCGCCACAGAACCTCCCGGCCCCTGACAAAGTGCTCCGTACTACTGAGCACAAAAACGTGTTCAGACAAATCGGTAATTTACAAACCAAATGGTATGAATAGTATCCTTGTTAGATACAATTGCATATGATTATACTTTGTCGCTGCAGCGAAGTGTATTTAAGTGATACAGCTGCATACTGTCAGTTGAAAACATACAATAGATAGATAGATTAGGTTTAGAGAGTAGGAAACACGTGAAGGTCCGGATAAGAGTATTCACCTTCAGTAACCCATGCTTGTCGTAAGAGGCAACTAACGGAATGGGGTGGTCAGGCTCGCTGACTTGGTTGACACGTGTCATCGGTTCTAAGTTGCGGAGATCGATGCTCATGCTGTTGATCACAGTATTGTCTGGTCCAGACTTGATTATTTACAGACCGTCGCCATATAGCTGGAATATTGCTGAGTGTGGCGTAAAACTAAACTCACTCAATCATTTAGACAGTAGGAAAGATAACTGTAGAGATATCAAACCACGAGGTACAGCTAATGCAGGGCCTTTCTAAAACAGATACATTCTCGTGTAAAATGCTACCCCCACCCTCTCCATTCCCCGCCTTTCTTTAGCACGTTAAGTGTACATCTTGTTGTGCAAATGACACATATAAATATTGGAGTATTGGTATATGCCTATGTCACATTTTATATTATCAAATGGTTTCAAGAATAATTACCATCGTATATATCCAGGAAACCGTAAGTACACTGGGATGATGAATCAGTTTCGATCGATGTGTTCCTGATTCTAGCTTCAATGTTCGTGTTTGCTGGAGCATGTATGACCCATCTGCAATCCTGGTGGCTGAAATGACAATCATAGCATACTAGTTTATGCCTATCCTTATCAGAGCACACGAGAATTCATAGAGGGGAATGAGAGTTTCACGTTCACGATACTGTATATAGCAAAAAAATATAATATTCATGATGCATAGTAGCCCAGCGGTATGATGAAATTATAAGAAGAAACAAGCATTTATAATTTAAGGCTGTATGTAATGTTTTTGTTTCGTTCTGCAAGTCGTGACTATAATCTGACAGTTTTAAACTTTCAAGGTACTGTATGCTTGAATAAAGTATATAAATATCTTTGTTTTATATTTGACTTTTCGTCAGACAAAAAGTCGCTTCAGTATAATGTGTTATTTCCTTGGATTTTATATTTTCTTATCACAGATGGTGTTATCGAGCAATAATGATGCAGCTCCAACCTTTGGTGTCTACAATTGGCATTGTAATTTTGACACACAACTGAGCATATCCGTTTCTAGGACGATGATAAAGTACTTTAAATGAGTCATCCTCAGTGAATGTCTGATGTGTCATACATCTTTCAAGGCCTTAGTCAGCTATAAGCTGTTCATCCTTGTTGTATCGATATGTTGTATCATATATGTGACTAACAGTATCGGGTTGTCAGACTCACCGACTTGGTTGACACATGTCATCGTTTCCCAATTGCGTAGATCGATGCTCATGATGTTGATCACTGGAGTGTCTGGTCCAGACTCCTATAGCTGGAATACTCCTGAGCAGTTAAACAGTGAATAGTGTCTGTAAATACTCAAGTCTGGACCAGACGCTCCAGTGATTAACATAATGTGCGTCGAGAGGGTCACGTAAACGAGCCTGACCAACCGATCCTGTTAGGACTAGCATGGGGTCAGAGGTCAAAATTGAGTAGTATGCCACTGTACGCATGTGCCAACTGTCACTTTCAAGTTCGTATATATGCATGTTCTTACTCTCGGTATGGTCCAGGGTAGTTAGGCGATGTTATGGTTGTGTAGTCAGTCGTCGTAATATTCAGTATCCCCCCACAGTGGTATCTTTCTGAAAAAGATTCAGTTATGTTTTAATGAGTTCATTTGAAGTTGACGCAATCTAATGAACATCATTTCAGCAAACTGACAGCATGACAGTTTGTTGTAGCAAAGTCGAAGTAGGTGGTAAAGGGTAGTTGAATCCAACGAGTACTGTATGGTACTGACAAGACAATGATCGAAATAATGGGGCATAATGCTTAGACTGCTATTCCACTCATAACCCTGGCTTGTAAAATCTCTCACAATGTACAACGTATATTTACTTGACATAGAGAAAGAGGGATAATTATAAAAAGGAGTATACCTTTTGTTTCAAAGTAAGCCAGTTTGAAGCCTCTTCTAAGTGATGATGCTTCTGTAAAGAAGAAAATTGTTATAGTTGAACTTGAGCTCTGAAACGTCGGTAGTGATGGGCCGCACCAGGTCAGTATTTTTCCAAAAAGAGTAAATCGTCCTGGAAGGAATAAGTATGGCAATATTACATAAGTAGGAAACTGCAAATGGTGGCAAAGAGGTGATACAGGCCAAAGAAGTGTTCCACTTTGCTGAAAGCAAGAGGTTCACGTGTGAGTAATATAATGTCAAACATTTGAAACGATGACGATGACAAACATGTGGCAGTGAAAGAATAACTTTTGTAGCATAGACACGTTTGGAAAAAACACCTTAGAGCACAATGATGTAACTTAAAATAGTTCTTCAAAACGACTGTTCTGAGAAGGCAGAGCACCGATGAGACAAGTTTTCACTGCATAGATAATCATTGCAGAAAATTTTAAATTATAACATTTTTTAATTATTATTTACATGTCTTGAATTCAACATATTTAATTCTAACAGTAACAATTTATCTTACGACATTCAGCCGCATTTGAAAGCTTTCAGAACGAGGTCGGTGGGATACGAAACCATTACTGACCCATGGGGGTCATGAAACTGCATCAGAGTAAATGGTGGAAGTAAATTTCGAAGGTTCAACATTACTCTTGAGATCTTGTAAACAATTGGTTAAATTCATAGATGCCAATTAAATACAATGGGTCTATGCCTCCAAATGATAAAAGGACATGTGTTACCTGCTTCATCTGAAAATGAAGAAAGTCTCAGGGCTCCTTTTCATTATATATTTTTTTTTTACTATGAACTTTTTTCAGTAAAATATGTTCATTTCAGAGACTAGTTGTTAGTCTAAGGCATTTCGTACGACCGCCAATTCTAACCATGCCGCTAGCTCTAGTCTTATTCAGGTTGGCAATGCTGGAGTTCCCTCTGACGTCATGGGTTCGCCCATTGGTCAATTTGGGAATCCCCTCTCCTATGCTGCCGACAACATTGGCGTACACGTGAAACAGTCACTGAAGGAGAGGGTATGGAATGGTGAATACGTGGACCTGGCTCTGCTGACTGACAAACACATCGACGGCGAGGAGGAAGGTTTTCGAATGGTGACTGACAGCACAGGTAACGTAGTATTTACTCCGATGCAGGCAAAATTGTCATACATGTTCATTTCAGAGACTAGTTGTTAGTCTAAGGCATTTCGTACGACCGCCAATTCTAACCATGCCGCTAGCTCTAGTCTTATTCAGGTTGGCAATGCTGGAGTTCCCTCTGACGTCATGGGTTCGCCCATTGGTCAATTTGGGAATCCCCTCTCCTATGCTGCCGACAACATTGGCGTACACGTGAAACAGTCACTGAAGGAGAGGGTATGGAATGGTGAATACGTGGACCTGGCTCTGCTGACTGACAAACACATCGACGGCGAGGAGGAAGGTTTTCGAATGGTGACTGACAGCACAGGTAACGTAGTATTTACTCCGATGCAGGCAAAATTGTCGTCACGAAAGCCACTCGGCATTGGGGCTTGGACTTCCGGCTTTCATGTTTACATGTCTGTTTACCTTGAAAAAAATTCTTCGCCTTCCGCAGTGCAGGGGATGCTGTCGTATATGGAAGGAGTACAAAATGCGGCTGTCACATTTGGGGGTGATGGCTGGATCATGTATGATAAGCAGTTTCGTTGCAGAATGGCTCGTGATCCACTGAGACAATGGGGCAGAATTGATGGTGAGTTGTGGCTACGCTACATGATACCACAACAAAACCGGATCAAAAGTGCGTCAGGTATCGTAGGTACACAGGTTAACGGCACCAATGCTGGCAATAGTTCATTCCCGAGTAACATTTGTTGGGATTTCAATAAGGGGTCATGTTCAAGGCTGTCATGTAGATATCCGCATAAGTGTGGAAAATGTGGCAACACCTCACACGGGGCAGCAGCGTGCATCAAAACAAGCGGCCAAATGCATCAAAGCTTAACTTCAATGGCACCAACTCCAGTAACATTTGAAAAAATATGCCCATATTTGCTTCGTTTTGCCAGTGATAGTGTGCATAAACACCATGCAAGGTAATTGTTTTCAGGTTTTCAATCAGTTTTTCGTTTAAGGTACCAGGGTTGTCGTTCATACAGGTGGGCAGACAACTTAAAATCAGCCAAGGCTCAAGATGGTCTACATGTTGTTCAAGCAAAACTGGATAAGGAGTTGAATTTGGGAAGAATTGCAGGGCCATTTATGAACCCACCCTTTAAGAACATACAGGTATCACCTATTGGGCTTGTGCCGAAGAAACAGGAGTTGGCAACCTCCAAAGTAATAATGGAAAAAATCACCTGATGACTTTAGATTAATTCACCATCTCTCTTATCCACAGGGGAATTCCATTAATGATCATATTTCTCAACAGGATTCCAGCGTTACCTATGCACGATTCGACGAAGCGGTGCAAATGGCACAGAGACTAGGTCCAGGTGCATTACTGTCCAAGTTTGACATCAAGTCAGCTTTTCGCATCATTCCTGTACATCCTGCTGATTTTGAATTACCTGGTATCTATTTCCAAGGAAAGTATAAAGTGGACACATGTTTACCTTTTGGTTGTTCAATTTCATGTTCCATTTTTGAAATGTTCAGTACATTTCTGCAGTGGTGCTTATTGCAGACACTTGCAAGCAAACAAATGATGCACTATCTAGATGATTTTCTTACAGTTGGCCGAGCGGATACACAAGAGTGCAGTGACAATCTGTCACACTGTTTACACCTCCTTCAAGACTTAGGTGTACCAGTAGCGCCTGAAAAGACTGCCCAACCAACAACTTGCATTACGTTCTCGGGGTTGGTTATCGACACAGTGGCGGGGGAGGTGAGAGTACCTCACAACAAGATTCAGGAAGTGAGGCAACAGATATTGGAGATGTTGGCCTCAGATGCAAAGAAGGTAACAAAGCGGGAATTGCAGTCACTTGTTGGTAGACTCAACTTCATTTGCAGAGCCATTCCTATGGGACGAGCATTTTGCCATAGATAATAATAATAAAAATAATGTGTCAATTTATAAAGCGCCAAACTCCACACTAGGTATGCTCATAGCGCTAACCATCAGGGTACAGCGCATTATTACCCCGGATAACCCAAGCTGCCTGTTAGGCGCTAGAAGGTTATAGTCATATGACTTTTTTCCACCGGGTACCCATTTTCCTGCTTGGTGAACAGAGACAATTTTGAACAAACTCACTTGCCTAAGGTGAGACCACATGTGTCACATGTGCTTCGTTGTGGGGAAGGAGTCAAGCTGCCAAACCGGTCACCCATCCAAGGACGCTGCTTAACTTCACCGATTTGTGACCTGAGCTTTGAGCACAGGACCACGCGCCACCACACCAAATTAGTACAGTGAAAGCAGCCTTTCATCGCATTCGGCTCACACGCTCAGTGAAAGAAGATCTTAACATCTGGTTGGAATTTATTTCTAATTTTAATGGAATTTCGATCTTTCAGAGATCACATTCGCATGACAATGGTACATTGCAGTTTTTCACAGATGCAGCAGGCAGTGCAGGTTTCGGAGCATACTTTCAGGGCCATTGGGTATATAGTCCCTGGCCAAAGGAGTGGGTGGAGTCAAGCGAGACCAGGGATCTAACATTTCTGGAGTTGTTTCCTATTGTTTCCTATTGTTTTATCAGACTTTGGGGCAGGTCCATTGCAAATAGGAAGGTGCTATTCAACTGTGACAATCAGGCTGTAGTTCACATTATTAACAAAGAGTCTTGCAGACCGCCGAGAGTGATGGCTCTGGTGAGAAAACTAGTCCTGTTGTGCCTCAATTATAGCATCCTCTTCAAAGCTAAGTACATAAGCACAAATGAAAATGTTATTGCTGATGCTCTTTCGAGATTTCAGTGGGCACGTTTTCGGAAAGTAGCACCAGCAGCAGATCTAACACCAACACCAGTACCACAAGACATCTGGCAGATCTAGACCAGGAGGCACAGAGGCTTCTTCAGCAGTCACTTTCCAGCAACACATGGGCAACTTATGAAACTGTCATAAACACCTTGCACACCTTCCGGGCAGCGCATAATCTGGATCAGGTTTGGCCGGTACCAATTGACCACATGGTACACTTCATTGCTTACATGTCTTTGAGGCAATTTTCATTTGTAAAGACATATATATCAGCGTTATCCACTTATCATAAACTTAAGGGGATAGCACATTGAACAGAGCATTTCCTGATACATAAGCTCCTTGCTGGCATGAGTAAAGGAAACACTACAACAGATATTCGCTAGCCCATTACACTTGATCTTTTACAAGTCGTCATTTCAGATTTGCCATTTGTCTGTACATCATCCTTCGAAGCATGCCTTTTTTCAGCAGTTTTCCGCGTTGCCTTCTTTGGATTTTTCAGGGTAGGTGAATTAGTACAGAGTAAGACGGGCCAAGCAGGTATTGCAAGGAAAGATGTCATATTACAGAAAAAGTTTGGCCAAGTAACCTTGACGCTGCGACACTCAAAAGGAGACAGAGCCCAACAGGGGGTAGCGGTTACAATTACAGCAATTCCACAGTATCCACTGTGTCCTGTCAGCGGTATGGAGCAATATCTCAACATACATCCCGCACAGGCAGAGTCAGCTTTTGTTCATGTTGACCAATCTAATCTGACCAGATATCAATTTCAGGCAGTCATTAAGAAGGCTTTAGCCTTCAGTGGCTTATCCACCAAAAATTATACATCTCATTCTTTCAGGATAGGTGCCGCAACCTCAGCAGCTGCAAATGGACTGAGTCAGCAAGTTATTCAAAAATTTGGGAGATGGGGGTCAGATTCATTTAAGTCATATATACGTTTGCCACAAATATCTATTTGACTTCAATCAAAATTTTCTGCGTTGTACAATTATGTTTCAGTATGGCTTGTGGGGTCAAGCTACCTGGCGAGGGCTCAGCAGTTTGTCTCAAGGGAGGGGTGGACATCCTGTCTGTGGCTGGCCAGGGGAGGAATGAAGTGGCAGGAACTTCTTCCCATCGTAGAGCAACAACTTAAGTCCAGGCAGCATCCCAGGGCTATCCTATTCCACCTTGGATCAAACAACCTGGGATCGGTAAAGGCCAGCCAGCTCTACCTGGACATCCATGCTGATCTATGGTGCGTCAAATTATTGATGCCAAAGACCACAATCGTGTGTTCTAACATGCTGTCGAGGAGGCATTGGCACAGGGCACGCTGCTTCGACGCGGTGAAAATGTCAAGAAAGAAGCCCAACAGGAGGATCTCTAACAGAGTGCTTGAGATGGGGGTTGTAATCGTGAAACACCCGGACATTACACCCAGTAGTCCTAATATGTATTGTTGAGATGGTGTCCACCTCTCCCATGAAGGTCAGTGTAAGTTTTCTCTGGCCATCCGCGAAGCCCTTGTGCCCTATCTGTAATGCATCCTAACTAATAACGTAAGTACAGCATTAGCGTAAGTATTACATTTCCATAATTAAATGGCTGGTGAGGGAAGGAATTTTGATTCCTGGTTCATGGTCTTAGGTGGGTTTAGCACATTAGTGCTTTTGGCCTGGATTTTGTGGGCTGCAATCATTAATACTTAGGCAATATTCAAAATTATGGCAGGACGGCTCTTCAGAGGGAATCTGTTTAACCCTTCTGCTTCTCAGCGGATAGGAATCTTTAGGCTTTGCCTTATTATTGTCAGCTTTTCAGCAGAAATGCGATTGCTCTATTTGCTGCTGGCAACATTGTTGCCCATTGCTGCTGCTGGCATCATTGTTGCCCATTGCTGCTGCTGGCAACTCAAGGCATATATAAGTATCTTCTTGCTAAAGGATGTGTTTCAATAATCTCATTTACTGCTTAACACTCAATGCGTTTATTGAAACCATTCACACTTACTTTCAGTTCATTCTTCCCGCTCTTTTATATTTGCTTACGTCACTTCCAGTTATGTTAATTCCAATGACGTCTTGTGTCTACTTCTGATGACGTCATCTTTTGTTCATCCATTGATTTTTTTAGATTCACACAGTTAGTCTATCCTCTTTGTATCCTGCATTAAGTTATATTTTCGCTTCCCTTCGACCCTTCCCTTGCTAGCCATCTCTTTCTTCTTTCTGTATAACAGATTGTACATTATTGGCAAAGGGCTTGTAATGTCTATGTATATATGCCTGCGTCAATAAATGTTATGGGTGGCCTGGATCTTGTGGGCTGCAATCATTAATACTTAGGCAATATTCAAAATTATGGCAGGACGGCTCTTCAGCCGGAATCTGTTTAACCCTTCTGCTTCTCGGCGGATAGGAATCTTTAGGCTTTGCCTTATTATGGTCAGCTTTTCAGCAAAAATGCGATTGCTCTATTTGCTGCTGGCAACATTGTTGCCCATTGCTGCTGCTGCTGCTGCTGGCAACTGTAGTTGCCCATCCTAACATACTCATTGTTTATTAGGGCAGCCCACAGATCAGCCTCACCTCTGACCTTGAACCCAATATTCTCTTCTTGTTATCTTTTAATGCTTTCCTTCTCAAGGCATATATAAGTATCTTTTTGCCAAAGGATGTGTTTCAATAAATTAGAAGAAAGGAATAAAGGTGAGACGAGTATCAGTGAAATGAGGCATAACTATAGAATGTTTTTCCCGTTTACATTTGCACATAAAAAGACATAAACGTGTGGTGTTAGAAATAGATACACAAGCATATAATTATGATTATTTGAGGAAAATGTTTATGACTAAAGTGAGTGAATACTTAACGTCACATCGGCAATACGGCAGGTATACTGTGGCGAGAATAATTACGTTTGGTTTTAGAACGCGATTCGCAAGAATATCTGATTATATTGGGGGTATGTGTATGAGTTAAATGAGTTACATATTTAATCTCACATCCGCAATATTTTAGTCATATCGTGGCGAGAAAAATCCTGTGTTTATTTGGAATATCGTTATACTATAAAACCACGTCAACACTGGACAGTGTAAAAGAACCAGAGTATCACAGATCTGGACTTAGGTTATCATTAAAAGATATCACTGTTCAGAGTGATGCACTAATAAAACAGGCTATTGATCCCCAACTACTGAAGCTAGACTTAAAGGGACCTACAGTAACTTGGCTACCTGCATGGACGACATCATACATAACATCACCCCTTCAGGTCTTGGCGATTAATGAGAAGATTCTACGATTAACACACTGGTAGAGAAATTATAATACTTTAAATGACAAGGAATTTACGTACGTACCTCCTCATGGGATAATTGTTTGAAGCTATTTTAAACCCCTTTGAAGATACAGGTACAGCCACTGGCAACTTTGGTTATTTATGTATCTACATGTACCTAATTAAAATCTCTTATCAATTACAGTGCATATTATTGCTGAAATTTATCATCGACAATCAATCATCACTTGCTTGACAATGGACCCGTGAAGGTTCGGTTAGAATTGATCTTCAGTAACCCATGCTTGTCGTAAGAGGCGACCAACGGGATCGGGTGGTCAGGCTCGCTGACTTGGTTAACACATGTCATCGGTTCCCAATTGCGCAGATCGATGCTCATGCTGTTGATCACTGAATTGTCTGGTCCAGACTTGAGTATTTACAGACCGCCGCCATACAGCTGGAAAATTGCTGAATGCGGCGTAAAACCAAACTCACTCACTGCTTGACAACGTCGCCTTTCACAGAATAAAGAACTTGAACATTATCATCATTCTTCACTGACAATCAATTTATTTTTTTGTAAAAAAACCCCAGATAATTAAATGTAAACTCATACTATTAAAACGATCCTTTATTGATGAGGACTTGACATATATATCCCTTTTGATGGTGGACGGGTTTGATCAAAGTTAAAGTTGATCTTGACCAACCGATGCCAGTCGTACGAGGCGAAGAACGGGATCGGATGGTCACGCTTGGTGACTTTGCTGACTTGGTAAAATGTATAATCGAAACCCAATTGCGGAGATTGATGGATGTCAATAACTGCAATGGATCAATAGATTTTTCTCGGTAGTTATGAGTTCTAAGTATGGACTTCATTTACTTACCGTTAAAACCCTCAACACCGTCCGGAACGCACGTTGCGTAAGTTTCATCTTGAGAGTATATATCCGAGTCGATAACTTCGATGCGCACCATCATATCTGGAGTAGAAGCTGTTATTGTCCACCGACAGTCTTCATTGCTGTAAGAAGAATTCAGTTCAGTAGTATAGTCATGTTAATGAAGACTGAACTGTCTAATTTCTACTTAATTCTCTATACTATAATTTCACTTTAAATAATCGCATAAAGACAAAAGAAGCGACAAAACCTTTTCCACACCCATAAGAAATATCTGCTAAAAGCAGAATCGATTGTACATTCTACCATGAATCAAGAAAATACTAGATTATGATTGGTTGTTCAGAAAAATCAGACGGCATCAATTGTGGATTGACGCTCATCTGATTGTAAGGCCGCTTCACCGCGCATTGACAAATCAGTTTGACCACAATGATGGCGGATCATAACAACAACTCCATGGATTTTGGCGCTGACTTTCGAATATTCCACATAGGCAATTGGAAATTTTTGGATTAAAAATGCGTTTGATTTCATTTCGCTTCACTGCGCATGTATAGAACACTGCCGCACTACTTCAGCCTTGACCACCAACATGACTAATATCAACACAACAGACGTGATGGAAATGCTAATAAAACATTTATTTAAACTCGAAAAATACAATTATATGATTCCCCCGACACAATTGTGAGGGAACCTCGCTATCATATTAGCTTCTTTTATGAAAATATTCAAACTCAATTACAATACACAGCCCCAACCATAAACAAAACAATATCTAACATATGAATCAGAAAGCCTTGTAAAAATACACCCCTATCTATACAAAATATGCAGCAAAACATTAGTAAACATTTACCTACCTGGTAAATGGTATATTCAATTCCGTTTAGAATGGAAAATTTGCAAGATAGATCTAACGGTCTGGAGAAACACCACATTTATGCCACTCATAGTCATACTCCATCAGATCCCGTTGCATCGTTCACAAAATAATTCTGCTCTCTGCCAGCTTCCCCGCAAGGTTGTCACTGTTGTGTTCATCTACTTTGAAAAACGCTTGGACACAGTCCAGTGCCAACCGATGAAAACAAAGTTCCAAGGAATCACAAGTTAGTCGCATGTACACTAAGCAGCAGCACTGTCACTCTTTTGTCGCATACCGGGAGATGGAGGCACAACGTGAAATCATGATCGGCCGGTCATAAAAATCAACAGTCTTTGATGAGTTACAGGTCGTAGGTTGATCAGGAAAGGATCTATTCTTCGATTCTGCAGGGTTCAGTGTTACATAATTGCATTGAATAAACAGTAGTTTGATTTCTTTGGACAGAATATTGTTATGTTGTAATGTTAAAAAAATACGAACGTCACCTACCGCTCACTCACTCACTCACAGACGAGTTCTATTCGCCTCTCGTCCCATGCCGGATTACGCAGTGTCTTCCGCAGAGCGAGGAAGTTCGATTTTAAATGGGTCATGGTAGAATGGAGATAACCCTAGTGTGTTAAATTAGAGGCATGCTTTCCTGAATTGACGGCGACTAAATATTTCAATTGAAACCTCACGCTACGCTTTCGGTTCCAATTGAAATTTAGTCGTGTGTGTTTGAAAATCAGTGTGTTGAAAATCAGAGACATGCTTTACTGAATTGACGGCGACTAAATATTTCAATTGAAACCTCACGCTACGCTTTCGGTTCCAATTGAAATTTAGTCGTGTGTGTTTGAAAATCAGTGTGTTGAAAATCAGAGACATGCTTTACTGAATTGACGGCGACTAAATATTTCAATTGAAACCTCACGCTACGCTTTCGGTTCCAATTGAAATTTAGTCGCCATCAATTCAGTAAAGCATGTCTCTGATTTTCAAACACACTAGGTTTATCTCCTAAATTGTGACTATATCATGAATATATATTTGTTTCAGCAGTATTAAAGCTGTACGATGTTGTTTGTAAACAAATGGAGTCCGGACCAGACAACCAGACAAACACAGAGCATGTGTTTATAAATCACTATGAAATAATGATGATACCAGGTGTTCTCAAAAAGGAACGCTGAATGAAGGTGTACATCTATATGATTTAAAAGATTAAGTGTAAATAAGCATTAAGAGCTATTTGATTGTGGTATGGAGAATATATTTCCAACATTCTCTATTTCTGCAATCAGGAACTCGTACGCGCACGCACGTACACACATGTAAACACGCTTGTACTGGGTGGCTACATACCTTGCATATCCTGCAGGGTATCCAGGGGACTGTATGAACTGTCGATGTGTTGTCGCATTAAGGGACCGAGAGCCACAGTCTCCTGGCAACATCAACGAAATCAATCACAAAAAATAATTAAAAAAGCAACACCTTTTTTCCTTAAATAAAACACAGTGTAACGTGTATTGTCCTGACGTTCCATTTGTTGTTCCAAAGTTCTGTGGACCGCCTCTATGGTGTAGTGGTTAGAGCCTCCGCCCGGAGAGCGGAAGGTCGCGGGTTCGATCCCCGACCGCGTCATACCAAAAGACGTTAACATATGGTACTTGTTGGTCCCTGCTTGGCGCTCGGCATTAATGGGTACAACAAGGACTGGTCGGCTCGGAGTCAGTATAATGTGTCTGAGTAGGGTATTCATGCTTCACTGCGACATGGTATCTCAGTGGGCTAGCACTATAATTCTAGCTTAAGTCTGAGCTATTACAAGCAGCCGCACATACATACACACGCATGCACGTCGTCATATGAGCGAAATATTAAACCCAATTTCACCTCACCTCATTTACCTCACCTCCAAAGTTCTGTTTTTAAATTCAGTTTTGATGTGTGTCATCACACACATGTATTTGGGTGAACCAGGGTAAACAAAGTAGGTACTCAGTATTATGATTATTGCACAACTGTTTAGTACAGGGTTATAAAATGATGTTTTTCATCTTCTGCTTTATTCTAAAACCCCCTAGATTGTGTTCGTTTTGATAAAGAATCTACAGAAATCAACATGTTATCGACACGGAGTGCTCGCTTATGTCTTCATAAAGTGATTGTTTTGTGTTAAACATCTTTCCATTAACGCCAGTTTTCTTCAGTGTTGTCCAGCGGTAGCTATAGGATCTATCAACAACATCGAAAGCCTTTTTAAAATCAATAAGGCATATATAGGTTTGTTGTATAGAGATACATATTTAGTTCAATGACAGAAGCCTAGCACTGCGATCGTATTTGATACATGAAGGGCAAATTGTCTAAGAGACGTCAGTGAACCAACCTGCCTGGCCGTTGTCCGAGGGTCAAATTCCGACCAACAACAAGGATGCTATATGTAACCTTCAAGTGAATTATTGTCAGCCTGGCATTGTCAGACTGTGATAAGCTGCACGTATTGTCAGCATCACGTATCACATTTTGGTGGGTAGCCCAGATCATGTAAGTTATTTAACCCAGAGAACATGTAAAACATATATACTTCATGTTAAAACCCTTATCGTTGGGGTTCTGAAATACTGCTATTTTTTTCTTTTTAATGCAGAGTCGCCCGAAGTTTACATTAACATGGATGTCTTAAAATACACAAGTCTAGTTCTCGGTCAGATAAATTTCTCTGACTATAATTTCTAAAGGTATGTTTATGTATAATCTTGATCTTGTGGGTCAGGATGTGCCGTTTCCATACATTGATTTTCATTCTTCAATTCCTATGCTTCGTGAAGGTCTAGTGTTCTGTGCAAACTATTTCAATGTATGGTGATTTGAATAAATATGCTCGTAAACGATTACATGACACAGGTAAAGGATTATATGACCTTGGCGAGCATGCAGCGAATCCAGATATAACTTGCCAAGTCGTTTCCCAATACATACAGATATATTTCTTCAGTATTTCGGCCTCATAGCCTAGAATACAATTGTTTTTCGTTGAACAATACAGCATCATTTCTATTTCCAGTTACATACCCAATAGAAATACATTGTTCTTGAACCAGAGCTGTACATTTTGAAACTTACTCCAAACAGAGACCTACTACGTATTCTGTGTAAATTTAGATGTATGAGCCATAAACGTAATGTACATCAATATTGATGTGGTAAAATTGTAAATACTGGATTACTAAAGTGTATAAAATGTAATTATAACGTGATCCAAGATGAATTTCACTTTTTAGTGGTCTGTCCATTCTATGATGAAAGCAGAAAACTGTTGTTACCAAGTTATTTTTATACTTATCCAACCCATGAACAGTTTAATTTGTTAGTGTCTTCGCAAAATTTAGAATGCTTAAAAAATCTTGCAATCTTTTTGAAACGAAATCTATCAATTTAGTTTGTGGTATATATAAATAATCACTTCGATGTCCATGCGCACTGAATTTATGCATATACATTTTTGTACTTTTGGCCACGAGGCTTTAAATGCGAATATACTTAAGCTTATGCGTCCATTTTTTAAGGAAAAAGGCGAGTGCTCGTAAAGAATCCTCGTTGTTTGTATTAAATATATTACACAAGGGTTTCACTGAACAGTGATTAAAATTGGATAAGCAGGACGTGGAACTCATCTTCCGTAATCCCCATGGGCTCTAGTATGGTGATCTACCTTCAGTTGCTGTGATCTACAGCACGTTTTTATATTGTATTGTCTTGCATTATAGTGTACGTTTTAGTTACACACAAGTTTTATATCTCTATCTGTGATACACTAGTAGTTTTACTGTTCATCGTTAACAGTGGGCATTTTTTGTAAAATAGGAAATTTCTGAGATTTGACACCCAGTTTTGCTTTCCAACATCATATATCATTGGTATGGATATCTAGAAAAATTCATTTGAAGTATTTTGATCCAGTATTTTATAACCCATATTTGTATTGAAACAAACATCGTGTCGAGCCCTGTAGCACCAAGCATAACCTTATTGGATACGGATTTGCTGTCAACCTATAAAAACCGTTTTAAATACTTTTATTGTATTTTTTTAGACTTGTTCTATAACATTGAAATATCATTTCAGACTCATACAGTACAATCGGTTAACTTTGCTATCAAATATTTTATAAGCAGATGGAAAAGATACGCAACTATTTATTCGAAATATTGTGAATAGAGGTATCATTGCACGTGAAGCTTCAGCTCCTTGCGTTTGACATGTTTTTGCCCATTTTAACGTTGATGAAAACAGGATACCTAAATCCTTTATAATAGGGTATAATTTTAGAATGTACAGATTTAGGTTTTTTGAAAACCCAGATTTCGCGTTTAGCAACAATTCCTCCATTTCTGAATACAATAACATGGTTTTGTTTTATTCACTTCAAATTCCCAATTCACAGAAAGACTGGAGCACAGTATACAGTACCAGAAACAGTATAAGAGAAGATTGTGAGTAAATGAGTGAGTTTAGTTTTACGACGCACTCAGTGTGTCATGAATATTTTGTTTGACAAATATACCGTGATCTCATTTATCCCACACTTCAGTCACAATCTCATTTATGAAAAAGGTGAAAAGTATAGGACATTGTGGAACACCTGCTGATGTGATAACGCTACTCGGTTTTTAGTTTGATCTCACACATGATTTAACAGATGAATACATAATAATAAAATTATCCTTAAGTACATTAAACATTTTCCCATGACAACCCTTTAATGATAAGTTAAATAATAATTTGTTTCTGCCTTCATAGTCACAGGCCTTCTTAAAGTCAATGAATACACAGTAAAGCCTACCACGTGGTTTGCACAAATATTTAGATCAATGCTTGCAGAGTGAATATATTGTCGGTAGTAGAGTAACTAGACCTAAAGCCAGCTTGGAATTCGGATATAAAGTCGTTCAGTTCTATTCAAGACCTCAAACGTTTTTCTAATACTGCTGTAAATAATTTGCCCACAATGTTGAAAATAGAATTTACCGGTAATTGTTAGTGTCTGCCTTATCTGGAACAAACATACCTACATGTCCCATTAATCGATTTCTATGTATAATAAGGATCCACCAGCGGACAGGATACGCTCCATTTTTCCCAGACATATCATAACTTGTTTTCGTCACGATATTGCCGATGTGACGTTAAATATTAACTCACTCACTCACTCACCCAGACATATCACCATTTAATTCATCAACGCTTTCGATATAGTCGGAGTCGTTCCATAGAATCCACTGTCAAGTTAATATATGCCTTTCTTATGATTATTGACATTGATTTAAACGCTTTCTCTATGTCAGCATTATAAACATATATACACCTGTGTACTGCCTCGAATTATGTTTGTAGAAGAGCGCATGCTTTCAGGCGTTCAAATTTCGGGTCAGCTAATATATGAATCGAGGAAGCAGTCTTTCAGAACATTGACTTTGCACGACATGAATGTCGGCCTTGGTGTGATGTTGTGTCACCTGTGAAAACCTGAAAATGATTACCTGTACTTGCAGCGTGTAATGTCGACAGCGTACCAAGTAGGACGGCTATGGTTTTGTATATCCCCAACATTTGTTTGAACCTCCTAAACATGCATCCAACAAATAATGTTCAGTTTATAGGTTATCTGTTCTTATAGTGGCAGTGGTGTTACGGTTTCTTTATAGTCTGCAAGTCACGTTTGTATTGGCGTTTGAGCGATTCGCACATTGCTTAAAACGGTAACGTAGTTCTTTCTATGATTTTGCATACAACCATCACTCATACAAAGATAGATTCAGTCTCGTCGTATCGTGTTGGGGTTCATTTCATGACTATACCTAAGACTGAATGATTAATCGGAAAGATAATGTAGTGCCGAATATTGTCTTGGTAATTACTTGTCTCTACACTATTGTAGAGGATATTTGTATCTTCTTGTCAATGTTTATCAAAGTTGATATGTTCAGTGATGTGTGAGTGGGGCACATCACCAGATGGGGTAAACATCATGTCATTTGACATAAAACATCAGATACATGTCCTCTAATTAGAGAGTATTTGAATTTACTCGTAATACTGTTGTGTCAGACTAACAGACTAAGGTCAAGTGTCATATGGAAGCTATTTTGAGATGCATATTCTGCTTCATTACTTATTACTTGAATTCTGCTTCTCATGATTATGACTTCTTCATCTCTTTCATTATCCACATTATCGTTTATACAATGATGGTCAGTTGACTCTAGATGCCTATTATTGAGATTGTTGGAGTGAGTGAGTGAGTTAAAATTTAAAGTCACTTTGGCAATATTTCAGCCATATCGTGACTAAAACAACATATATATTAACAATAATTAAAGATAGAGTATAAAATCCTGTCAACGAAGGACAGTAAAACAAGTAGAATATTACAGATATAAATGTAAAACTAGTAATTAAATCTAAAACATTTAAACTATAGAGGACAATACAATATAAAAATAGGCTATAAATCACCAGCAACTGAAGGTAGTTCACCATACTAGGAGCGATGGGGACTTACAGTACCTGTGCTACCTGCATGGACCCTAGCTGGATTTATAATGCCACGGCAAGAATTGAGAGTCCTGTGCACAGACACAGCAACCTCCACATTGGCAAATGTTTTGACAGACAAAAGATTTAGAGATTGCCATGAATCAATGTTTGGCGAATTTGTTTCAGTAGAATGATCAAGTTCGTCTAGTCGTCATACATCATTTGGAGGTCATTATCACCAGATTGGCCCATGAGCCACACCCATTCTGGCATAGGACTCTAGGCAAGTTAACATAATAATCTGAACATCGAGGATAAAAAAAATAACCAAGGCCCAAAATAAGCAAATGTGCAAATAATAGATTCACCATGCACAGGGCTTGGCGTGACCAGCCGATTGATGGAACCGGGCCAGTTCCACAACCCGTCTAGGTGAAGTAAGGGCCAAAATGGTGTGTTGGGCAAAGGAACACTGTTCCTGGAACCAGTGCCCTCAACCACAAGAATTCCGTCCTCCACCGACACAGGGGCGCAACCCACGGCAAACGGGTTGGTGGACCAAATATGCCCCCAGGTCCACAACGGGGGGTTGAAGAGCGTTTAGCGTTACCCAGCACCAACCATGAGGAGGTGGCTCTTCACGGGTGCCTGAGATTGTTGGACTTAAACGAGTATGTATGATCAAAGTCAAAATGTTATGCAGTTTTGATAATATAATAGCACATTAAAACGAAAAAAACACCGTGTAAATAAAATCATGTGGATTTGGAACAAAGGCTGTAAACAAAACAAAATAACTTGGAAAATCCTGTTTCCGTGTCAGCCTGGTTGCAGGTGAAAAACGCTGCCGCGATTGCGAAACATTTCCTTGTTATCGCCCGCCCGGTGTGTGGATTAAACTGTTTAGTAACCAGGACGCGGGGAATATTCATTGCGCAACAGCTGGAGTGACAGGCTGAGACGCTCCTGCGCTATGATTCAGATATAAAATACAAGACGATAAGTTAATATTTACACTAGTACACGGCAGACAAAATCAACACTTCGAATTTTAGCTGCACGGAAATTCAATAAGAAGCTGTCATATACGTTGATAGTTGGGTCCATCGATCACTGCATAACCTAGTTTTCCACAGGCCGTCAACCCCGTCGTGGAGTGCTGCTGGGCGCCGCCTTAGACACCACACGTTTCAATTTTTATGTAAATTCTGTGGGTGGCGTATGCTGTCGGTGGTGCAGGCCAAGGTCACACGCACCTTTTTCACGAGCTGTACACCTAGGATCAGGGTGTCATTCAATAGCAAGAATGTAATAATAAAGAACGGGGAAAAATGCATAGTTTACCCCGAATGCAAGTTGACAATCTAAAGACAAGGAAACTAAAGGATGAACGCATAGACGTAGGTGTATATGAGGATAGCCTAGCATTTGATAAGATGATAATCTTATTATAACAACTACTGCGTGTGAGTGAAACATCATCATGGTGGGAAGCGTTTTATCTTACTTTTAACCGAAATAGAAATTAAACAATTCATCAATATTTTATGCTACCAACACACCTTCAGGAAACAGACTAAATATCTCGAGGTGGCGTACATAACGTGAAAGGGATTTTCACGTGCAGTGTACACAAGGTAAAACTACTGGTGAAGCATTTGTAGTTCTTACATACGTTTTATGCTTATTGCGTGACTCAGACGAGATGGGAGGGTTACAAACTAAACATTGTATCTTGTCTTTAACATTAAGTTTCAGTTTTCCCATAATTACAAAATACCTTGGGTTAAACATAAAAATACAAAAATAACTTTTTTATCACGGTCACGAACGACCGTGTTAATTGTTGCTATGCTGTGTCTAACTTTGGGAGACATTTAGAAGTTGGAGCAACAAGGAAGGATAACAATGTATGGATGGACAACTGTTAAAATTGCAATGACAGCGACGTTTCGGTGTAGGTTCTAACACCGTTAACAAGCAAGTGATGAGTGAGTGAGAATGGCATCATTCCAACAATATCACGGCAGGGGACTCCAGAAATGAAATTCACACATTGTACCCATGTGGGGAATCGAACCCGGGTCTTCGGTGTGACGCTTTAACCACAAGGCTACCCCCACCGCTCCCAAGTGATGAAGAGATAAGGGTTAGAAAATCATATATACAAGAGTGAGGAGATGTTTGTACTGTACAATGGGGATTAAGTCTGGAATAGGATGGAACCTACATCTCAACGTCGCTCTAGCACGCAGGTCAACAATGATCAACACTGTAACAAAGCACATACTGAGTATAGCGCGGAGCATACAAGTAACTATGTGAGAAATGGGACCCGTCACTGACGCTTATCTACACGCCTACACACTGCCCCTGGTTGTCTCTAACTGAATAGCATATATTGTAATAGATATCGCTTCACAATTGTGCAGACTGCGTTATCATGCCGCTATTGGTGACCAGCGATTGTGAAAGTATGTACAATAGAAGTGAGACTCTTTCATAATTGTTTACAGTGTCATCATAGGAATGAGACATCCCAGCTAAATGCCGAATTCATTATATGACTCGAACAGATCATGAGCATGAGTTGATGAATCACTATTAAATACTGATGATAACACAAAAATGTGGCTTTGTCCTGCCTCACCGGTGGAATAAAGACGAGAACATAATTTTCATTAATCAAATAAATTGTAAAGTGAGGTTTAATATAATTCGCGTATGTACTTGTTTTGCTTATGATATGCTCATATTAGTCTCTGCACAACGGATCTTGATAATATAATTATAAAAATGTGAATGTGAACGCCAGAGAATATTGGTAATTAACGGGGCAAAATTGCTGTGGATATAATCTGACATGATCAATGAAAATCTGTGATTACTTCTATTTAAGTGGGGGCGGTGGGGTAGCCTAATGGTTAAAGCGTTGGTTCGTCACACCGAAGACCCGGGTTCGAATCCCCACATGGGCACAATGTGTGAAGCCCATTTCTGGTGTCCCCCGCCGTGATGTTGCTGGAATATTGCTAAAAGCGGCGTAAAACCAAACTCAGTCAGTCAGTCAATCTATTTTATCGTTCGAGAAAAAGGGTACGCCTGTCTTCCCCAGCAGGCAGCCACTGCCACTCGCACAGAACATATAGTAAAACGAGGTTCCTGGATATAATATGGCAACTTCAAAACGCAACCTACGTCACACTTGCTCAATGTTCGGGTCAGCTGATAACAGGTCATATCTCCCTACACAAGTCACAGGACAAAGCATCATCACATCAGCAGTAACGTTCAGCCTTCACACTGCACCCATACCGGTATTTAAAAGGATACATAAACTAAGAAGTTCATCAACAAACAGGGCGGGTTACAGAGTGGCTGAAACATGAGGATAGTTGTTTTCTGCTCTGCAGTTGTCTGTTTGCTTTTGTTCTCAAGAACAGGTGGGCGTTATTTGGATTTCATATTGATGATATTATAGTTAACACTAGTTACTTGTTTATTCGCGTCAGTCACCAAAACTGATCAATCAATCACAATCGCCTCTGCACACACGATGACGTTATACTGACTATATAATTGTTATCTGTCGGTAGTGTATTTATGTTGTAAATCAGGTATTATCAATAAAAGTAAAATCAACCAAAACATCACATTTAGTTTTTTGTTCTCTGGTTTAGAACCAGTTACCGGGATAATGTTTATCATTTTTATCTAAAAATGTAAACAGATATTTATTTTAATATAAATACGTGCATAAGGAGTTTTGTTTACGAGCCCACTAGGGTATACATATCAGTTTCATGACGCTATCAAAACTACGTCATTTAATCATCTGATAAAGTCTATTAACGTCCCAGCCATGTCACTCAATCTGTTCCCACTACGGCTTAAGTGAATGATTTAAATTTGTCAGTACATTACCTTGCCATATATTCTTTGATAATCCATATATTACATGTATAGAACTTACTCGTTATCACTATAGGTGAGGTGAGGTGAAATTGGGTTTAACGTCGTGCTTGAGAATATTGCGATCATGTGACGATGTGCATGCGTGTGTAAGTGTATGTGCGGCTGCTTGTACTAGCTCAGACTGAAGCTGGTTTTATAGTGCTAGCCCACTGAGATACGATGCCGCAGTGAAGCATGAATACCCCACTCAGACACAGTTTACTGACTCCGAGACGACCAGTCCTTGTTGTACCCATTAATGCCGAGTGCCAGGCAGGGACCACCAAGTACCATATTTTAACGTGTTTTGGTATGACGCGGTCGGGGATCGAACCCGAGACCTTCCGGTCTCCGGGCGGACGCTCTAACCACTACACCACGGAGGCGGTTCGTTATTATTATAAATTGTGCTTTCAGATTCATGCAATGTGGAAATACTCACAACAAGGTCCCCCACAAATATCTCTTCTCCGGGCTACCCCTTTACAGACTATCCGAGGTGAGGGCATAATGTAAAGATGCCAAAAGAAAAGAAGTTAATGCTGTGGGACAAAGTTACTTAGTAACCTAATGACACCAAGTTACTTATTACGCCAAAGTACTACAAGTCAAAACTTTAAGATTATTTGAATACTGTGGACAAAATGGTTTCTTGTCAACCACTGAAAACCTGGTGTTTTGTACAGACTTTGTTACTTACGAACCAATCAACGCATTTTAAAAACAGAGAAACTAATCGTAGCACCTTGTCTAACTGCATGCGTAGTGACCATTCAGCTTACCTTGAAAATGTTGGTTGTGTATTTTTAAAGCAAAACCATTTTTACTTTGGAATGCTGAGTCTTTATAATATATGTATAATGTGTGCGTGTGTGTGTGTGTGTGTAGTGTGTGTGTGTGTGTGTGTGTGTGTGTGTGTGTGTGTGTGTGTGTGTGTGTGTGTGTGTGTGTGTGTGACTTAACAGTTTTATGTCACGCTAGTATTGCTAAGAGACATTTCATGTTATTTGTTTTATCTGCAGGAATACAAACTGCTGGTGGAGGATCGATGCCAGTGACGAAGACAGAAACGTTATTGTGAGGGTTCTGGATTCTACAATCGAACAATCCCACAATTGCACTTATGATAGTCTGTCAATTTATGATGGTAAGGTTATGTACCTATAGTCAGTGAACAGTTTGGATCACAAATATTATGATGCAACTGATATGTTAGTTTTTGCAGTAGCTTAATCATTGACACATACACATCAGTTCAAACAACACGTTCACTGTTATTATATAGCCTTAACTGAGTTAACTGTTATTCTTTGCATTCGAATGTTAAACGAATCGACCTGTTCTTTGATTTTGTCCAATGTCCAGCAATGTCCAATATTCGGTGTAATTTGTCTTTGAAATTGCAATCTATTTGTAACATGTTGTTCAAAGCTTTTGATGAGGATAGAGTTCGTGAAACGCCAAGCTCAAATACATGTTCAGAAAGGGCCCATTTCTCAATATCCTCGCTAAACCATGAAATAGTTTAAATGTCCGGACCCGTGAAGATCCGGGCTAGAATCGGTCTTCAGTAACCCATGCCTGTCATAAGAGTCGACTAACGGGATCGGGTGTTCAGGCTCGCTGACTTAATTGACACATGGCATCGTATCCCAATTGCGTAGATCGATGCTCATGCTGTAGATCACTGGATTGTCTGGTCCAGACTCGATTATTTACAGACCGACGCCATATAGCTTGAATATTGCTGAATGCCGCGTAAAACAAAACTCACTTACTCAATGTGCGTGTCATATATGTACCCAGGACCAGATGCTACGGGCCCTTCTCTTGGGCGACTGTGTGGACGCAGCCGCACCTCTGTGATAAGCTCTGGTAGATCCATCTATATCGTCTTCAAAAGTGACAGCAGTAACCAGTACAAGGGCTTCCTTCTTCAGTTTTCTGAAACAACAAGTGGGTTATTTAGTCACAATTGATCAACGGTACAAGTTCATTGTGCCAAATCAGTTTATATGCACAAAGACATGTTGACTAAGCGTGTGATGAATGACATTGTAAAACATCAAAAGAGGACAATTCAAACATTTCCCCAACAACCTTCTTCAACTGTAACTTTGTGTATAATTTCAAGCATTATAATTTTGGAAACTGGGTATTCTCCGACGTGACTGTATATATATTGAATTCCATTCAAATCTAAAGGTGAAATTCATTCATTGCAGTCTGATTACGTGTTATCGTTACTGTTTGACTACAGTGGATGATAGAATAACTTCAATGAACTGAAACATAATATGAACACATAGCTTAGTGATTCGATATAAGCAATCTGACAATTTCCGTGATATCTGTCTTTCTAAGGATGTGGAGGCGAGTTGACAGCAACACCTGAGGAAACAGTCTTTCAATCGCCTGGCTATCCCTACGAGTATGTAAAGTAAGTATATCGTATGTATTACCTAAATATATATTTTTACATATATATTTGAATTAGTTTTCATAAACCGTCAGGATAATTGCGTACCCAGTCATGCATATCCTCGTGATTTCATTCCCAAAACACCGTGAAAATCATATGAATGGAGCAGGAAGCAAATGTACTGTAAGTCGCCATGGTCCCAAGTATGGTGATCTACCTTCAGTTGTTGGCGATCTATAGCCTGCTTTTATATTGTATTGTCAATTATAGTTAAAATATGTTAGATTTAAATACTAGTCTTAAATTTATTACTGTCATAATGTAGTTGTTTCAATGTCCTTGGCAGACAGGTAAGTATATTACATGTGTATAAGTTTGTTTTTATTCATTTATAAATTAACAACTTTCTTAGTCACGATATGGTTGGAATACTGCCGATGTGACTTTAAATCTTAACTCACTCACTCATATGAATGGACCAAGGAAATTCACTAATGACGCCAGGTGTTCGACAAAAGGGTGCGCATGTTCTACCCTACCTGTAACACATGCCATTCATACAAGCTGCTTGAAAAAGCTTGAATGTATTTTCAGTGCTCTGTATGTTGTGGCCTGTTTAAAATGCGGACACTCACGTGATCGGTGAACCAAACAAAACAGTAGTTGATCGTGATTTTACGACTATTGTGTCAAAGTTTAGGGATTCTTCTGCTTACAGGTAACGTAAACGTTTTGGAAATGGATTCACAGCCGCGGGGGCATAGACATATTTTTATATATCCACCCTTAAAGAATATTCAAAAGCAATGCATACCAAATAAATATTTAATTCGAACTTCATACAACAATGATGTATTTGCTCTATAGCAACCACAAACTATCAAGATTTAAAATGTGTTATGTAATGCTTCAAATGTGCCTTCAAGAGCAGAAACGGGTGGAAATGAAATGTAAAATCACACTTCGTGTATATGGACCTATGCCTTTTCATACAACAAACATTCAAAAAGGAAAATAAAAATCCACTGACCTGTGAAGATACAGGTTAGAATTGGTTTTCAGCAACCCATGCATGTCGTAAGAGGCGACTAACGGGTCGGGCGGTCAGGCTTGCTGACTTGGTTGACATATGTCATCGTATCCCAGGTGCGTAGATCGATACTCATGTTGTTGATCCCTGGTCTGCCTGGTCCAGACTTGATTATTTACAGACCGCTGTCACATAGCTGGAATATTGCTGAGTGCGTCGTAAAACTAAACTCACTTACATTATAATACCCCTGTCAATGTGTTCCAGCGAAATGAATTGCACATGGTACTTCACGGCCGAGAATGAAAATGATACAATAGTCATGACGTTTGATGAGATTAATGTGCAGCAAAGCACCTATTGTGACATTGGCTCGGTTTCCATCTACAACGACCACGAAAACGACGGTGAGTACGATATATGTCCATCTCGGATGACGATCTTCCTTATTCTCTCAGTACCTGAACTGCACCCATTCTGTTGTGCTGAATAGTTAGATATGCCCGCCAAGTATAGATGATACACGATTTTACACTTATGTTAGTAAACAAGGACTGATCGGTTCGGATCACAATGGTATAGCCACGTTAACACCCTGGATGGTGTACCTCGCCGATATATTTTTACTAGTCACTGGTTCGCTAGCCCGTGACTAGTAAAAAACTCCAGTCGGGCCAGTATATCTCCGCAGTCACTGACCCGACTGGCTCGCGAATTTTCATGGGGTCATCTTTTAAATAAAACCACTCTCTCCAAATTGTTAAGTCATAATACACTTTTAAATTATGCAAGATTATGGCCTGGTAAATTATCATTATGGTATTTTACCTTTTTCTATTCTTTTGCTTAGTTTCCACATTAAAAGTTTTGGCTAGTGAATTATTTTGTTGCCTAGGAACTTTCAGGCATAACTAGCCCTACTGGCAAGCAAAATTTGGAAACTATTTCGCACACTGGACGTGCGACTCTCGTAGAGCTACGGTCGCTTTGAGGAACGGGGCCCTGGGATTTTGGTTATTGTACTTGAGACCCAGGGCGGCTAGGATCCTCGGCTTTACAACCTTCAAACTGTCTGTATCTTGTAAACGGTTACTAAACGTTTACGTTGAAAAAGTCACTTTATCAAAACTGTTATTTCCTTAATGATTGAATACGGTGTAACTCAATGAGCTAGCACAATTACACAGGGATACATACGGGCTAGTACAAGTAGCGTATGTGCCCATCGATATTTTGGGAATATTGCTAAAAACAGCTTAAAACAATACTCCAACTTTTTCCACTGCCAACTTTTTCCATAGCAGACCTTATGTGAATAAGGTATGAATTCCTTTTGAGACTAATGTATGGACATATGTACCAAAGCTTCGATTCTATTGTATCCTGAGCTTATCTATTCCTATTTGTGGCGGAACTGCATTATCAGTGGTTTAAGGGAGGTTACTCTCCCACATTCGAAACTAAACATGGTAGATTTTGCATACACTGGTATGGTTGGTTTGTTATTTGCTCAGTACTCAGCAACATTCCAGCTTTATGGCGGCGGTCTGTACATATTCGAGTCTGGACCAGACGTTCCAGTGATCAACAGCATGAACATCCATCTACGGAATTGGGAACCGATGACATTTGTCAACCAAGTTTGCATGTCTGACCACCCCATCCCGTTAGTCGCTTCTAACGACAAGCATGGGTTACTGAAGATCAATTCTAGCCCGGATCTTCACGGGTATCGAAACTAAACTCTCACCATAAACTTTCACAGATATCGGCCGCAATAAATGCTCACAAATACAGTTCAAGGGTCACTTATTCATACAAAATGCATTAAATTGTGACTACACTGACCGTGGATTCGCTGATATTTATGAGTGTACACCTTTTGTAGAACGGTTCTAAAGCTATCTATGACGCAATTGGTTGGGATTTTGACCTTTGATGTCATAGGGGTCATATGCTTATCGCCGAGTTTCTACTTTGGGGTATGGATGTGTTGCGAAAATGCTGCGTGAATTTAACGGTCGTGTCGAGTATAGTTAGCCCCAGTGTAAAATATGTAAAAGTTCCCATTATGATATAATCAAACTAAATAACAGTATTAATAATAATAATAATAATTATGTTTTTTCAAACAGTGACCTCTTTATCAAAAACTGTTAAAGGTGGACCCACAGTTCTGTCTACATTCGTGTGAACAGTTTTATATAGACTTTTGTGAGCTCGTTTTGCGTTCAGTTGCATAACACAGTCAACACATTTTTGAAATGCTAAGATTGCAGTTTTACTCATTTTTCGAAATTTGGACCCACTCAAAAAAATCTATATTGCGTAAAAACGAGTGGGCCCACATTTCTGCTTTCACTTTGATGTGTACAGATTGGTTGGTGATATCGAAGGTAGAAACCGGTTTGTATTTACAAACAAGGGCAATGAGATGGCCTACCTCTCTACAATTCAATAATATTGACAAATACGTGTAACAATCCTAAAGCAATATGCTGCAATTCATATAAAGAGATTATTACACTAGCAAACGAGAGCGAGGGCAATGCCTTATATTCCCACGTATGACACATTTCCTACAGTAGTAATTGCTCGAGTGTAATAATTTCTTTATCTTCCATTTTATTCACTTACATTTGTGCAGTAATACACGGTAAACAGGTGTGATGGCCCTCTTCATTGACGTCACGTTCAAGTGTTTAATAACGTCACAGACGACGAAATACAGAAACAGTGGTTGCTAGGCAAAAGTGATATGTGAGGTGAGGTGAAATTGGGTTTAACGTCGTACTTGAGAATATTTCGCTCATATGACGATGTGCATGCGTGTGTATGTGTATGTGCGGATACTTGTACTAGCCCAGACTGAAGCTGGTTTTATAGTTCTAGCCCACTGAGAAACCATGCCGCAGTGAAGCATGAATACCACACTCGGACACATTATACTGACTCCGAGCCGACCAGTCCTTGTTGTACCCTTTAATGCCGAGCGCCAAGCAGGGACCAACAAATACCATATTTTAGCGTCTTTTGGTATGACGCGGCCGGGGATCGAACCCGCGACCATCCGCTCTCCGGGCGGACGCTCTAACCACTACACCACGGAGGCGGCCAAAGTGAGATGTGCTCATGAGCAAACATGTTATATATGACTCTGGTTATGTTTCACCAAATGGGTAACATGGAAATGATTCATTAAAATGTATAGTGTTCATGATAATCGAGTAACGGACGACACAGTTTATCGCTTTCTCACCGCCATGCTTTTTTTTCTGATACGAAATTAATCAGCATACCGCCAGTCTGTGTTTAAAGTTAGCTCCCTTCGAAACTCGAACCACTGATATTGCGGTTTCGCCATTTATTGGGACCCGTGAAGGTCCGGGTTAGAATTGACCTTTAGTAGCCCATACTTTTCGTAAGAGGCGACAAACGGAATCGGGTGGTCAGGCTCGCTGACTTGGTTGACACATGTCATCTGTTCCGAATTGCACAGATCGATGCTCATGCTGTTGATCACCGGATTGTCTGGCCCAGACTCGATTATTTACAGACCGCCGCCATATAGCTAGAATATTGCTGAGTGCGTCGTAAAACGAAACTCACTCACTCACTCGCCATTTATTGTACGTGTTCTTATTTCTAACAGACGAACAGCTACTCGGACAAATCTGTGACGATACCACGCCTAACCTTCAAAGTTCCAGAAACAAAATGAGGATCGACTTTCATAGGGATATGGACACTATGGGAATCGGATTCTCTCTGAAATTCAAAACGGTGAAAGGTATGTTAGACATGTTGTCGAAACTATTTTACGTGAGGTTACGGGATATTGAATTTTGTTTATTCTGCGCATACTTTAACAATGTAAGTGACATAATTTTGACGATTGCAATCAGTGCCATTCGTTTATTCGAATGGTTAACAGGTAAAATTGCAACACTCTTGCTGACACTTATTATTATATAAAATTAAGTGTACTAAAAACATTTTTCTGCATCACCAGCTAGTGTTTGTAACCTGACAATGGTCTCTACTACCACCCCGCAATACTTCGTATCGCCTGGATATCCGGATGCATATGATCGGTACGTTTCATATATTTGTTACCGTAAACTATTTACAGTTATTTCTTAACCTGTACATTTGCTTGAAAGTTACAACCTGCTATGAATACATCGGTAGCGTATCTATATTTGTATTGAGAAAAACGTGTTATTGCTGAAAACTCTGCAACTGCTGAAAAACAATTCAAACGTAATTATTTTTTAGGTGTTCGTTATTTACACACTATGTCTGATAATTGTGACAAACTGTGTGAAAACATGTGGACGCCCTGCACGCAAATGCCATCTTCATGCCATCATTCTGACTAAGAGGGATCGTAGCGCTAAGATGATCGTAACTCCCATAATTTAACATAGACTTACGACTGTAGTAGAGCTAAGGCGACCGTAACTCCCATACTTTAACATAGACTTACGACTGTTGTAGCGCTAAGGCGACCGTAACTCCCATACTTTAACATAGACTTACGACTGTTGTAGTGCTAAGGCAACCGTAACTCCCATACTTTAACATAGACTTACGACTGTCGTAGTGCTACGATCGCTTTGAGGAACGGGGCCCTGGATTTGGGTTATTGTCCTGGAGAACCCAGGGCGGCTTGGATCATCAGCGTTATGTGTTGTTGGTCCACAATTTGCTCAAGACAGATTGAGAAACAATGCAGCGTTTGGCCAACAGTACTTTGAAGTGTGACCACCTTTAAACTGTCTGTATCTTGTAAACGTTTATGTTGAAAAAGTCACATTATCAAAACTGCTATTTCCTTAATGATTGAACGTGTTATTAAAGTGTTAGTTATTGAGCTTTAGATTCCAAGGAAACAGAGTTTGAGTGACAATGGCAAATCTGACATACCACCCCCTGCACATGCTTTAGAACTGGCATGCTTCTTGACTTTTTCGGAGCTTGAATTCTTTGGAAACGTTCTTACTACATAAATCACTGACGTTCAAAGCAAGACTTGTGTGTATGTGTCTGTAGTTTCATCATATAATATTCAATACCCTTCTGTAATTATTTGCAAATAGCAAGTAAACATGTAGATGGTCATACATATGGATACCGCAGAATAAGAGGAAAATGGACGCAATTTTGAAACCGTGTCATTTACTCATCTTTAGATCACGACACGCCTGCACACTCATTTGTGGGTAATAGGCAAGCATATTGCTGTTTACACCCACTTGTATTTAGATTTTATATACAGTCATTTGGATTTGGATTTCAAAATAAACGTGTTTGTTGTTATCAGTGACTTGGAATGTGTGTGGATAATCGTGGCAGTGGTTCAGCCATATGTTCAACTTGACGTCATCGACGCAGAAATTGAGGGCCCATACCCTTCCTGCAGCAACGACTCAGTGACTGTTTATGGAGGTATTTAGTGTCTTTTGTTAGCTAGGCTATTTGCGTTGAGCTTATTTGCGGAAATTAACAAATAATGGTTGATATAAAGTAACAAGAATTTCAGTGCTCGTTTAACAAACTATTCGATAGCACATGTATTCATGAATAAGATGTTCTACTTGCTAAGTAAAGAGATTATATTCACTTGGATAACAAAGGTTATTTTATAGTAACATCATTTAGGATGAAGGAAAGGAAAACACATTTAAAACATGCGTTGGTATTAATTACTTTCTTGTAGAGGTACAATATTAAAAGTGCAATAACGTGTTACAGCAATGAATCTTTCAAGCAATGGACTGGGAACGTTTTGTGGCAATGCCACACCGACCTACACGTCGCCAAACCAGTTCTTGGTTGTGAAATTTAAGACAGATGATGTGATTGAAGATAAGGGCTTCCGTATCAAATACACGAGTGTCAGAAAAATAGGTAAAGGATGATACCTATCTTACATCAAAGTTAAATGTCTGTAAAGCTTACTATACTGGCTATGGTGGAATGAATGCTTATTTATTATTCCGGAATTTTTGTATTCTTACCCGTGAAGGTCCGGGTTAGAATGAACCTTCAGGACCCATGCTTGTCGTTAGAGGCGACGACTAACGGGATCGGGTGGTCGTGCAATCAGGCTCGCCGGCTTGATTGACACATGTCATCGGTTCCCAATTGCGCAGATCGATGCTCATGCTGTTGATCACCGGATTGTCTGGTCCAGACTCGTTTATTTACAAACCGCCGCCATATAGGTGGAATATTGCTGAGTGCGGCGTAAAACGAAACTCACTCACTCACTCAATTTTTGTTCTTCATCTGTATGAACATTACTGATAGTACCATTACATGTAGTAATGTTTTGACAACCATACTAATATGTTTGACTTGAACAATGTTTATATCATTTTCCAGACCAGTGTGGAAATACATCTCTCTCAGCTCAAACAACACACAAGTTCCTTCAGTCCCCCGCATATCCTAATCATTATCAAAAGTAAGTATAACTATATTTCTATTTCACCATTTATTCTCATTGTTAGCATTTAAGAGTTTAAAAATTCAACCAAAATATGTCCTCACATCGAGCTGCCTTACCTAAGACACAATCTGTCTTGACATATTTTACCCCATATTTTTCATAGGCCTTATTGAGACACATGATTTTGTATTTCAAATGAGGAGTATGTTTGTTTGCAAATTTGTTATTCTACATCACATACTCACGCTGGCAACAGTTAAACAACTTATGTGATTTGACTGAACACTTTGATAAGTACTGCAGCAACGAACAGACCTCAATACTCATCTGTACCATTCAAAATGGTAATCTTGTGTAACGATGTAATGTGATAATTGTGGGACCGAATATTTTCAAAAAGTTTTCCGGGCTGTCCTATATATGGTAAACATATTACTTGTAAACTCTTTTTTTCAAAAAAACTAAACTGTATCTTAATCTGTGACATTGGAGCGGTTATTTGAAATTCAGCAAAATGGTGCACTTACTAAATAACACAAACATTGATTTTCATGTGTATTTGTGCACTACATATATACCGTCTACTTCTCAATGGAATAGATTTGGGGAGCCTACCCTGCTTAGTAATCATACTTTTAATCTATAGTTACCTCAAATCATCTCTTCTTGCAGCAATGATCTTTGTATTTGGACGATGACGGCATCGTCGTCAAATTCCATGGTCAGAATTGTGGTACTTGATTCCGTTCTTGAAGGAGGAAATAACTGTCCCTTTGACTCTGTGACGGTTTACGATGGTGGGTAGAAAAAAACACAAACTTGTTCATAGTTTTAGTCCATAATACATCAGGTGGTGACGCAAGTGATTGACTCAATTAATGTCAGTGAACTAATATTCACCTTTCGAGTATTCGCATAGGTAACAAGTTACGTAAAATTGGTCGATCAGCTATTTCACATGCATAGGACTCACACATACCATCAAGTGATCTATTGCCTCTATCTTCCCTACTGAGTTGAACCTAAGTCTGTATTGTTGTCTATATAACTTACCCTTTCCTGTATTTTAATGAGTGCACTGGGAATATTATGATGGTAAATGTTGCATCCATTCGTTTTCCAGGTACTAGCATACATTCCAACGTGATAACAGTATGGTGTAATACAATGACACCGACAGTACAGAGCACTGGACATGCAATGACACTGAAGTTTAAGACAGACGGCTCCAATACATTCAGGGGCTTCAGACTCAAGTACTTTGAAACAACTAGTAAGTAACCAGCTGATGATATATGCTTTCAACCAAAACGTACACATCTTCAGTATATGAAAGACAATGGTATTTTAACACTTTAGGTTGTGTATTTGGAATGACGTTTTTTGTGCAAGGAATGAGATATATAACCAACATCATAGGCAAAAATGGTAATTTCTGCTTTAATAAATGTACAGATCCTTTTAGCAGACTACAGTGATGCAATGAATATCGGCTTAAATGCTGAAGGTGACGCAAGAGTCACAGAGTCATAAGAATGTTCATACAACTAGGTTCGCTCATTTCAACCACTGAATGCGGGGCGGTGGGGTAGCCTAGTGGTTCAAGCGTTGGCTCGTCACGCCGAAGACCCGGGTTCGAATCCCCACATGGGTACAATGTGTGAAGCCCATTTCTGGTGTTCCCCCGCCGTGATGTAGCTGGAATATTGCTAAAAGCGGCGTAAAACCAAACTCAGTCAGTCAGTTCAACCACTGAATGCACATGTCCACATTTACATGCAATGTATTCTTCCGGTCGTCGTGACCATATCAATACAATGCATTTTACTGGGGGAGTTTACATAAATCCGAATGTTGACTTCGATGTTTTAAGGAAATAACCAACAACGTAAATTCGATCTACTAATGATCTCTACGTATATTATTAAAAAAAATCAGTTCCAACACTAATACGTCCTTTGAACTATGTGGCAACTGGAATATGATATTCATTGTGCTATCTTTACCATTTGGATGAGCTGTGAATTCGTACATTATATATTATTCTATTAGGAGTGAGTGAGTGAGTTTAGTTTTACGCCGCACTCAGCAATATCCCAGCTATATGGCGGCGGTCTGTAAATAATCGAGTCTGGACCGAACAATCCAGTGGTCTACAGCATGAGCATCGATGGAACCGATGACAAGTGTCAACCAAGCCATCGAGCTTGACCACCCGATCCCGTTAGTCGCCTCTTACGAGAAGCATGGGTTACTGGGGGTTACTTCACGGGTTATTCTATTAGGAAAACATGTGTCCATCCTTTTCAATGTGATACCAAAAATATTACTCCCATTTGTTCCAGGCCCGTTACCATGCGGTGGACACGAGAGTGCCTCTTCTTACGACCAGTATCTAACATCCCCAGGCTATCCCAGGGACTACCCACCGTAAGAACGATTTCGAATCCCCACATGAGTAAAATGATTTCTGACGTCCCGAGCCATGATATTGCTAGAATATTGCTAAAAGCGGCTTAAAACAATCTCACTCACTCACTTACTCACTAACTCATTTGCCACAGAAGATATTAGTTTCAGTATTTCCATATGCTTAATGCTTAGAATTAAACTTCATTTATGTTACATATATGTTTCATTTGGCAACAGAAACAAGGACTGTACATGGACTGTTAATACAGATTTTACGCAGATCAAGATTAATGTTCTCGACAGCGAGATGGAAGGACTCTCCTGTGCGGGTGACAACGTTAAAATAATTGATGGTAAGGTAACATTGTTTTCGCCGAACACAGCCTAAAGACAGACTCATTTAATGCAATAGGGATACTTTAAATTTGTTTTACTTGCTCCACTAACCGCCGTGTCAAATGTATGAAAGATAAACAATCTAAGTAATAACTACATGTGCAAAAATGTAGGCTTTTCCTGCAGTTATCATTCACGGATAAAAGCCATTTTCCATTGCCTCCATTACAGAAAGAAAACAAACAGTGCCTTCTTCTGTGGATACAAAACTCGTACATGCATATACTGTACATAATATCATTCTATTTATTCTTTCCATTAAAATCGACTAATTAGCATGTCAATATAAATCAGCAAAAAAGATATTATAAGCATGTTTGTATTCATTTTCATTTTCACTCAGTCACTATCCGATCCCGTTTAAAATCTCCAAATGTATTCGTACCTGTTCTGCTACCAAGTGTTTTGTTTGCAGAACAATACATATGCAGTCACATTTGTTAATTGTGTGGTACAGGGGAAGTTCTACTGGCTACTATATACATGTTATTTTGTTCAGGAGATGGCGTGTCATTAATTGGGGAGCTCTGCGGGAGTAACACACCAACCATATACAGTTCTGGTTCGTCTGCCACAATAAGGTTCCACTCAGACTCTTCAACCTCTGGTAGAGGCTTCAAACTGGCATATACAGGAGGCGATTATTTCAGTCGTGAGTATGATTTTTGTAACTTATATCTAACGAAGGAAATTATCAATCGAGATCTCTGCTGATATCTGTTAAGTCTCGAATGCATTTGTCTGAGCACCTGCACATAGCAAAAAACATAACCTTAAGTGTGCACATATAAGGCGAAACCCTTAATTTTTACTGATAGCTACAACTGATGACACACTTGTGATATGTGTTCATGTTTTGAAAGGAAATATCGAATATCATTCTTTAAATCACTGTTTCCACATGTGCAGAACTAAATCGCCTCTTGTGTTCATTCAGCATGTGGTCAAGAAGATATCACCGCAGACATTTGGTCAGACTACCTTACCTCCCCCAACTATCCTTACCACTACCCAAGGTAAGTTGAAGGCTGGTCGGTTTGTTGTTGAACGCCGCACTCAGCAATATTCCAGCTAAATGGCGGCAGTCTGTAAAAAAATCGAGTCTGGACTAGAAAATCCATTGATAGACAGCATGAGCATCGATCTACGCAATTGGGAACCGATGATTTGTGTCAACCAAGTCAGCGAGCCTGTCCACCCGATCCGTTTGTCGCCCCTACGACATGCATGGGTTGCTGATTACACAGATATTAACTAACTTGGATCTTTATGGGTGTAAGTTGAAAGATGAATATTTGTGTAAAACAAGTATAATGAATAAGTATACTTTATGCATAATCTGAGCATGACTACATTTATGACAATTTTCCTGTCACACATGTACACCATCAACCCGAGACACACGTATTCACCTTCTGTCCAAAGACCAGAAGGTTGATAAGAATTTTTTATCATATATCACAAAATGAAATTTTGAAATTATCTATTTGTAAGTGAATGCAAGTATATTTTCACCTTGTTTGGAAGACATTGTCTAGGTGAATCCCGCCGACTAAACTCCAACGTTTTACCATTAGGGCTAATAGTGATCACCCATTCAAAATGCATTGATCAATTTTTTTTGTGGATGAGAAGACTGACGTAACGTAGATCGAAATACTTACACACTTAGTAAAACCTGTAAACATTCATACGTGCCGAAATACCTTTAAATTATACGATCAAAAGCTTCTTTACATGGAGTTTTTTATATCCCGTTGTCCCCCATTTTAGGGCGTAGGAACTAATCTAGAACAGATACCTGTGTTCACTAGGGAGGACAGATTGTATAGGCGTCCATTCATCACAATTTGCTGTTCAGTGTTACTTCCCTTTTGTCAAACATGGATCCGCTGATCGTGGTTTGGATTTAACGCTCATCCCTGACTATTAACCATGGTTTATGGGCACCGGGCCTGCGGTTGTCATCACCACGAGTCCCCGCCCATTAAAGCTGTTGTCTTACATAAAGGGGGCGGTGGGGTAGCCTAGTGGTTAAAGCGTGCGCTCGTCACGCCGAAGACCCGGGTTCGATTCCCCACATGGGCACAATGTGTTAAGCCCATTTCTGGTGTCCCCCGCCGTGATATTGCTGGAATATTGCTAAAAGCGGCGTAAAACTAAATTCAGTCAGTCAGTCTTACATAAAGGTGACATGTCACAGTGAAAGATGCTCGCTGTCACATAAGCCGCGAATAGCTTAAAACAACATTCACTGTCACAGTTACAATTTTGTAACTGGAAGATTGTACATGATGTACATGAAACTGCAATGCTATAATTGTAACATTCCACTTAAGAAATATCAAATCTATTTGTGACAAATGACACAAGAATTATACCATTTGAAGTAAATATGAGAATGATAAACATCAAAGGAATACATCTGCTTGACAATGGCAACGCAATCTTTAAAGGCAGCTTGCTGCTTCAACTGATCCGTGATCTAAGACTACAAAGTTTATTGATATCCCAACATGTTTAACGAGATTCGAATTTATGTGTTTTCCAACAGCAACTCCGAGTGTTCCTGGTCGATCAATACAGGGGACTTTAGCAAGGTGGTGTACGTTGGCGTTATTACCTCGGACTTGGAGTACTCGGACACCTGTTCCTATGACTACATTGAGTTTTTCGATGGTAAAAACAAACATAGCTGTGTTGCATACGTACTGTTATCAACGTTAACATTAAGTGAGTGAGTTGATGAGTTTAGTTTTACGCCGCACATACCAATATTCCAGCATTATGACGGCGGTCTGTAAATAATCGAGTCTGGACCAGCAATCCTGTGATCAACAGCATGAGCACCGATCTGCGCAATTGGGAACCGATGACACGTGTCAACCAAGCCAGCGAGCCTGACCACCCGATCCCGTTAGTCGCCTCTTACCACAAGCATGGGTTACTGAAGGCTCATTCACGGACCTTCACGGGTCGTTAACATTAAGCTATTTAGAATTAGATATTCAAAACCAGCCTAAACACCCTTCTCTTCAGAAAGTTCTATCCCCAGTGACTACCTCCTTCCCTGAACTTCCCACCTGTGACTATTGTAGCACCTTGAGCATGCACATTTTGGATGAAACCCAGCACAATACAAAAAGACATTAGACATTATCATTATTATTATTAGCAAGTGAATGAGAACTGCCCCACGTGTTCTTAATAACCCATGATGTGATTTGAACTCGAATATTTGATGTAGAGATCCGCAGACATACTCGTACTTAAAGGTCACATGCAACGTAAAACACAACTTTGCAGATTCTGATACCTTTCGGTATGGACTTACCGAAACAAATCGTCAAAAATGCAAATGCAACTTATAAAGTTGAAAAATAACGCGATGAAAAAAACCGCGCGAAATCGGAGTTCAAACGTTTCACTAATTTTCCCCCGACTTTTCTGGGGAAAACGGGTTTCAACAGCTGGGCTGCGCTTATAGCACGTGCGCAGTGAAGCAGGTTCGCGCAGCTTGGAAGCGGTTGTCCAGTGAATACTCTGTGAAGGCTTTGGTGTGAGCTATTTTTCTAATGTTTTGTTGATACCTCACAGGCGCGAGCTTTTTATATGTTATGACAGTAAATTAACTGTTTATATAATTTCATTTGTCTATTTCACCACACGTTCTTCTTACAGAGTCACTTTCTCAGTTCGATACTTAAAAGCAATGCCATTATTTAGCGTTGACAGAATTTCTAACTGTGATATAGATATGTCGTTGTCACAGACTAAACTCAATGTCTTGTTTTATTGACACCTGTGTGTCTGCCTGCCTGTCTGCTAATGACAATATTCAATACACAGCTGCTATCACTGACCACTTGCAATTTGAACTTAACACCAATCAGGCTATACACCATAAACAAAATGCATTGATTTATGGCCCGAGTTCAGTCTCTGTCACATTATGGAATTACACAGACAGGCAGGTGTGATACATGTTATGATGTCTGTTGATTTCAAAATGCTATACACAAAAAATGAGCATATATTTACAAAACCCAACATCTCTATATATACACACAATGACCCGTGAGGGCATCTGCAAATGAACCATCCGTTACACTTGAGTGCACACCCACTCGCTCTGACAGGGTTCGGTATCCCGGCTGCTTCGTTTCTTGGGAAGAAAAGCGAAGTACACAATATTGCACTTTTGATTTGCGATTGTACGCTTATAATTTTGTTTATATGTTTTTTCATAACCAGCAATGTATATTATATGTTATGAATAAGTGATAATTGTGTTTTAATTACGTTTGAAATTTTGGTTGCGTGTGACCTTTAACTGAACCGATCACTTTGCTGAGAAAAAGGCTGAAAATACCAGTAGACAGTTGTGAAATAAAAATGATCTTTATAGAGAGCTAGCTTTGGGTTTATGTTGCTAATGGCGTGCTCATCTTGCCAAGCACCCAATATAAATGACAAAATGGTGGAAGATTGTTTACTCACTCACTTTATCCCATACTTTATTTAAACCATCGATATTTGGAGATATCAGCGATATATAACCTGTTCCAGCCTGTCATGTTACATGCGACTGCTACGACATTGTATTGCACGCCATGCAATCGTAAAGTAAACGCTTGTTCTCATTGGTTGGAACAGGTTACTCTGACACAGACACATCACTTGGAAGATATTGCGGCAGCAGTCTTCCCACAAAGCACAGCTCCGGAGAAAACATGTACATCAAATTCCACTCTGACAGTTCCAACACAGGCACAGGTTTTAAGTTGTCGTATGAAGCCAAGGACCGTGGCGACTGTGAGTATTGTTTATATTTTATTGTTTAATATATATACATGTATGTCACTGGATTTTGTGGTCCTAAAATCGACTGTAACGTGGCATGGCAAGAGCACTGCTTTGCGATGTTAGGCAACAAACCTTTATTGTTCCAAGCAAATTGTGTTACTGAAGTGTGCAACCGTTCGGGCAAGACATGCTTTACATTTTCGCGGGCATCACTGATATTTAGTCCATTCATATAAGTTTCATACTATTATGTATTTTTGGCCTATTGAGCTGAGTGGAATCTGTTTTACCGGATACGTATTCAGTAGCATTAAAGTTGCAAATTTGTAAGTTTACAAATAATATTTACCGAAATATAGCAGTCAGTCGAACTCCATAATCATACGCCTATACAAAGAAGGCACAGTCACAGTTAAATGTCTCAGTGAAAAAAGCAAAATCGTAAAAATGTGAACTTAGTACCAACAGCACACGAAGAAACACGCTCACACTATGCCCTGTTTGTAACAGTTTCAGATCTCGACCCAGTCAACATCCCTGCTATTGTTGGAGGATCTGTCGGTAGCGTCTGCTTCATCTCATTTTCCTTGGCATATTAGCAACAGCCAGGAAAAGGAATCGACCAGCGGTCACCCAAGTCCGAGACAACACAGTACACAATGTCAGTCAGGGTCCCTATGAGACTACAGTTACTCCGGCCAACTTCCAGCCACCCCCTGCATATGTCCAAGTGGCCAGTCCTCCTCCCTACCCCCAGCCAGTTGCTACGAGAGACACAGCCCCAATCGTAACCCAAGTAGCTGACTGAGATCATCAGATAATAATCGGCAATACACTGGCACACAAATTCAGACTCAATTCTGAAATATATTCACTAGTACCTGCAAGTATTTATCTAACAATGTCTTGATTAAGCATTATCTAACAAACATGTTAGCCGTAAATTGTATTTTCCTATTACGGTTTTCAATACCCGAACATCGGAAAGAAATGTGCTTTTTCCTACATTTGTAACGAAACGTCATTTGTTATGAAAATGTCTGGTAAAATATAGTATATGCTGCAAATGCCAAATGTTAATCAAAAAAATTAATTGTTTACGTTGAAATACTAATTACCACATTTTCGACATTGGGACTGAAAAATACATATGTCAGTTTCAAATCAGTTATTCAAGCAGTTTGTGAGTCTGCTTTTGTACATTTTGATTCAGATACTCATGTATTGAGTCATAGACTGATGTTTACATATTATCACAATGGGATGTGCAATAAAGAACATGTAATTTCGGTTTCGTTCATGTGTAACATGATCCAGTGTACCACATACCTTGAACTATATAACTACGTGTAGCATTGCGTTATTGTCTGTCCCCACTTTATGAAGATATTGCTACTTCTTAAATGTATAAAATATATTTCATAAAATAATAAAACAATCTTAAAACTTCACTTGGTCAACGCACACAAGAACGTAATTAAGGAATGAATATAAACGACTCATGATCGCCAATGTATGACGATTTTGCGAAATTGTTGTCATATCTTTACCTGTAAGTGATAAGATGAGATATAAGACTATTATCATTACAAGTACATTTGGCAGACTAGATTAGCACCAAAATGTGAAAAGTGATATATCATTACACTAGGTTATGAGTAGGAATATACGACACAAACGCAGTTGGGGGCCAGAGGGTAGAAATTGATTAATGGTACCGATGCTGCTTCATTTGCAAACATAATAAATCCGACCGCCTCCGAAAATGCATTTGTAATTAAATAATCAGGTAGTTTGTTGCGAAACAATAAAGTCATACTCCAAACTATGTCTTATCAGTTGTTTTTGTTCTTGGCTAATCGTGTGGCTCTATCAGATAATGTGTCTATTTCAAAGTGGCATAACTAACTCAGTCACTGGCTGTACAGTTTCATGATCAATGTCATGTTCTGTGTTTGTTCCGCAACTTCATTGGTAATCGTCCTTTTCAAAGTGTTGTGAACTCAAAAAACGAATCATTTTCTCACAACTCCTATTTTGTTTCAATTCACTTTTCATTCAGTAAAACCCTCACTATATTTCTGAACTGAATCATGAACCATTCCAGCACTATGTACAAGTAGTTTTACATCGATGTTTTTGGTTGTTGTTTGACGCCGCATTCAGCAATATACCAGCTATGCGAAGGCGGTCTGTACGTAATCGAAACTGGACCAAACAATCGAGTGATTGGCGTTATGATCGATATACGCAATAGCTGTACGATGACATGCGTCAACCAAGTCACGAGCCTGACTGCCCGATCCCGTTACCTCTTACGACAAGCATAGGTAGCTGAAGATTAATCCTACCTGTATCTTCACGGGTCGGTTCTCAAAGAGCCGGCACCCATGAAGGGCCACCTCCTCGTGGTGGGTGCTGGGTCACGCTAAGCGCCCTTCGACCCCCGTTGTGGACCCGGGGGGATATTAGGTCCACCAAGCCGTTTGCCGTGGGTTGCGCCCCTGTGTCGGTGGAGGACGGGAGGCTGGTGGTTGAGGGCACTGGTTCCAGGAACAGTGTTCCTTTGCCCAACACACCACTTCGCCCCTTACTTCACCTAGACGGGTGGTTGAACTGGCCCGGTTCAATCAATCGGCTGGTCACGCCATGCCCTGTGCATAGTGTACATTTTTGCACATTTAACTCTTTTGGGGTTTTGGCCATTTTTGATTGTGTATTTATAAATTATTGTTCTATTTAATTGCCTAGAGTCCTATGCCAGGAGGCGGTGGCTCATGGGCCAATCTGGCACTATTGACCTCCGGGTTCTGTTTGTCTTCAGGTAAATGTCTAGGGCGGAACCAGCCTTACTTTTATTCTGTTTGATTATTATAGCTACCCGTGTCTCTTTTGCTGGAGTATAGCATCCCTGTAACCCTGGTGGTCGTAGTCGGCTTCCACTTCGACACCGTCCTTGTTGACACTCCATGGTGGGTGGGGAGCGGGAATGTTGAATGATTTTCCTTATCATGGCAACCTTACTTCACACTGGTTCTAGATCCAAAAATAAAAGAAGACATTTAGATACAGATACCATTTCTTCTTCTGAGGATGAAAGTGTTTCTCAAAGTAACATCGACTCATGGCCACGGTTTCTGGTGGTTAATGGCGTTGATGGAGTACCTCTCCAGATTAACCCTTTGTTGTGTCCAAGGCTGTTGACGGGATTTGTGGAGATGTCAAGAATGTAACGCGTCTCAGAAATGGATCTCTGCTTGTCGAATGTTCACGGCGTCAACAGTCAGTTAATCTTCTCAAAGCAGATCATTTTGGAACTACTGAAATCGCTGTCTCTGTGCACAAATATTTAAATTCGAGTAGGTGTCATCCGAGATCGTGCAAGGTGTCTTTCTGACATGTCCGAGGATGAGATAGCATCAGAACTCAAATCTCAAGGTGTCACGTCTGTGAAAAGGTTCACCAGAAAAGATCAGGACAGAGTTGTACCAACGACCACTTATCTTCTTACGTTTGCGTTTCCCAAAGTACCGTCATCAATCAAGGCTGGTTATTTCAACATCGGAGTGGATGTATATATACCAAATCCACTCCGATGTTATAATTGTCAGAAGTTTGGGCATGGGGCCAGGTCTTGTACTAATCCAATTAGTTTTGGATTTAGAAAATTTAAAACCGTTTTCAAGACACCATTTATCTATTTTATTTAAACACAGCTGCAGTTGCCGTTCAATAGTATGCATATTTTTCCCACGACAAGAAATATTAAAATCATCCACAAAAACATCCACTTTTAATTGAAATAATCGAATTATATAATGATCTTGCTACTGGCCAAAGCGACATCGTCTTCTGTTGGTTACCCAGCCACGTTGGCATTTCTGGGAATACAATGGCCGATCTTGCTGCCAAGGCAGCACTCAACAAATCTGTGACACCACTTCTTATTCCATATTCTGATTATAAAGCTGGCATTAGAACTTACATCCGTGATCTGATGCAGAAGAAGTGGGACAACCAAGTAGGTATTAATAAACTACATGCAATAAAACCTTATATTGGTTACACCTACTTGGGTTGTCAGTCCAGATTTGAGGAGGTCATTATGCGACGATGTCGTATTGGCCATACGCGCTATACTCACAAATACCTATTGAAAGGTGAGGATCCTCCGTTTTGTATCCCTTTGTGATGAGAACCACGGTCAAGCATCTCCTGCTTGACTGTGTTGAATTCTCCATCATAAGGGATAAATATTTCAATGTAAAACAATGAAGGATCTTTTACAAATGTTAGTTATCATTTAATTATTGTTTTTTTAAAAGAAATTGATTTCTTTGATGAATTCTGATTAATGTGGTTTATAAATAGATATATTTTAAAGATTGGTAATTTCGATTAGTACCTTAGATTGTTAGTGGCTGTACCCTCAAAGGAGGTTAAAGTACTGTAAAATTATTGTCCTCCTGAGAGGGTACGTAAGTCCCAAAACTTTCAAAGTAGACTTTTCACATACCAAGTTTTTAAACGTAGTATTTTTTTCATTTAGATTTTGGCTAAATTGTCCTACAATCACCAGCGGCTGAAGGGATGGTGTAAACCAACTAGGGTCCATGCAGGTAGCAAGGTACTGTAAGTCCCCATGGACCCTAGCATGGTGACCTACTTTCAGTTGTTGGTGATCTATAGCCCATTTTTATATTGTGTTGTCCCCTGAGGTTAAAATGTTTTAGACTCTATTACTAGTTTTATCTGTATATGTGATATTCTAGTTGTTTTACTGCCCTTCGTTGGCAGGTTTTTATAATATTCATATATTTCATTTCAATATCAAATGTTCTCGTCACGATATGGCTGAAATATTGCCGATGTGACGTTAAATATTAACTCACTCACTCACTCTCAAAGAGCCAAGCCCAGAATTACATATTCGTAAAGACAACTCATTCTTAAGGTTTAGCTTATACTGATGAGGAAATGTATGATTTGGAAAGATGCTTGTGTGTTTGGAGTATGGAGGTATGGTTAAGGAACAATTTCAATATCAGAGATCGCTTTCCCAAACTGATACCCCTCGAACATTAAGCTGGTTTGCTACGGAGTTGTCCGAAAAGCAACACTGATTCCAACTCTTTAATGACAGAGATTTATTATGAAAAATCTGGATAATACCAGAACAGTAGAAATGTTTTGCAAGTCTGTGATATCGATTTCATGATGAAATGTTGATCTCACCATTCGAAGATTCCTTAGTCCAGACACAACATGTTTCCGAAATTTCAGCATAGTTAGGGGCCGTTCATAATTTATGGCTATGGGGGATGATGATGATTTTTGTGGAGAAGCATGTACAATGTAAATGACCTACCCTAGAATATATGTACAACATAAGTACATACCCCCTGCATGTCATGTACAAAAGCAATTACCCCCCCTCCCCTTCCCATAATTTTCAAGCATAATTTAAAACATATTTTTATGTACAAAATTGCTGACCCCCCTACTAGTATGTGTGTACAAAATTGCTGACCCCGCTAGCTCCCAAGAACAAAATTAAAATCATCATTTTTCCCCTCACCTCCCTCTTTCTGCCCACCCCCACCCCCACCCCACCACCATCCCCACCCCATTCCCCCCACACACACACTCACAAATTATGAACCGTCCTTTAGGCACACTTTCAGGCGCAGCGATGACTTAGCATTACATCACTGCCACAGGGTAATTTGCGTATTATATTGCATATTCGTAAGTAAGAAGATACTGGCCCAACGGAAGCGATTCGGCGCGGTCTTTATAATGTTTTACATTGTTACACAAACAATCTTCTACAACTGCGACAGTAAGGTTTATGACAATACATATTGCTATATCAAAGGGGCTAGATCGTTTGCTCTCAGTAAGGCTTCGATGACAGCACGTGGAACCGTACAACTCATGTAAATAAAGGATCGCTGCGGAAATCGAAATAGTGTTACCCGTTTTAGGATATTTTCTCAGTAAAACTAAACCATTCTAACAATGATGTTTAATTAGATGTGTATACTCATCAAAAATAAAAGTGTTAAGAAATATGTATATTATATTGAATGGACTGTGTAATCGTCACATCTTTCTGGCCTGTGGCAGAGGTACTATGCTGGCTGGGCATGAGAGTGCATGGTTAGCTGGGTATGAGAGTGCATAGTTAGGATGAGCTTTTAAAGTGAGTTAACTCCCTTGGCTCGGTAGGCTGTTTCGCCGTGGATATCGCTATGTTTGTGCATTGAGTGTCACCCGGTTTATCGTATTGACCTACTGACGCTGTCCAGAATGTATGGTAGTATGGCCAAAGATCAACGCTGTCAGGTTACGACTAAACAAATAAGGGAGATAGAGAGACACAGGTATCTCAACATCAATGATAATGAACAGGGGTTAGTCGGTATAGCATCACAACATACTGGTACATCACCCTTTCACCATGCTATTTGTATGTAATACACACCTAGTTGTCTATGATAAGATTACAAACGTATGATACTGTACGTACTGTGAGTTGTGAGTCTGAATAACACAAAATAATACTGATTTTAGTGGAAAAGTTGAAGTTGTTAATTTTGAGGAATCAAAAGACCCGACAAAACTATATTGACTATTTTAAGCAAGATCCGTGCAGATCTGGGATAGATCGGTCTTCAGCGACCTATACTTGAGTTATCTGGTTATCAGGGCTTCGCTGGCACAATGGATGCGTATCACCGTACCCTTAAATTGTGGCCCAATAGCTGGAATATCCGGTCCGGTGTTACACAATAAACAACCCACGGATTGTGTCAGCGGTGGGTATAGTCGACAGGGTATGACGTATGTCGCCGACAGCCTTCTATTTCCCTTCTATTTCAGGGCTGCTTCTCCAATGGCTATATGTCGAGAGTTGTACGTGCCACCCGCATTCGGCTACCCGCCAAATCTCGTGCGTTTCATGCCTGTGACGTGTGACACTTCCATGTCACCATCCGACCATGTCGGACGTACACAACATCTTTCTCATGTTGTAATCTTCGTATTTCACAGGTAAGCATCCTCTCTACATATATTCTTTCTACATCTATATCATAGCTAGTGGCGACATCTCAAGACCAGAAACCGCAACACGTATTTGCTATTTCTAGCGCCGCTCTGGTATCATCACGGACTTTCAGTGATAACATTCACTGATTTATACGTCAAGTGACCATTGCGAAATTAAATCTCGGACTTGTTTCCGCTGAATATAGAAATTGTTCTGTGGCGTTGAGGTTCAACATTAAACTAATTTAAATACATTCAACTTTTAATCGTAATGACAAGTACTCTCTTGTGTAATAACGACTGACAAATAACAGAACAAATACAAGATGACACTGAAAATGAAGTTTTGTTCTGTATCAGTTGTTAAAAGTGGTGTAGAATTTCAGCATTTTCGGGAATGTCATAGCGATTGAAGATAGTCCCAAGATAGTTACAAACCTTTTTGATTGAAGACATTAGCCACGCTCAACAATTTTCAAGTCAAGTTGTATCTCGTAAAACAACTTGATATGTTTTCAAGACGAACGAAACATGAAAACTCAATGCATCAAGCATCAGCCCAAATCGAAACATCAGCAAACTGCCCTTACGATAGCCTTTTAATATCATTTGGTATTAATAGTCGATTTAATGTATTTGTTTGTTTGTTCACTCTCACTCAACAATAGTCCAGCTACATGACGGCAGTCTCTACATAACACAGTTATACATGCGTAACCCAATCATTTGGCGTATCCTCGTGATGCCATTGTGACAGGCATGTCAGTATAACTCCGACATAAAGCCCTTTATGATCGGACCAGCATAGTAGCCAGAGCAGTAAATTCACGTACACAAGCTGGTTAGTATGATCTGAAATTTCATTCTTGTTTACTCATGCAGTAAGTATCTCAAATATACAACTTATATGGCGTATATGGCCATCCGTAGTTTTTATGGTTTACCATGTCCCTGGAACCAGTAAGAGAGCGAGCGGGCTAACAATAAAAGTAAAAACCATAAAATAATGATTAATAATAATTGTTTTACTGATTTCATTTTATTTTCAGCTTAATTAATAATCTGGTAATAGTATTCAAATTCGGAACCAATTTTAAGTGTCAGAGTATATTAACACCACATGAGGACATGCATTTCCACAGCGGCGGGACAGAGTAGATATGGAAACTTTATGACGAATTCGAAATGCCGAATACAGAAAGAAAATATACAGATAACGTAAGATCAACACAAACTTGTAGTGGCACGTAGCTCTCGACCAGGGCCCTGTTTCACAAAGTGATCTTAGCCCTACGACTGCCGTAACTCAATGTTAAGGTATAGGAGCTACGATAGTCGTAACGCTATGATCGCTTTGTGAAACGGGGCCCAGAGTTTGATATGTGAGTGATACAGCACAGTGTCGAGTATCATTGATATCATGTGATAGCGGGTCACAGATAGTCATGTGACTCATTGACGCTAAGGTTTAGACTTCATAGGTTTCACAATAACAGGACATTCATTTAGTTTGATACATTACTGAGCGGTGTACCTACAGACAAAGTGGACTACGTATTAGGGTGACAGAAATATGAAGATATGGGGGGGTTTGTTCAGCAGTTGTATGTTTGATGTTGGTGTCAAGAACAGGTAGGTTTTGTTTTGTACTCAGCCCTGTATTACTGTTACAATGTGGGCGGTGAGGTAGGCCAGTGGCTAAAGCGTTCTCTCGTTAGGACCCGGGTTAATTCCCCAAGAGATATAATGTTAGACGTCTAGTTGTAGCGTCCGCTGCCTTGACATTGCTAATTGTCTACCTGAAAGCTGCCTAAAACCATACTCCCCATCTCAGTCATATGAAGACACACGACACCCATAGATGTAGTATTGTCACCATTTACCAAAACTACTTTCAATTTGTAATGTTAGACAAAATATATCTACTTTTCTGGTCACAGGTGATACGTATACGAAATAACTTGAACTGAATATGGAATGTGAGGTTATTATAAATAGAACGTAGTTGTTATTCCTACGTAAAATATCCCTCACAATTAAGACCTTCAAGTAAGTTTCACTACTTGGAAGGCTGTATAAAACTCTTTCCGTAGTTCCACACATATTCACGTGTGAGAACCCTTGTCATGATTTTGCTTTCTGCGGTTTCTCGATGTAAGAAAATAAATCACTTCTGTGTTTATTATAGTTAAATTGTCAAGGTAACAATTATTGTAGCTCACATGTTTTATGATAATGCTTGCAAGTTCATTATATGCACAGAAATCTCATTTCATATTACTGACGTTATAATTCCGAGCTTTCGGAGATGTGATGATCAAGTATAGTTACGCTGAATGCTGAGATTTCGCTTCGTCATCCTAGAGTTGTTTCAATTCTATTCACAGATTCCTGTAATGTGGAAATCGTTTCATCGAGAACACCGACTAATGTCACTTCTCCTGGGTATCCTTTTATGGCCTACCCGAAGTAAGACACCAAGTGCAGTGAGACTATGACTTATGGAACCAGCAGATTTGACAACGAATGCCCCAAAACGTGTCATATTTATTTTATCAATGTCATCGGGGTAAACGATGATGGGCCAGCTGTTAACGATGGTGCAATTCGCTCCACAGTATTTCGTACCTTAGTCAATTCAGGATCTGCTAATCGCTCGCTCGTATCTGAGACTCGTATTGATTGTTACCTTTGATTTACCAACACAATGTCCATATTAAGTTGATACGCAGTGTTTCGACTACACGCTTTTCAAAACAGCAAAATAGGTAGCTAGGTTCACTGGTTGTTCAGTAATACTTTCATGTAGCTCAGAGGAATTGGAATGATTGGCAGGACTTAAGAGACAGGCTTCAAACACGGCTATATATCCTGAAGTATATAATTATGCATGCATACATTGCACATAACATAAACATGTTGGACACAGTTGTGCTTGTGTGAATATTGCTAATGTGTGTATGTTTTTGCAGTAATCTCCACTGCTGGTGGAGGATTGATGCCAGTGATAGCGGAAACAGCGTTATTGTGAGGGTTCTGGATTCTTACATCGAATCATCAACGAACTGCGCTTATGATAGTCTGTCCTTTTATGATGGTAAACTCGTATACAAGATTAACTACTGTAATAGTCTTAATTAGTTCAACCACATGACTGAACAGTCGATTTAATGGGTTTGTTTGTTTCTGTAACATTGCACTCAGCAGTATCCAGTTTATGGTGGTTTAATCGAGTCTTGACCAGGCAATTCAGTAATTGACGTTATGTGACACGTGTCAACCAAGTAACCGTGCATGGTTCCTTTATTCCCGTTAGTCGCCTTGATTTGATAATTGATCTATACCTTGTCATTAGTCCTGAAATGCATACACTAGTGGTGATATTACAATGAGTTTGTCATACCATATGATATTTTCCTATCTCGTTCTCACATGACTATTATTATAAATTCAATAGTCGATAGGGTGTTTCCACATTGCTTCTTTAAATATTACTAGTAAGTAAAAATTTATTTTGTTCTGAAACGTCCCTATTAAACCCAGAGAAAAATAGTCTAATGTGCGTGTCATATTTGTTCCCAGGACGAGATGCTACGGGCCCTTCTCTTGGGCGACTGTGTGGACAGAACCGCACCTCTGTGATAAGCTCTGGTAGATCCATCTATATCGTCTTCAAAACCGACGGCAGTAACCAGTACAAGGGCTTCCTTCTTGAACTTTATGAAACTACAAGTAAGTGGACTTGTCACAGTGATTCAAAGGTATAGAAAAGACAGTGTATAATGTAAGGTATTGTAGAACTTAGAAACTTCACAAAAGAACTCCCACGTCATAATGTGTCAATCTACCTTCTGTATCTCTCTTCAATGTGCTTCGCCGGGTGGCCATCAAGGATCAATATATTTATGACTACACTGTACTCAAGCTTTTCCATTTCTGCCGTTTGAATAGGGGTACATGTGATTAGATGTCACGTGACCGGAAACCAGCGACATGTGCATGTCAGCATTAGTTGACTGATATAAACCATTCTTAAATATCATGAAGGTATTTTTATCAGGCACATATCAGAACTAGGCTCAAAACGTTTTGATAGCCACTCGTAGTTGAACAGTGGGACATCAAGTAAGAGGAGATAATATTAAACCGGATGAGTGTTTTTTGTAAAATAAACAAAAATTAACCGCTAAGGAAGGGTCTGTGTGCATTTTTATATGTAAGTAAGGGTATTTGTTTTGTGAGCCTATTCGCCGAAAGAACACTTCAACGATTCATGTCATTGTTGTCATACTTGTTTTACAGGATGTGGTGGGGCGCTGACTGCAACACCTGACGAAACAAATTTTGTGTCACCTGGGTTTCCTTATCAGTACTTGAAGTAAGGACCTTATTAGTACTTGACGTAAGGACATCTGAGAGGCGTAAACGTATTCGATGATAGTGATCCATGCACATGATGCCGTTAGTTGATGAAGTGAGTGAGTGAGTGTGTTTAGTTTTACGCCAGCTATATGGCGGCGGTCTGTAAATAATCGCGTCTGGACCAGACAATCCAGTGATCAACAGCATGAGCATCGATCTGCTCAACTGGGAACCGATGACATGTGTCAACCAAGTCCACCCGATCCCGTTAGTCGCCTCTTTCTACCCCGGACTTTCACGGGTCTAGTTGATGAAGAAGAACCAGCACACTAAAAGTGTGAACCATGAACATGTGCCCGCACACACTGTGGACAGAATAGTTGTAGTCAAAATAATCCAACTTTCTTGTAATTAAACATCTGTACCATTGTATCACTGAAACCTGTAAAATGTTTAATCTTTGTTCAAGATATCAAGCAAGGTTTACTGAACAGACTCTGAGCATCAACACTATAATCATTCACTCGTGTACCATAACATTTGGTAAGACAGGTGGGGCGGTGGGGTAGCCTAGTGGTTAAAGCGTTGGCTCGTCACACCGAAGACCCGGGTTCGAATCCCCACATGGGTACAATGTGTGAAGCCCATTTCTGGTGTCCCACACCGTGATGTTGCTGGAATATTGCTAAAAGCGGCGTAAAACCAAACTCAGTCAGTCAGGCAGTGGTAAGACAGGTAAGCGGGGAATTGTGTCCCCAGCGTTTCGTTTTAACGATACAGAAAATATATAATTATTGGTACTTACCTGGAGGTAATGTGTGTTCATTCGTGTTGCAGTAATATGAACTGCACGTGGTTCCTCACCTCCGAAAATGAAAACGATACAATCGTAGTGGAATTTGACCAACTACAGTTGGAAGGGGGACGGGCAGGCTGCTTGTATGACTATGTTTCCGTTTACAACGATCACGAAAACCACAGTGAGTACTACAGAATTAAACACATATGGCTACAGTGGCGGCGTTGATCATTGTCTACAAATGGTTCATGTGGTCCTTTCTCAAACACTTTTACTTTTACAACACCTGATACAACGTATTAGAACACTGCGTATCGACCATAGAGCATAAACAACATAGTTCCACTTATGCATTAATATCAGTGGGAAATCTCAACTTCTTCACATGCAGTGACATACTCTACTGTCACATACTCTGACACATATACAACACGGTACGGCCTCTAGTTTCTTCTGCCTGCGATGTGTACTTTACCAATAATAATATTGCTTATCAAATTGTAACCCTTAACCCTCTTTTTTAGTATCTCAGATATACTATTTGTAACCCTTAACCCTCTACTTTAGTCTCTCAAAATATACAGTTGTTACAACAAGTACAGTCTTTCTCCTCTCAGATGAACAGTTCCTGGGGCAATTCTGTGGATCTTCTACACCTACCATCCAAAGCTCAAGAAACAAATTGCGCATCGATTTCAAGACCGATTTGTCTGGGGTATTACAGGGATTTTCATTGAACTACAAGACGGTGACAGGTGCGTACTCTTTTTTACATTTCTATGTAATTCCAGTAATGCTGATAGAGTCCTGTCGGTAACGTAATTACTATTATGTTTTTCACGTGCATATACAGGCAATACATCATACCCTTAGTTATGTTTTAACTGATAATTTTATACCATTACTCAATTAAAATCTGATGTCCCAGAAAAGAGAATAGTTATCCAGTATACATCTAGATTTGTCTGCCATAAAATGTACGAGTTCCATGTTCGGATGTGAACCACAGACCTTCTGGTCTGAAGTTGGGCGCCTTTATAACCGCAATGTTTAATCCACTCAGCCAGCTAACAAAGTAAGGATGTCTTCTATGGGATGACTCCACGCCCCACGTGGAACATGATGAGATCTGGTAATCGAGGTTGGTTATTATGTGGCCTGGACGTTTTATGCCTGTTTGTTGTGAAAGTGTGAAATTAGTTATGTATTGATTCATTTATATTTTATAAGTTGATTGTTTTTTCTCAGCGGGTGACTGCAATCTGACAATGCCGGCGGATTCCAATCCGATCTATTTCGTATCACCCGGATATCCAGATGCTTATGATAAGTATGTTCAAAGTAAACATGGAAAAGCACATTACTACATCCGTATCTGTCGGGTACGATTTAGCCCACAGCGAGTTGGGCTATATAAGTAGTTTTCCACCGTTTTAGCATCGGTTCAACATATATTTTGTCTAATCTCGTCATCATGGAGCAGCAATAAACAACACAAATTTCAGGAGTGAGGTCATCCTTGTAATCAATAGGCATTAATTAAATAATGAATTACGTTAATAAATGTCTTGACTTCATGTATTAACCGTTATGCTGTTGGCTGTTGTCAGTGACCTGGAATGCGTCTGGCAAATGGTGTCAACTGGTCAGCAGTATATTCAGATTGATGTCATCGGTTCAGAAATTGAAGGAAACTACCCACTGTGCAGTAACGACTCAGTCACTGTATATGAAGGTAACCTTCTTAAGATGACACTTTTTCGTAAACACTACTTATAATAATTAATCCCTTGATAGACAGCACTTATTAAAATGCTGATTAAAATTTCGCTGAAGAGGCCATAAACCGTATTACATAAAGAGAAATCATTAGCATCCTGTCAAAACCCAACGGCTTGATCCTCAATCAGTCTTTGTTGAACACTGAGCATCACGTTTGAATATAACATATACTTGACTTCGATCGTCATCAATGATTTTCAAATAATTATCACAAACATTATGCTCAAGTACAAACGTCCAATCACATTTGTTCTACAGGAAGAGATCTCAAGGCTCCTGAGGTTGGAAAGTTTTGTGGCAATTCCACGCCATCCTTCATATCGAACGCCAGAGCTATGACGGTATCATTTACGACAGATGGTGAGGATGTTGGCAAGGGCTTCCGAATTAGATACAGGAGCCTCGATGCTCCAGGTAGGTATTGCATCAAATGGATGTCTGTCATGTTTGTCATCTCAGTGAATATTAGACCATGACATTTGATAAGTATGTGTTCAGATATATACCTTACATGTTAGAGTGTCCAACCAATATTGATGTGCAGGTGAACATCAGACTGATGGTTTGGGCTCGACTCTCAACGAAGCAACATTTTTATTGTCCCCTGTCGTGTTATTACTTATTTACTCTGGTGACGAATGACAGTATTTAAAATAGATAAATGAGAATAACAGAAGTCCTAATTGGAAATGTTTAAGACAAAGACATATAGAAAGTTTAGACAGATAGTCATTTCAGTTATATGTGTCCTGCTTGTGGCTATCAAAAGGGTTTTATCGCTTTGCATCATTAGATATGATAATTGGAAGATTTTTACATTCAAATTACTAATCATGTTTAACGCACACGTTGATCTGGTGTATACATTTTATTTTACATATATCATTTATATCATGTGGTTGCTAATAACTATATTTGTATTAGGTTTCAAAGTGAAATCGGAATTGAATGTGATGAAGTATGTCAAAATATTTTGATCCGACAAATAATGTGTTCAAAATATTGAATGGACTTTACCTTACTTGCGAATGTCAAACATTAAACGTAATATTAACATGTGGAGTGGAATAGTAGTACTGGCAATTGATCTGATGCTAATGCTTCTATCAGAAACTCGTCATTATTTCACTGTAACAGTTACTACAGTCTCCCCATCACCCGATCGTCGATGCGGCTCCACAGCTCTGTCAGCCGTAGGCCAGGGCCAGTACTTAGAGTCCCCCAGGGTATCCTTCGGGTTATGCAAAGTAAGTAAAATTTATTAATGATAATTGGAAAAGAAAACATAAATTAGTAACCCATACTTGTCGTAAGAGGCGACTAACGGGACCGGGTGGTCAGACTCGCTGACTTGGTTGACACATGTCATCGGTTCCCAGATTGATGCTCACTGCTCATGTTGATCACTGGATTGTCTGGTCCAGGATCGATTACTTACAGACCGCCGCCATATAGTTGGAATATTGTTGAGTGCGGCGTAAAACTAAACCCAATCAGTCAATCTCAAAGACCGCGAAGTCATAGGAATAACTATTTTACGTACATGTCATTATTTAAAAGGATTGGTTGAGTCAAACACCACACACGCCCATATTACAGCTACTTGGCGGCCTGTGTATATAACTTTGGACCTGACAATCTAGTGACATTACGTGCAAAGTGACGTTTATATGAACTGTGAATGCATTTACACATGTATATGTATATATTGTATCACGTGTATCGGATGCCACAGTCTTAATTAGACAACATTTCAGTTACTATTTTAAAACTATTTAGATCTCACTATTCTTATTAACGCTAACAAAGAAATTTGGCTTAAAAATTAAATAAAATGTTGATACACGTTTGGAGGTGTAATAGTAAATCGGTCCTAGATGAAACCGTCATCTATGCATTAATCTGTGCGATAGATTTTCACATTTATAACCATTGAGAAGAAGCTGCAAATGTTGCTATATTTCCCCACTTGTTTCAGCAATGAGCAATGCATTTGGACAATAACGGCAGCATCTTTAAACAACTACGTCAAAATCGACGTAATAGATTCCATACTAGAAGGTGGAGATGGATGTCAATATGATTTTGTTAAGGTTTTTGACGGTAGGTAAAAGATAGACACGTTGTATTATTATCATATTTGGCATTGAAAATCAAGGGAAAATAATGCAGGCCTTTAACACGCCTTCTTTATGTAGGCAGTGGATTTGGTTATATGCTGCTCCAGACATAATTATATTTCTCTCATCACTGCGAATCAGTTTTATACAAGGATGATCACAGTGACGCTGAAAAAGCAAGGATTCCAATAGAGGATAATTGGAGAATCCAAATCATTGACCAAGATAGCATGACGTAGCTATTGGATAGCCTTGTGTAAAGCTGATTGTAACTCAGCGCACTACTGAGCACCTGGAATCAATTTGTGTGTTGATAAAATGTACAACTCGGAATTATTATATCTCTTTATGTACTTCATTTTATGTCATAGAATAATCAGTATAACTTGAGCATGCAACCTCAACGCATTTCTGTAGACTGTTTATAGATCATGTATACCACTGTTTCCAGGGAGCAGCGTCAATTCGCCTTTAATGAAGGTGTGGTGCAGTACAATGGAGCCTACGTTACAGAGCTCTGGGCAGGCAATGACCCTGATGTTTAAATCTGACTCCTCTAACACATTCAGAGGGTTCAGACTCCAGTACACTGAAACTAGTCGTAAGTACTCTGTATATATTTGACTAAATCTGCCTTTACGTTGTGTCTCACTGAGTGTGTGTATGTGTGTGTGTGTGTTTCTGTGTATGTACATGTATGTTTGTGTCTAAGTGTAGATTAGCGATTGTGGCATACGTTGTATTCAATTAATTGGTTTATATACAGAGGTGAAATACTGTATTACAGCCTGATAATGACTTATGATACTGATAGTGTGAAAATTGTGGATGATGAAATTGGAGATATAAAAGAAAACATTGTTTGGTCAGGAATGCTACAAGCGAAAGGAAACTTTATTGTTCTAGTTATTGCTTTAAGACAACAGACAACATTTCAACACTTGATGCAAAGGTAGTTATGAACTTACATTAATTCAGATTTAAACATAAATTGTTACATTTGTCATAATGTACTGTTTTCTTCAGTCTTCCCAACATCTTCCCCTCAATGTGGAGCCGCACACCTGTCCGCCTCTAATGTTTACCAATACCTTCAGTCCCCAGGATATCCTATCACTTATCAAGAGTAAGTAGATAAGCAATATTCTCATCTAAACACTCACTATTTTTAAGATCTAATCATAATGATCGCATTCCGATGAATGTGCAGTCGTGGTGTAACTTTACTCAGACAAACGCAAAGAAACGCGGTAAAAGACATTCCCTTCTGTAGATGGAATGGTATTACATGCAAAGAACTGAAGGTATGATGACGAGAACGTTCCATGCTAGGAGTTCTAATACCTCCCCATGAGTCATATCACACAAGGTGGGTCAGAAGCAAGTTAACAAGGCAGTGAGTGTGTCCACACCGTGATTTGATGTAGGACACAGTCCTCAGTTCATTAAAGGTAGCAGAATGTCCTGGGAAATGCCATCTCAAAGGTTAGGATAAGTCGGATCTGGAAAACCGCGCACCATTTTATCATTGATACGAGTATGTATTCGTATGTACGAATGGTAACAGAGTATGTAAACTTGCAAGCCAGGGGAGGTTCTAAACTCAAACCCCTGAAAATAATGAGTTTCAGTTTTCTGCCAAAATCGGTTCTACTGGGCGTCAAAATAGTTAAACCGCCTCCGTGGTGTAGTGGTTAGAGCGTCCGCCCGGAGAGCGGAAGGTCGCAGGTTCGATCCCCGACCGCGTCATACCAAAAGACGTTAAAATATGGTACTTGTTGGTCCCTGCCTGGCGCTCGGCATTAATGGGTACAACAAGGACTGGTCGGCTCGGAGTCAGTATAATGTGTCTGAGTGGGGTATTCATGCTTCACTGCGGCATGGTATCTCAGTGGGCTAGCACTATAAAACCAGCTTGAGTCTGGGCTAGTACAAGCAGCCGCACATACACATACACACACGCATGCACGTCGTCATATGAGCGAAATATTCTCAAGCACGAAGTTAAACCCAATTTCACCTCACCTCACCTCAAAATAGTCATAGTTATATATATTTTATTGATTACACCTGGCATCGGCAGAAATTAAAAGCGTCTTTTTCTGACCCACTTCCACCTGCTACTCACATCATTTTTGTAAGGCGCCGGCTGCACCCACTGTCAATTGTGTCATACGACGGAAAAATGCAAAAACTCGAATCTGAAATACAGAAACTATTATAACGTTTTAGCACTCGGACGCCAGCGTCCTCGTACGTTATCAATAATAGTTCAGGACAAGAGTGTACTTCATTACACTATGGGGTAGAGCCACCTGTATTTCTTAGATATACTTAGTAATGGGTAAAACATAACATACTGACATCAAATCATCGGTTTGTGTCTCTTTAATACATTCCACCCCCTGAATACATACCGGGATGTATAGAGTAGAAGACATGACAGCATGTATCATCTGTTTCAGCAATGAACAATGTATTTGGACGATTGAATCAACCCTAAACAGCGTCATCGAAATCATTGTGGACGATTCATATTTGGAGGGTGGAACAGGATGTCCATATGATTATGTTAAGGCTTTCGATGGTAAGTACAAGATGATTTAGACAAAATGTATCGCAATTGTAAAGCAATTATTTAGGACTACTTTTGTGTATTAGTCTACGCATTTGGAATACGATGACATGTGTCAGGCAAGTCAGCGAGCCTGACCCCCTGATCCCTTTAGTCGCCTTTTACGACAAGCATGGATTGCTGAAGACCAATTCTAAGCCAGATCTTCGCGGGTTTACAGAACAATGCTCTGAGAGGTATATGACGTCCATTTCAATTCATGATGTATTAAAATAAATCAGAATATCTGCTTGAGTTGGGCATCAAGCTTCTCCGACACACTGGATATGCAGTACTTAAAGCTTTCTTACTGCATGATGGGAAATATTATATCCATTTAATTCTAGGTAACAGCATAGATTCACGGATGTTACGAGTTTGGTGTGATGTGACGACACCGACTGTACAAAGCTCTGGGCGGTATATGACACTCCTTTTCAAAACCGATGCCACCAATACCTACAAGGGTTTCCGACTAGCATATTTGGAAAGAACGGGTAAGTTACAATGTGACAGTTGAGGGTATAAACCAATTTTATCTAAATCGTGAAAATAGTGTGAATGACGGATTAGTTGTTTGGATGTGAGAACTGATACTGCAAAAGCATATAGAGTGTCTCTCGGCAGACTTAGACATTGCAGTCGTCAATTAAAGAACGCAAAGGAAACTGTTTTCACATATGATGACACAATGCCATTTAGAAACTGGTCAAATGTAACATATGTTATATTTGGGATTTTCACATATATTTGGCGCGTGGTCCTGTACATAGAGCTCAGGGCACAAATCAGTTGAAATTAAGCAACGTCGAGCTCGGAGAATCCTTGGATGGGTGACCGTGTTTGGCAGCTTGACTCCTGAGAGTTTCTAGAACTTAGGCCCAGCCCCACAACGGATACACGTGGTCTCACCTTAGGCAAGTGAGTGTGTTCACAATTGCCTCTGTTCACCAAGCACAAAGGTTCCCCGGTGGGATAAGTCATGTGACTATAACCTTCTAGCTCGTCACAGGCAGCTTGGGTTATCCGGGGTAATAATAATCAGATTGTAACAAAGGTTGTAGCGCTTTGAGCATGCACTAGTGCATGGAGTCTAGCGCTCTACAAAAACCCTGTATTTTAATTATTGTTATTATTACAACAATCGATTGCCATTTGCTTGAGTGTGACCGGCAAGGTATTGCATACAATAGCTGTGATATTGTTATATCATAATCATAATCATGTATGGATCACTGAACATTAGTTATATGTCTCTGCTTGTTCGCGGAAAGGATGGCCATTCTTTGATCTGTAAATACAGTTAACAATGACTTCACCGGTATGTTTTATACATTTATCTAGCAGTCACGCCATCACCGAATCCTCAATGCGGCACCTCAGATCTTATGGCGCTGACGTCCGACCAGTACCTTCAGTCACCAGGATATCCAAACGCTTACCCAAAGTAAGGGCAACAGAATTAAATCATTAAATACAATCCTTTTTCAAATCGATCGATCGTTGCGTGAATTGAACAAATATATTATCGCGTTATTTCTATTTTAGAAATCATATACTCACACCCAGTGATTATACTATGCATTCGATTCATTTATCGTAAACATTCATATTTTGAGACAATTATGTAATATGTCCGTTGGGGAACAGTTTTTGTTAAACCATTTGCAACTTAGTAAAGCTGCCTTTCACACACACTCCGGCACAGCGATGACTTAACATAACATCGCTGCCACAGGCTAATTTGCATATCACGTGACCGGACTTTTCTCTTGTTTGTAATCAAACGCGCATATTCATAATAAGAAGAGACTGGACTCACGAAAGCTTTTCGGCACTCTCTTCATAATGTTTTACATTGTTACATATATATTCTTCCATAACTGCGACAGTAAGGTCTATGACAGTACATATTTAGATATCAAACTGGCTGCATCGTTTGCTCTCCATCAGCTTCGATGACAGCACGGGGAGCCGTACAACCTATGTAAACAAAGGATCGCTACGCAAATCGAAATAGTGTGACATGTTTTTGGATATTTTCTCAGTGAAATTAAACCATTCTATTAAAGATGTTTAGTTAGATGTGCAGACTCGTCAAAAAAGTAAAGAGTAAAAGAAATCTGTACATTATATTGAATGGACATTGCAAGATGTGACGATCCGTCACATTTTTCTGGCCTGTGGCAGAGGTACTATGCTGGCTTGCCGCATGGAACTCTGGGTTGGAGAGTGCCTTTCACACACATTTACATTATTAAACGAAGTTAAACATCAGACATTGCATTACCCATATTCACTGTTTCTGAAACCATGTCTGTGAGAAAATATCACAAATTCAACAATTGAAAAAGGCTTGGATGTCCAAGCCATCAAATTTTCCACAGCCATGCCACTTGTATTACTACACCAACTTCTAAACACCTTTGAAGAATATCATCAATAATGTTAAAATTGTCACAAGGTAAATTAGATAAATAATAAATAAATATATCATTTCAAGTGCCCGTAGTCATATGCAAATATGCATAGCACTTTGTCTTGTCTTATCGAGAATAATTTCAAAATTGATCATTAGAATTAAATTCGCCATGGATTCTATGGAACTGTTTTAACGGGAAAATCATCTCTTTCAGCAACGACCAATGTGTCTGGACAATAACGGCATCAACATCAAGCTATGTGGTCAAAATCGTTGTACTAGATTCAGTTCTAGAGGGAGGAAGCAATTGTCCCTACGACTTCGTTAAAGTTTACGATGGTTGGTAGATATGAAATATATTGTAAGATGTAAAATGTATATTCGTACATCGACATTACATCTTGGAGCTTTTTACGTAACATAATAACATCCAATAATATACTGGACAAAAATAGTTAGGGATATATGCAAATTTAGAAATTATGAATAATGATCTATTTATTCATTGTCACGCTGATAAAATGTCAATCATAAAAATACCAATACCCAAAACTTATTTTGTCCAGTATATATCCAAAAGGATGCAAAGCAAATATGTGAGTTCACTTTGAAAATTCAGTTACATTTTGAATTTGTTGTACCCATTTGTTTCCAGGTCGTAGCACATCTTCGCGGATGATAAGTGTTTGGTGTGATCGGATGACACCAACAGTGCAGAGCTCTGGGCGGTACATGACACTCATGTTTAAATCAGACACCTCTAACACATACAAAGGTTTCAGACTCAAGTACTTTGAAACAGCCGGTAAGTATCAGGTCGAGGGTATAATTTTAAAGGAGTGAAAATAGTTGCGTAGAAATGCTTAATTAATACCTTATATAAAATTTAAATGACGGTGTCGTGTTGTTATTAACTAATCCGTAAAATGTGGACCGGAAACAAATGATGATTTATTTTCACATTTTAGTGAATCGTTTTGTGGAAAATCTATTGACGACTACACGCATTATATACTATTATCGTGATGTCTTTACATCCTACAGTCTCTCCAACACCTGTACCTCAATGCGGCACCACAGATCTAACGGCCGGAACATCCTACCAGTACCTACAGTCACCAGGATATCCTAACGCTTATCCAAAGTAAGGACGATAGAATTATTTTGAATTAATACAATGCTTACATCAAACGTGATGGCAGTAGATATATTATTATTTTATATTTTCTACACCTAAATCGATTAGGACAGATATAGTTGGAATACACACCACATCAGAAAGCAAGTATCACAGTCAAACAGGTTTGAGTGTATTTTACAATCAATAAATCGTGCGATTTGTATTCATACAACCTGATATGCATGCCGTATTTAAGTTTTCCTGTTTCTACTTGGGGACATTTAATGTGGTCCAAGTTTAATTTTAATTCCTCAAACTATTCTGGCTAGACATCTTTGGTACTGATTTACCGGGAATTCTTTACTCTTGAATATAGAATAAATCCACCAAAAGACACATTGAGTAACGCTGGTAACATCTTAAGTAAGTAAGTGACACCACTTCAACCATGTTGTGTCCTTAGTTGGAACTCGTATGTCAATGCAAGTCGTGGTCATACCATAATTATACATACCCGTGAAGATCCGGGTTAGAATTGATCTTCAGTAACCCATGCTTGTCGTTAGAGGCGACTAACGATATCGGGTGGTCAGGCTCGCTGACTTGGTTGACACATGTCATCGTATCCCAATTGCGTAGATCGATGCTCATGATGTCAATCACTGGATTCTCTGGTCCACATGCGATTATTTAACAGACCATATAGCTGGAATATATTGTTGGTTCATTGTCTTTAAAGATTTGGAATAAATACGACTAATAGAATTGCAAAAATCGTTCTCGGTAACTGCTAAGACAAATGTTGATGTATATGTACGTCTGTTTCAGCAACGACCAATGTGTCTGGACAATAACGGCATCAACATCAAGCAAAGTGGTCAAAATCGTTGTACTAGATTCAGTTCTAGAGGGAGGAAGCGATTGTCCCTACGACTTCGTTAAAGTTTACGATGGTTGGTAGATATGAAATATATTTTAAAATGTTACATGCATCTTCGACATCTTGGAGCTTTTCGTACACATAAGAGCAATTTACGTCAAAAATAGTTAGGGAATATATGCAAAATTTTGAAATTATAAAGAGAGCATTTTACGTCAAATAATATATCCAAAAGGTTGCAAAGCAAATATGTGAGTTCACTTTACAAATGCAGTTAACATTTTGAATTTACTGTATCCACTGGTTTCCAGGTCGTAGCACATCTTCACGGATGATACAAGTTTGGTGTGATGTGATGAGACCTACAGTGCAGAGCTCTGGGCGGTATATGACACTCATGTTTAAATCAGACAACTCTAACACATACAAAGGTTTCAGACTCAAGTACTTTGAAGCAGATGGTACGTTAACTTATATTGCTATCGAACAATCCTCCCACAAAAGATTGAGGCATAGGGATATTTGTATTACGATTATGAAACTGATAGTCATATTAAAATAACGTTACGATTCTCATATTGATGACTTTGCTGTTTCGATTAACCAAAGGATGTAAAGCTCTTTGAAAGAAAATCTTTCCATTGGTTTCATAGCCATAGAATATATATTGGTTATGTCGTGAATGTTTAAAGTGATTATTATTTTGAACCGTCGAGTGTCTTTTATTGAAGAAATTTGATACTGGACGATGTACGGGTATCAATCCGTTTTTCAGGGAGTTGCGGTGGTCAACTGAGTGCTGTGTCCTATGACCAGTATATGACGTCACCAGGGTATCCTCAGAACTATCAAAAGTAGGAGTTTATAATTGCACTTTGTTTACATGCTTTGTTGCACATCTGTGCTATTGATAAGCCGATATCAAACGATATCATAGTAACGAAAACAGTATATCACGTCTGAATGAGTCAATATTGTTTTACGGAGCTGTCAGCACTATTGCAACAATATCACGGCAGGGGACACCATAAATGGGCCTCATACATTGTACTCATGTGGAGAATCGAACCCGGGTCTTTGACGTATCAGATAGGCTACCCCACCACACCAAAATCAAATCTGAAGTGCAGTTCCTGTGCATACCACAGTATGCTTAAGACGTTTCTATACTCTTGTAGCAACATGGACTGTATTTGGACATTAACAACGGACATGTCAGACATCAAGATTGACGTCCTCGACTCTGACATAGAATCCGCATCCTCATGCGACTATGACTACGTGGAAGTCTACGATGGTAAGCTGTTTGTATAGTGCACCTCACTTTCCTCGATGCCTTAAATAGATTCATGATTCTTTTTAGTCACATCATAATAACATTATAGTGAAAACGAGTATTGACTGTTGTATAGTATTACCAAAATGAATTTTCAATTCAAAAACATGTATGTTATGATTCTGGGAGTTCAAGCTCATAATATATTATGTCTTCTTTCAAATTGTAAGCAAATAATTCAAAGCCGCAAGTTCATTTATGACATATCCTGCTACATAAAAATGCTTTAAAATGCATTTTATGATATATTTATGATTCAGAAGCATTGGAGTATGATTGCAGCTTTAGATAAACATTGGATTTTTCAACGATTTTAATCAGTACACACGTCACAACATGATCAAGTGCCTATCAATGAATTCATACCGCTTTAACCTTTATAAGCCTTAATATCTATTGATATAAATGGGTTGTGTTCATTGTGTGGATGTAGTAGTTGTCAGCATAGCAAAACAAACACTTTAACCACTAGATTAGCCCACCGTCCGTGCTATGTTTTGAGATAGAAACAACTAAACTACACATGTTTTAGGATCCAGCACGAATTCAGATGTAATTGGGAAATTCTGTGGGACACAGGAACCAACCTACGTCAGTTCTGGTACAACTGTCACCATCAAGTTCCATTCAGACAACTCAAATACAGAGAAGGGATTCCGACTTTCCTATACCGGGGGAACATTTCCTGGTGAGTATCCTTCACCTTATGGAAGGTTTCGACAAACTGTATGTCTATACGTACATCTACGACTGACTTGTGACTGACATAGAGAGATGTTTACTAAATATCTAGTCAGACAGACAGACAAGTTTATTCCTTAAACAACCAACGGTGGTACATGAGAACATCCATGTTACACTTTGTACCTCACTATGAATTTTGAGAATTATGTTGATGTGTTGACATGGTTCACGTTATCCATCGCCTTACATTTAGTTGGGCATATTTCTAGCTATGTTTCACTTATATATATTTGTAAAACAGCATATATATGTTCAGAGAGTGGTTGGCAAGATTTAGTAATCGGAAATTGAATGCATGTTTTCACATCTGTGCACAAAACCAACTTTATATACAGTAAAGACAACATTGGACGTATGTCCTTGGTGACAGATACATCACCTAGACATATTACTTTCTCTTTGTCAAATTTTGTGCCTCAACATATATATATATATAGCCTCCCGTGTTTATTCAGCATGCGGTGATCAAGATCTCACGGCTTACACGTATCAAAGCGACCTCACTTCGCCTAACTACCCTTACAGTTACCCAAAGTAAGTTCACTGATTGACGCCTTCCCAGTGTTATTTCGAACGCTGTTCAGATAACAAAGCCTGGTCTCGCAAATGTTTTCTGTTTGAGTAATTGCTTTGGTTGCCTCTACAGTGACAAGTATTTCTAAAACAGTTTTGTTGTTTAAACTGCCGTTTAACTTGTAAATGGAAATGTGAACACAGTTTTGCTTGCCTCTGAATTATTACTGTTAAAATTAATTCTTATAATATTTAATGACGAAAAGCCAGGCATAAGCTTTATTCTCGTCTTGGTTACTGTGTTTTTTGTTAAGGTGTGACGGAAGTGTTAATTTCTTGCAGTAATGCTGATTGCTCGTGGACAATAAGTACCGACCTTTACGACTACGTGATCAATGTTGACGTCGTTTCGTCGGACCTAGAATATTCGTCCAGTTGTTCGTACGACTACTATGAGTTTTTTGATGGTAAGAGACCTTGAATCCGACCTAATGTAACAGTCATTAACGTTATCATCTTATTTAGAAACGTTGGTGACAACGAGAGCATGGTTTAAAATACTGTGCTACAGAGCCACGAATTTGTCGAAAAATGGCAATACAAATTCTTCAGTTATCAAGAATACATAATTTTTTTGCAAGTTTATATTAGTGGTATCTTTGATTTGTTTGTCCTTGGTGCACGAACAGCTGCCACCATGATTGCCGTAATACATGGTGTAGTCATAACCATGTCATTTGTTTGCAAAGGTACTGATGACATGTTTACTTCACTTGGGAGATATTGCGGCAGCAGTCTACCCACACAACACAGCTCCGGACAGAACATGTACATCAAATTCCACTCCGACAATTCCAACACAGGAGCAGGCTTCAAGATGACGTACCAAGCCGAACCCAGTGACAACTGTGAGTGGCAAAAGCTAAAGATCCACAGAAGGTCGTAAGGAAATCTATAATTAGGGAGGCAAAAATACGGACTCAGTTCTATTGTCGAAGACTACAAAATTTTGTATGTCTTTCGAATACATCTCCACAACCACAAGCAATTACGAAAATCACATCACTTAGTGAAATGTAAGAACAGTTGTTCCATGTTGTCAACCACATAATGAAATGCGTCAAATATTAACGCATGCCATGAAACGACTGGATAGGAGTAACAATGACTGACATCACTTGAATGAAGTATTCGTAATTAGTAAAGGTTAGCAGATCAATGTAACATTTTGGTACTGCTTGCATTCTCGGTTGTATGATTCGGTGTGTTAAATAGTACATGTAATGATTCCAAATAAATGCTACAGAATGGGTGTATACTTTATGCACAATTATATATACGTGTCATGTCTTGGTATATATCAAGATTGAAGGTATGTCACGCTATAGGCATTTACCATTTTGGCACCGTATCTGTACTCCACAAGACTATGGAAGTTAGTTATATGGAAAATCAATATTCATCAAAATATTAACAAGTAAACCGTTTCTTTAGTTTCAGATCTTGACCCTCCTAATATCATTGCAATAGTTGGAGGATCCATTGGGGGCTTCGTACTCATCATTATCATCTGCAGCCTCATAGCGGTAGCCAATAAGAAGAAATCTCGGCCGGTGGTCAATCAAGTTCGCAACGATGGCATTTACAATGTCAGTCAGGGTCCCTTTGAAACAACAGTTACTCCGGCCACCTTTCAGCCACCCCCTCCATATTCCCAGGTGGTCAGTCCTCCCCCCTACCCCCAGCCTGTTGCTACCAGTGACACATCACCAATCGTAACCCAAGTACCAGAGACACCCAATCAGTGAACAGCAAGTTATTTGGGTAAAGGTTGCGATGATATGGTGATTATTAAAGGATTCAGTCTTACTTTGAAGAGCAAGCATATTGTGGTTGTTTTGAATATTCAATCTCATGAAAATGTGAACAGGTTCATTTCGTACGAAATATTAGATCAAGAAGGTTTCTGCATTAGAGTGCAAACAGAATGCTAAATTTGCTCTTGTACCTTTGTTGTTAAAATAAAATGCAGTTTGTGCCCTTCTTGTTTGATTTGCAAAAGGCATACATGTTGAAATATTTGCACACCATAGTACACTGTTTATACATTGAGACAGGCATATGTTTCAGTAGAGTTACATTTAGTTATTGTCAGTCTGTGTAAATTGAAATAATGAGCCACTTACTTATTAGCTGTAATAAGCTTATTACGCCTCACATCATAGTTGTATCAGGGGCGGATACAGCTTTTTGAGAAAGGTGAGGTTAGGGGATGCCCAGGTCATTTTCACCCGTATTAACAAGAGTTTGAATGGTCATTAAATATACTTTCAGGACAAAAGGGGGGTGCAAACCTATGTACCACCCTCTGGATCCGCCTCTGGATCCGTGTATCATGTTCAATAAGTAAAACAGTTGTGAGTAGCGAAGCCCTCGTATGTCATGACAGTTATGCAATACCAAACTATATATCATAGCAAATGTATAATATATAATGATTAGGTGTCACTGATATAATTATATCAGGTATTCTAATCATTACGAACACGTTGAACAGATAAATAACGGTGAGACATTCCTTGGGTTCAACCCACCATGGTTTAAGGTATGAAGCACAATTCATCGATCTGGCTGTCATAAGCGACTAGCCGTGTGTGAGAGGGTGATACATCATAACGCTGAGTCTGGCTTTTCACATTTTTCCAATGCCTGGCAACGTTAGTTTTCGCACAAAATCCATTCACGAATGTGACAAGAGAGAACTTGTAGCCACAGTCTTTTGAGGAAACGAATAGAAATCTGAACATAAACTGCCTGCCATGATGATGTTGACAAGGTCATCTATCCCAGTGGAGATCAGAGGGCGGAAATAGGCCCTTCTCTGTCGCGAGAGTCAAATGAAGATTACACGGCCCCAGGTGTGATTGAATTAATCCCCGACTAGGATGATTGGTCTTTGCTAATACCATTACCCCTTGAATCACATGGTCCACACTCTGTTATCCATATGATTGACTGCGGACGTCTTAAAACAGTATTCACCAACACAAGGCCACTGCGTTCTCCATGTTCTCAATACATTGAAACCATTTTGTAGCGGTTACGATTCCATAAAGGAACATACATCAATCAGCGTCAAGCCTATCTTCTTTTGACTGGTCGATGATGGAGTGGAAGGGGGTAGTGTTGCAGCATTGCTCCGCATGATGTTACCGCTTTGTGTTACTGCTTAAGCAATCTTGAGTCTGTTCTTATCGGTTTTCAATTCACTGAATTATTTATTCATAACAACTGACCTCAATATGTCTGTGAAGGTTTGATCGTGTAGAAGTTAAAACCGGTGTGCAGAATCTATTGATTCTCTGTCAATATTAGCATGTCATTAGTCCTCACTTTGAACAATAGTTTTGTTTGTTGTTTAACGCCTAATTCAGCAATATTCCAGCTATATGGCGGCTGTCTGTAAAAATCTAGTCTGGACCAGGCACCCCAATGATCAACCGCATGAGCATCGATCTACTCAAATAGGATACGATGACAGACAGACAGACAGACACACCATATGTATAATTATTAAAAGAATGATACATACAAAATATACAGTAAAGTTGTAATGCACGAATATCACTCCAATGGAGTTATGAGAGATATATATGATATATCACAGAGCAATATAAAAGAATTCAAGTTGATAAAATAAAGTTGAACATAAAATAATACACTTACATACATATAGCAAAAAAAGGATATGCAACATTAAAAATGAGATTATTGATATATAAATTGCTGGCGTCGTAAAAGGATTCTAAAGCAGTTTTTGGCACATACTTTTATAGTTCTTCGGTGCTTAATAGGAGTGATAACTTCTTAGGTTCCGATAAGAGGGTAAAATAAGGTAGAAAATAATTTGCTGCACATTCAATAAAACATGCTCTTCAGATTCAACGTTATCTGGGCAGTGGAAACATCTTCTTTCTGCGAGTTCGATTCATTCAAAACGTCCTGTTTCTATACGCAGAGGCACTGTACCCGTCCTGAACAAAGCGAGGGCACGTTTGTGAGACTTTGACATAGGTGATGAAACGTAGGCTTCTGTTTGGAATAAAGATTTATTGATTCTGTAATGCCTGAGTTTATTTTTTTCCCGCTCCTCTTTTAGCGTTCTCCCGTTGTAGTGAATTTCCCCATGTTCTTATAAAAGTTTCGTACTCTTTTACAGTGATAGTGTTGTTTAAAAGAGCATCTTTGGTTATTCCCAGTGTATCAATTCGCCGGTAGAAAGCTGGGTGCCACGTCTTGTTTCTGTTTCGTGCATGATTTTCCGAGTTAAAAGCATATTTTAATCATATATACGTCCTTGGTCATGCTCTTTATTTTTCTTCAGTAACGACTCAAACATATACCTTGTCGCACACTCACAGGGCTCCATCCCATTTCGCCGATGACTGCTTCATTAGGTGCATGTTTTCCTAGACCAAGGTAAAATCTCATAGCAGGGTTTTGTATTGCGTTGATAGAAGAATAGTCCGTTGTTCCGTAGATTGAAATTCCATACGAAATAACTGGCGATACTGATGCATCTTATAGTTTGGTAAAAGTTTTAAAACTGACGTTTCCTAGTGTCTTACACTTAGATATGACGAGACCTAGAGCACGACCAGCAGCGGCTGCCGCGTGACGAGCTGTAACCTTACAGTCCAGGGCCCAGTTTTACAAAGCTCTCGTAAGCCTAAGATCTCGTAACTTTTCTCGTAGCATTCGTACCTCCCATACTGAAACATAGGAGGTACGAATGCTACGAGAAAAGTAAAGAGATCTTAGGCTTACGAGAGCTTTGTGAAACGGGGTCCAGGTGTTCCGTTATAGTAAGCCTCAAGTAACGGTACTGGCCCACTGTACACAAAATCATCTCTCCGCACGTGAAGCTGTGTTCAGAAACTAGAGCGCTAGCTTGCCGAAAGTGAACAACTTGAGATTTTGTACCATTTATGTTAATGTCATTTCTATCACACCAGCAAGGTAGCTCACTGAACATTGACTGTAGATCCTCTTCGTTTTCCGCTAACAACACAACATCATCTGCATATGATAAAATACCAATTAGTTAATCTCCCATTTTCACGCCTCTACCTTGACCCCTGGTACACATGGCTAGTTCATTTATAAACGTATTAAACAATAGAGGCGATAACACCCAACCTTGCTTGAGGCCACACCGCATAGTAAACCAGTCTGTAGTTAAGTGGTTTATCCGCACACAGCAATTCACAGAACGATAGATCCCTCTCAATGCACCGGTTATCCGTGAACTGACTCCAAAGTTTTCTAATTTGTTAAAAAGTAGATCACGCCCTATGTGATTATAGGCTTTTTGAAAGTCAATAAATGCCACAAAGGGTGGCTGTTTGTTGGCCTTTCTTGACTCTATAATGTTGGTAACTGTAGAGAGTTGATCTGTGGTTGTGCGTCCCATCCTGAATCCGTTTTGCTCGTCAGCTAATAGGTTATTCTCTTCACACCATCTTGACAAACGATTGTTTAAAACTAAACAGGAGATATAGCAATACCTCTATAGATGAGGTGTCACGACGATCACAGTTAAAACTCTTCACAATAGGTTGTATAACCACTTTTGACCAGCATTCACCATATTTAAAACATATATTAAAGGCTTTATGGAAGAACAATATACTCCTCACCAAAAAATAAGCAACAAGTATTTCCATTGCTATATCTTTATCAATCTCGATGGCGATTTTTGCCGACATGATACTGAAAGGTAAATATTCAAAGAATACATAACCTTTAGTGACTGTCAAATTGATTTATCAGATAACATTGACAACGTCACCCGAACACAACCACCCTCAGAAAAAACATGCAAAATGTGTGGCATGAATGTGCTTCACTCTTCACACATGCACCCTGATCCGTGTAAAACTACCTGTAATCATTCCTCTGGTACAACAAGCGGGTCCTAACTTTATTTTTATGGATGTTAATTCTAGTCCGTGGATGATAATGCCTGAGAAAGAGTTGTTAACGATGTTGCTTAGATCAACAACATCACACATATGGACTGGCATGCAAGGTTACTTGATCTGAATCCCCTCGAACATGTTTGGGACATTATTGGAAGTCGTGTTTACGGTCCCCATGTTCACCCCCAGACCTTGAGCAGGCGTTACAGAGAGAATGGTAGAACATTCCACAACAGCAGCTTTAAAGGCTTTTTTGGTCAATGCAAATGAAGCTTCCATTTGTGCTCATGGTGGTCATTCGCGTTACTGAACACCTTAATGTTAATATTTTGCTCCATCAATGCAGCACATTTTGCACGACTGTTTCACAGGTACATGCTTTTTATTATTTGTAAGTTTATTATTGCTCAATACCATTTCATTTCATTTTGTGAATAGAGTGTAGATATGTTTCCCCTTCCTATTGCATCATTCCATGATTTGCAATTTCAATAAATGAAAAGCGAATGAGACTAAAGATTTGCGTTGCTTAACTTTTTGTGAGGAGTATATGCTGGTTTTATTTCTCAGCACCTATGACTGTAGCTTTTCCTGTCTTGGTTTTGAAGATGGCCATTTGTATATCTTCAACGGTGATAGGTTGGTCCAGTGGATCATTGTCCGAATTCACTGTCATATCTCGAGTACTTCCAGATAAGAGATGTCAGGATTAAGTAAAGTGTTGAAATGTTCCACGTATGTGCACCTATGTACCCCCTCACTCACTGTTCACCGGTGTGTGTGTGTGTGTGTGTGTGTGTGTGTGTGTGTGTGTGTGTGTGTGTGTGTGTGTGTGTGTGTGTGTGTGTGTGTGTGTGTGATGACAGGAAACTATGGACCAGGTGCACCGACCCAAAATGTTGACCAATCCAACAAATCCAAAACTTGGCTGCACGACATCAGTGGTGTCCATAGACCCATCCTATATGTTTTTTCCAAATGAGTCCCGATTCACTTTTATCGATAGGCGTGGCCATGGCCGTATGTGACGAGGTAGAACGTCAAGCCATTTGGATCTGTTCAGGTTTTGGGTGCAATCAGTTTGTCTGTGTGAACCACGCTTATTATTGTGCAGCGATGAAAACGGTGAACTCACTTACTCGCAATGTTTTGCAAGAAATGGCTAGTACTATAGGGACAATATACTGACAAACTTTGTTGTCCCGTTGCGAGACGTCTTGTTTTTCAGGACGGCTCACCATGCACGAATCGTAAATATTCATGTCCACAAGGTCCATAGCATGTCACATCGGGCACCATGCCTGTTCTACAATGAACAAGTTTGGGACATGATAGGAAGACGTGGATCATAGACCAACGACCATGTTGGCTCGCATGAATTCTGGCGGTATTACGCACCACTAATCCCAAACCGTCAGCTATGACATTTCCCATCTTACCGTTGTCGGTGCCGGTCACTTCTACTGTCATACTTTACAACCGGTTTCCATGTGTTCCGAATACCTTTAGTAATATCATACAACTATCTTCTACCAGAAACATATCTCTCACAATTTTGAAATATCAATTAATATTTGAGTGGTCATTTTGAAGCATTACTATTAATGACAGCAAATTAAAATGCATTTAACTCCTTTATTTAATTGTCTTCAATACAACGTTTCTGTTACAAATACCAAATGTGATATGCACTGAAAGAATAGAGAATTTGTAATCCAAGTGAGCTTTATCTTCGTTTAATGACACAATTTGTTAATAAATGAGAAACATTGTAACTGATAGTAGTCCAAAGTAAGAACAAAGTTGAACGATTTAATGCACATGTTTAATTCATTCTTAATTGTTATCATAGCACATGTCCGCTTAAGATATATAGAGAAAGGCACATTTGTTGTGTCAAACACATTGCCTTAAGGGTTGCACACATTATGTTATATCAGCCTAAACTCCATAGCTCGAGAAATGTTCCGTGCAGTGGGCGTTCTCACTGTTACAAAGACATGATATACATAAATAAACAAAGAAATGTCTTTCTTTTTTGTACATATCTACGTTGTTTTCCTTTGGAGGTAAAGAGATATTCGTATGTAAGCCAGAGCTGACACTTACATGATCGTATGATTATCAGTTTGAAAACGTTGGGAACTGTAGGCTTGTGATTCGGGTTCGCCTTTTCGACGTTAATACTTTGTCATTTGGGCAGATGTGGTAGTTGCCTGGGAGACAAAAGGAGTGTATCGTCTCCTGTTGGCTCGTAGTGCCAGGGCCATTATGAAAACGATGAAGAAGATTCCACCTACGGTCCCTCCGGCAATGGGCCCGGCATCGTAGTCGTCGTCGTCGTCAGTATCGAAGTTAATATTCGGAATATTCGGAATATTCGGAATATCTGGAACTATACAAATTATCATATCGTCATCATAAATCTACACATGTATGAACATGTGAGTATATCATGTCCAAAACGAAAGTGTGAACCTCTCAATTGATATCATGATTAAGTATTTGCGTAGAGTTGCTTGGTTGGTTTGTTGTTTAACGCCGCACTCAGCAATATTCCAGCTATATGTCGGCGATCTGTAAATAACCGAGTCTGGACCAGACATTCCAGTGGTCAACAGCATGAACATCGAACAACGCAATTAGGATATGATGACATGTGCCAACCACGTCGGAGCGCCTGACCACCCGATATCGTTAATCGCCTCTAACGACGAGCATGGGTTACTGAAGATCAATTCTAACCCGGATCTTCACGGGTAAGTATATGGTATGACAATACGAGTTCGAGTTCCAACTGAGGACACAACATGTCGCCTCTTACGACAAGTATGGGTTGCTGAAGACCAATCTTCACGGGTTATTTGTAACTGTGTCACTCGTATATATTGTAATCATAACATTGAGGCTATTTTCTTAACATTGATTGTAAGCTCAACAATGCAGAGTCCAGAATACATTTCAGTACTTACCGATGTCTTGGAACGAGGATTTGTAAGACATGCTAAAACCTGAACCAGTTGTGGAACCATCGGATTTAAATTTGATGTACATGTACTGTCCGCTGCTGGACAATGTGGGAACACTGTAGCCACAATATCTTCCAAGTGATGGGGCTATGTCACTTGACCCTGGGGGATAACATAGGGGCATGATATTTCAATTGAAGAATAAATGTTCAACACATAATACATTTGAAACTGCAGATGTTGAACTGAACGCCTAAGCTTTACGATATATAACTGTAAGTGATAATAATTTATAAAATGTTATTATTCATTCGGATTTCTCTAGGTAAGAAGATTTATGGGGTTTGTTTTGTCTTTCATGTAAGTGAGTTTCTGAACACGTGTGTGCTCGTATAATTTTTTGGTACGTCCGTAAACGCGTATATATTTTGCTCAGGAACATTTCACTCACCATCAAATACCTCAAAGTAGTCGTATATACAGCCGGCACTCTGTTCTAAATCCGATACAATGACATCAAGAGTGACTATGTAATTTGAATCCATAGTGTTAATTGTCCAGGAGCAGTCGGCGTTACTGAAAGAAATTACAGCACTACATCAAAGCAGGACACACAAATTTGCTATTTACATCATAACGATCCCAATCGCAGTTATTATTATGTCCCGAGTTTAAAACAAAAACCAACAAAACCATTTCCCTATTCTTACTTTTTAGAACGTTAAGACCAGAAAAAAACACCCAAACAGATTCCATGGAATGGAAACTAAAATGGACGTCACAGAAAGTTATTTTCAACGATCCCGACAATGTCATAAGCATGTTGGTTAGAAATTGATCTTCAGCAACCCATGCTTGTCGTAAGAGGCGACTTACGGGATCGGGTGGTCAGGCACGCTGACCTGGTTGACACATGTCATCGTATCCCAATTGCGTAGATCGATGTTCATGATGCCAGTCACTGGAATGTCTGATCCAGACGCGATTATTTACAGACCATATAGCTGGAATATTGTTTTGTGAGGCATTAAGCAACCCACAAACAAGCAAAAAGTGTTTTCATAGTTTTAATGCATAGATGACGTCACTTCAATGATAGAAATGCAATGAACGATGCGTGCACCTGACCATCCGGTCCCGTTAGGTGCCTCGTACGACAAGTATAGGTCGCTGAAGGCCAATTCTAACCCGGATCTTTACAACACAAATAGACAGACAGAGAAACTATCAGCTGTCAAAAGGGATACTCACTTTGGATAATCAGATGGGTAGTTTGGTGAGTTTAGGTAACTGAGCGCTGATGAAGCCAGGAGAACGCTGGCACCACATGCTGAAAATAGTTTTACGTTGTCATTAATAATATAGAAACTGATGTGTTTCGAGAGACCATGACACGTAACTGGCGAACTTTATATCTAAGATTTTCACAACGGTGCCAACCGTTTGACATCTAGGTTGCGCTTCACGCCTGTTCAGATTCGGCAATACTGAATAATCTCATCAACATTCAAATGGGAATTTTTAAATGTAAGTCAGAACTTCTTCTGCGTTATCATCGTCTCGATCCTGTTCCTGTTGATATGTTTTTCCCATAATCAATTTCGCAGTTAGAACTATGGGGAGTAGTGGAGCTACTCACATGTGAAGTCCCCTCCTATATACGAGAGTTTGAAGCCTCTGTACGTGTTTGAAGTGTCTGAGGAGAACTTGATAGTGACGCTGCTTCCCGTGCTGACGTAGGTCCCGGTAGTGGTTCCGCAGATTGCCCCAAGGATGTTTGAATATAATGCCGGACCTAAAGAGAACATGTGTTTGATCCTGTACCAAATCCAATAACGATGGACAAAATAGATAGTAGTTTCTGTGTTTGTTTGGGTTTTTCTGGGTTTTTTGTTGTTGTTGTTTTTGTTTGTGTTTTGTTTTTTGTTTGTTTGTTGGTTGGTTGGTTTGTTGTTGTTGTTGTTTTTGTGTGTGTGAGGGGTGGGGGCGGGTATACAGTGAGTATGCATCCAGATATTGTGGACATATCCTAAATCTAGGTATAAATGAGATAAACTACATCTTTGGAGAGTACTGAATCATTATTTATGCGAACATTTTCGGATTATTCAGACCACACATAATGTTGACTTTCGTACTATATGTTATAGAACATAGATGTCTCAAAACAATATTAACGCAAGACAATTGGTCTTTACATCAGTTGCTGGAACATAATGTGACCAATTTTTCTTCAGCTTAAAATCCTTGCACTATTTTTTCAGAATTAATGATGCTTTACTTTACATTTGGCATTACTGCCATGTAACTTACCATCATAAACTGTGACTTTGTCATAAGAACAATCAGAGCTGGACTCCAAGTGTAAGTCAAGGAAGTTGATCTTGATGTTTGTTAGAACGGTAGTTATGGTCCATGTGCAGTACATATTGCTGTTGATATGAACAGAGTAATTTGAAAAAGCTGTGTCATTTATTGAATTTATATTTAGTTAGGCTGCAAATAAATTCAATACCGAACAATTAGTTTCATTTTAAAACAACACCGTATGCACATGTGGACTTCGAGTGTGGGAGGATTCAGCGGGCATCCCTCTATGGTGTAAAAGAACGTAGGCACGCCTGACAAAAGATGGTGACAATGAGGATAGGATTTCAAAAAGGAAAAAAATAGAAATCACAGGTGGCAATGTCCAAAAACTACATATGCATTGTAATTATGTAAAACTTTAACTTGACATCCACAATTATTCAGCCATATCACATACCAGTATATCTGTTTTGAACCAATTCCCATTTAGAAAACAATAATTTTACCTTCACTTAAGTAATTAAAAGTACTTGTGGAGATGAGGACAGCATGGCTCTACCGTAGGACTGACTGACTGAGTTTGGTTTTACGCCGCTTTTAGCAATATTCCAGCAACATCACGGCGGGGGACACCAGAAATGGGCTTCACACATTGTACCGGGTCTTCGGCGTGACGAGCCAACGCTTTAACCCTTAGGCTACCCCACCGCCCCCTCTACCGTCGGAATACAATTGAATGTATTTTTCTCAATATTACATATAAATGGACAAAAGTATGTTTTAACATTTGGAGAATAACTGATGCAATATTACATAACACAGAGATGTTTTAACTACATCTGTTATTCATAATAAATTACGTTTTGGAGTCTCAGTCGGTATTGTTTACCCACCTCGACTGTATAAAGATGTATATAAGTTGATAACCATCAGCTGTTTCAATCAGATGTCCTCGTATAATGTGGTTGTATATAATAAGTTTAAACCTTTACAGACCAGTAAAGTATTTTTCAATAAAGTGGTAGATTGCATATCTTAAACAAACATTTGATGTAACTTCGGTTTGTTTCAACGTAGTCAAAGACGACGCACAACTAGTTGACAAGATACTACTGTTATGCTTCTGCTATGACAACGCTCAATGTTTAATTACGTCGGAAGAGCAATTGAGTGACCAAAGATATTGTGTCCAGGAGATTTTTTAAGTGGAAATATCAAGACTCTAAAAACACTTAAATTGTATAATTTTTTTGATAAATCTGGCATAACCACACGTCATTCAGGAAACACTTTAACTGCATATTGGCCAAGCATACATATGACGGCTTTAGATACAGAAATTCTGAAAGAAACATCTTCATGCTCTCAACTCACTTTAAGTAATCAGAGGGGTAGTTTGGTGACGTCAAGAAGTTCGTTGTCGTATGGGCCACAAGACTTCTGTCGTCACACTCTGCAAATATAGAGTACATACAGATACTTCGATGTATTAGGTCACATAATGCTATAATATCTGCTACATTTATAAACTTTGAACATACGATTACTACCTTGAGGCACTTATGTTTTCTAAAGGTGTTTTTTCTAAACTAAGAACAAACAGTTTAGAAAATCCTCATGCGTTTGGAATCTCCTTTTAGGCGGGAGTCTTTAGGGCAAGGCTATAAGCTCAAAGATTTATATAAATGTATCAATTGTTCATTTGTAAATTACGCACGGCTCTGCGCTACTCCACTATAAGTGAGTCGGAATCCTTTTCCTGATGTAGAGCCATCTGAGTGGAACTTAACGACGGCAGATGAACCTGAACTGAAGTAAGTTGAAGTCTGGGACCCACACAGTGTCGCAAGTGTAGACGAGATTGAGCTGGAACCTAAACAGCAAATAGGTTCAGAGGTTACGTGTACAACGTAAATTTACTAGGCGTGGAGACGTAGACTTTTCATTCCTTACAAATTCGTTGCGGTAACCCAAGAAAAGAAGTAAAACAATTGTCAAAATTGGACTGTGCCCAAATCACATTGGTTGTAAATCGTAAGTTAGTATTATGAATTTTGCTTTCTTTTGGATTTGATCAACGCTTTTCAGAACAACTCAGCCAAAGGTTTCACTGCACTCTGTTGAACCATATGTTATTCGTAGTTAGGAAATCACGATCATTGCGTCATTGGGGCTGACTGAATGTGCAATGAATATGTTATGGAATGATAAAGTCAGTGTTATTTTACCAAAGTGAAATGTCAATTATGGACTTTATAAAATCAACACAATCGTTTTTCTACAATGTCTTATTATCAGAGATAGTATCATGACAGGTGTGACGTGACCAATATTTTCCACATAAAACCACACGTTATGGACGACAGGCAGTCGTATCATATTCAAGAGACAATGAAGTAAGAAAATAACGCCAGAACTGTCCTACGCTTGATGAATCTATATCAGTTCCAGTATTTACCATCCCTTATAACACTGATAGAGATGACATAACTAAATGAATTTCTTATGATTATATAAAATATATCAGTACAATCACCTACCATCAATAATTCTGAGGTAGTCATAATCGCAGTTGGTATGGGACTCAATGTCGAGGCTGGTGATACTAATCTTTATGTGTGAATGGACCGTTGTGATGATCCATGCACAGTCTAAGTTGCTAAAAAGAAACAAGCGGATTGTTTAATACGTCCCCCACCTCAACTTCAACCTAAAATTGTGTAAGTTGTACCTGTATCACTTGGAAGGTTCTATTGGCCCAAAAGCGATGGAACTGGTCGTTTGTTTTCAACTGCATTGTAGCCATGAATATGTTTCATCTCGCCTCAAACATTATAAAGATATATCTGACCATTTGAAAAATATAATGTATGACGATGGAATATCCATTTAACCACAAGTGCATGCACCTACTTTCGGTAGCTGATAGGGTACCCAGGCGACGTTAACACCTTGTCCGTGGAAAGAGCGGTCAGTTGTCCACCGCATGACGCTTCTGGATGTGAAGATGGACGATATGATTAAGTAATTAACACTGCAGGCCTTTACCATAGTCATAGTTGTTGCTGTCTCACGAAGAGAAAAATAGTAACGCAGAAGAAAAAGGAGATCACAATCGACAAACCCTTCATATTTGGATGGTGTGTAGTCGGGGACTGTCCTTGAACATGCTTGAAAACAGTCAAGCTTTAGAATGGGAAAAACGAAATTAAGATATTCATTGACTCTCGATGAATATGTAAAACTAATACATTATCTTGTTTTGCAGCTGTCCATACATAGTTCCCCACCACACACACACACACCACACCACAACCGACAGAATATCAAGTTGTCTGAGTTTACAGTTATAGAACCAGGGCACATAACAGTTTCGACTAGACCAGAATAAATATATGCTTTTGTTGTTGTTGTTGTTGTTGTTGCTTTTCTTATAACATTAATGGATACCATATCACAAAACACGTGCTGGTTGTTAGGACCTCCCAATATATATAAAAGTTATGTTGTGTCCTACAGACCTTTTCTACCTCCAGGGGTGAGGAAAACACATGTCTTTGATATTATAATATGATATCTTTTACAGGAGTAACAAGAGGTAGTGCTGGTTCTATGTATTGCTAAAGGTATTCTTTGATTCAAAGCGAATTACTTACGATTTGTGGCTTTGTAAGAGAGTTGAAAGCCCTGCCTCGTTGTCGAGCCATCTGAATGGAACTTAATGGTGGCAATTGAGCCCGTATTGATGACCACGTTTGTATGTTGTCCGCACAACTTCTGAAGTACGAAGGAATCTGTTCCGGGCCCTGATAATGTATATACAATGAATCTACCGTTATGTCTGTGCAGCTGTACGTTGTTCTGAGTGAATGTAGTTTTACGCCGCTTTTAGCAATATTCCAGCAGCATCACGGCGGGGAGACACCAGAAATGGGTTTCACTCATTGTACCAATGTGGGGAATCGATCCCGGGCCCTCGAGGTGACGAGCGAACGCTTTAAAATCTAGGCTACCCCAACGCCCTATTGCACGTTGTAAACCAACAGCAGTGAACAACTTGTACTAATGTAATGTGTGTCATCACCCACTTCGTACGGTTGAAACATCATTGAAACGTATAACAATCACCGCTTCGTTAGATTCCATTTATAGTGACTATTTTAAGAAGTTCGCATATTCTCTTTTAACGGGTTACGCGTTAGTGTCGTCATTCATTTCATATTTCTGAGGCCATGAGCGATGTTGAGAGTAACTAATATGGCATCAATCATAAGTTTCATTTCTTACCAGTAGTGATTGCGAGGTAGTCATATATACAATTATCAGATTGCTCAAGGTCGAAGGTGATGATTTCAATCACGATGCCATTCGAACTTGTAATGGTCCACGCACAGTCCATATAGCTGTTGACAAATTTTAAAGGGTTAATTATCCAAATGTATCTCGCCTAGTACAACGTTGTCCATCGGATAACGCTATTTCACAATTGCATAATTATTATAATGAGACAAATCCACACCCTTAAGCATGTTGATGCGCTACGTCATTACCACAGTCAATGAAACCGTGTGCATTCGATTTTTATTCTTCATATATCGGGAACAGCTATCTGAGGCGTTAGAAGGTTAAAAATCACTTAACCATCTCATTTTACCCACTGTAAGAACCAGAGTTGCGTGCCGAAAAAGACGCCCATTACGCTGTATTATTCGTTCCGTGACCTACAAGATGACTCGTACCCCTACCGTCCGCCATTATTGCCAATAATCGTGGCAAACCAATCAATTCGCGCGTAGTAAAACGCATTTCGAAGCATGAAAATGGCGGTACCGTTGAAATTTGAAACTTCGCTAAACTATGCAAAGCACAATTCAAACATAAAGTTTGAGTTCAACTCAGGATCAGCAACTTTCAACACTGAGACATATTTACAAAGGGAATGAATGTGTTGCTTTTTTGCCCACGGAATATATGATATTCTATAAGAGTAGCCATGTTTGGAATTCAGAGTTATCTTTCCTTGGTAGTATTACTAGTAGTACTGTAAACTGTTTTCTTCTTTGAGAGGCATTTAGAAGTTGGAGCAGTAAGGCAGGATAACAATATATATGGATGAACAACTTCTTTTTTGCTGTGAGAGCGGCGTTTCGGTGTAGGGTCTAACACCGTTATCAAGCAAATGATGAAAGCATAAGGATGAAGGAGCAATATACAAGTTGGCGCAGATGTTTGTACAGTACAGTGGGGATTAGGAAGCCTGTCTAAGCCGTTTGCGCTTAGACAGGGCCCAGTCGTAAACATGGCCACGAGAGGGGTAGAGGACGCCACCCGGCTTGCCGGAATGACACGAGTAGTTACGAACGTACGCTGTATATGCTTCATTGAGAGCATGCCCGGAACTGGTATCATGTCTTAACAACTGCCACAACACTCCACAATAGGCACTGATATAGTGTTCATAAAATTATCATTATTTGTACTTGAATGGTTTATTAGAACAATCACTAAATGAAAACACTTACTTTTGATAATCAAGTGGATATCCGGGTGATGTTAAATACTGGATCTGATTGGAAGCGGAACGGCGATCCCCACATGTCAATGAAGCTGCAGATACAAATGGGATGCAAACTGATGGTCAAATATATACCCATAGTCACGCACTACAAATCGCTATTAAGTTTACGAAACGAGCGACCATACCGTCATCAGCTTGCACCTTAACTCCACCAGGAAAACGTCAAGTACGCAACACAGTCTAGCCAGAGCTAACAGCTACATGATATTGCCCTAATTTGATTCGTCGCTACTACAAACAGCAATCAACCATCATTTCAGCAAGATTTGACTTCTCGTACACGTCGAACCACCTCCACTGCAGCATACCGAGACACAGCGGCAGGCATCATAATAACTGAGCTTTTGTAATGGAACAGTATTAATATACCTGAAGTACAACCAAGACATATCGAAAAAAGTTTAACATTCCAAATTTATGCCCATCAGAGGTATCTCCCTTGTAACGCGTTTTACAGTTGTCCGTTCAGTTTAACGTCGAATTATGTCATTTAAAGGAGAAAGTTATTTTGGGGAGATGCTAGCCTCACCAATGCTCTTAACATGCGGTTCAGGGATGTTTCACCGAACGAAATAACTTTCCAATGCATTCTTTCAATGATATTAGCAAACTGCCCTTAAACAATGGTATCGTCACAGATAAAAACATTAAGTCGCATCTGTGGTGGCACATGTATATCAGGAAAATTGTCCACTGTTAAATCATTTCCTTACGGAACCGCCATTGCAAAATGTATGTCAAGACTGATTGCTGATCAACACGAATCTATTAATCTTTTATCTGTTAAATCTACAATCATACCATCTTTTCATGAAAAAAAATGCAAGCATGGAGTTACTTGTGTCAAGTTTGATACGCTCAATGAAATACAATGTTTGGAATATTAAAACAACTCGCATTTCTGTTCGATGCGAATCGTAATCTTATTTTATTTTAATTCGAACTGCAAGAATTTGGGCAGTGATCAGAGTACTCGTGCATGCGAACAATTTGCATAAGAATCACCATATCCCTTAGAACACAATGATAAACACCGTATAAGAGATCAATGCCAATGAAACGAATATCTTTAAACCAAAATACATTTAGGTCTTCTACTTTGTTATATACTTTTTGATTTACATTAAATTAGGGGGGGGGGGGGGTGTGGGGGGGGGTGTGTTCTATTCGAATCCCGGAGTTTTCGGTATTTCTGATAACTCCTTGATCCGAAGTGCTGCAATAATGAATACTGAGATAAATCGTTTATAATCACTTACTTAAGGGTACAAAGCAGCTCTTGTTTGGGACTAGTTCAGAGTTGAACGATTCATCAAACGAAACATATGTAGCAAAAAAAAGCCTCCAACAAGAAGGGTCAACTCACGATTATTAAATTATAGATACAAAAAATAATATTTTTTTACTAAAGTAAGATAATGTTACTCCCTAAGAACGATAACAAATGCAATTGAGATACTTTGAAAAGATTAATGAAATAAAACAAATAACTCAAATTGAAGCCGGGTTTACACAATGCTAGGTTATAGCTCATTATGAGCGCATGTTGACTCGGGTCTTGGAGCTCAAACGCCATGCTTGGAAAGAGCGATCAAGGGGAATTAACTCGTACGTGACGACGCATGCTGTTCATTTATATCTCAATATACCACAGTGTCTGGCGCCATCTGTTGGCGGAGTGGTAAGGGGAGATAACCGAGAAATGTTTCCCCAAATTGATGCGGACGCCTCTGTTCAGTTAAGTATGAAGAGGAATTGATTGCACAGCCCATGTTATCAAAACATGAGTGGGACACGATCGTAAATATACACTCCTTGCAAAAAATGTTCCATATCTCTGAGGGGTAAGAATGTTATACAGAGAGGTACTAGATTTCCTTGTCAGCTCACTGCATAACCGGTTTTGCTTTCTCCATTCTAATATGTGTATGTCAACGTGAGAACAAAAACATGTTTTTGAACAGGTACATGTACGATATTAATGGCTATTGTATGCTGAAATGTCTTGGTACTTGGTGCTTACATTTTTCCTGGAGGTACAGAATATAGGTTCTCCTACCTGATGTTGCGGTGTACTTGAGATTGAAGCCTTTCTTGGTAACGGAAATGTCGCTTTTGAACACCACTGTCATAGACTGTCCTGTACTCTGAACTGTCGGTACCGCGTTTCCACACCACTTTTTCAACATCATTGAACTTCTGCTTCCAACACCTAGCAGCAATGAAAGGACATATCACGCAATAGTTTGCACACACGGTGAGGTTGCATGTATGTTTAATATACAAAGCAGAATGCATTTATTTGTACCCGCAAACCTGCTATGAAGACCAGAGGCTAGTTTCTTGCATAGAACACACCCGCTGGACCAAACCCAGTGAGGGAATCAACAATAAGTCAAAACCGAAATCACTGCATCATACAGCTGAACAGGCTATTGTATACCCACCATCGTAAACTGTCACGGAATCGTATGAGCATCCAGCTTCATTCTCAAGTTGGGAAGACAATGCCACTAGTCTGACCATCATGGTTGGCGAGAATGCTGTCAACGTCCAAATACACAATGCATTGCTGAAACAGAGCATGACTGGTGTAAACTAAGTAAATCAATTATATAAATTGAGTAACAAGGAAGGAGAGCTCTCACAGCAATAAAGAAGTTGTGCATCTATATATTGTTATCCTTCCTTACTGCCCCAACGTCTAAATGCCTCTCAAAGTAGTTAACTTGAGTAACCACATTCGCTCCTACAAAACCAATGTCGTTACAAAAGGCCGCAGTTAAGATCATCCCAGTTGTGTCTCGGAGTACAATCGCGTGATGGATAGATACGATAGTGAATGAAAGCATCAGTTTGTCAGAATCAGGAAACAAAAACAAAGCCTTTGTTTAAGCCACCTCTGGTGTCCGAGCCATGCTACCATATGGAGACTCTTGTGATATTATGAGGCAAAGGTTATCTGCATGAAACAGTGTACATTCTACAGACTGACTAACTGACTTTGGTTTTTACGCCGCTTTTAGCAATATTCCCGCAACATCACGGCGGGGGACACCAGAAATGGGCTTCACACATTGTGCCCATGTGGGGATTCGAACCCGGGTCTTCGGCGTGAGGAGCCAACGCTTTAACCATTAGGCTACCCCACCGCCCCGTACATTCTACAGAAGCATTCTACAGAAATAATAAGGGTGGCATAGACAGTAGCCATAACTGAACATCATGTACGATTGTTTTGGTTGATATGAGATTACGCCCCGTTTAGCAATGCATCAGCAATTTCCTGTCTGGGAGCACCAGATTGTACGTTTGACACATTTTATCCATGTAGGGAATCGAACAGGACCTTCTGCGTGACCAGCGAACGCTTTAACTAATTGGCTCCCCAACTGTCTCACTATTAGATGTGAAAATTACAAATTTGCCATACTTGTGTAGCTTGTGTTGAGCACGAACGCATTTTCCCTACCGATATTGCAGCTTGACCATTAAGATATTAACAAAATTAGCGTCACTCATAAGAACAGTGTTTTCAATAACTCCTCTACTTACTTTGGATAGCTAGAGGGATATGCTGGTGACTGAATGTAGTGGGGAGATGTGTGGGCTATGAGAGTTCGGCTACCGCACTGGCTTGATGTTGGAATCGCTGAAACCAAAATAATGTATTATTTCGTGATGGACAAACAGACGAACATGCATGGGTAATACCCGATATCAGTAATGGTGTCAGTTTTACATTTAAAGAACGATATACATGTATATATGCAGAATCACAGCATAGCTTTTGTATATGTACTATTACCACTGACAAGTGGATATATATAATGGTAGATATTGCTACATATAAAATGGAATCAGAAGTTTTAACCAGGTTTTGAAATGAGCACAGACATTGACATAATCGCAATGTCAGACATGAAAATGTCGAAAGCCTTTAGAGCAAGTTCTCAAGAACAAAAGGCAATAACGTGCAAATAAGAATCAAAACAATCTTTATATCCATGGGTACCAGCTCAAGACATTGGTTGGTGACCCTTTACCTGGAGCAGTGACTGTCTTGTATCTAATTCGGAAGCCCTTATCAGCAGCGTCATCATCCGTCTTAAATTCAACCGTAAGGCCCATGCCAGTTGATCTGTACGTTGACGTCATATTGCCACAAACCGTTCCCAGTTTCCTTGCCTTTTGGTTCGACCCTGTGCAATATATGATAGATTTTATTGTAAATTGCTTATTGCGAGTGACACCGGTAGGACAGCACACGGTCGCCTTTTCATGAACACCTTGTGATAGGGATTCATAAATATATACATGGAACTGAACTTAGCACCCCATAATATATTCAATAATGGTCATGTAGCTATCCATGATGGCGGTATGTCAGTAATGCCATTGTTTGGTCGCCAATTTCGGGAAATGTAAAACCAGGGTTCAGTTTACAAAGGTTTGCCAAAAAGCAGTACACACACATACGAAAAATGCTACATATCATGAAAAGCAATATCTCTGCCTGGCCGTTCAAGGGTATACACAAAGGAGATCTATAAGTTTTGACAATGGAATCTTGACCAGACAATCCTTTGGCACGATGGCACTTACTGGTTTTGTAGTAACTAACAATGAAATGAATTTTGAACCATACAGCTTAAAAGTGAGACATTCGGGTGCTTACAGGTAAAGAACAACAATTAAACGGACCTTTATCAATGTTTTTGGCAATAGCATGCGTGGTGAACTTGTATAACATACATATTGATGTTTCGCCTAAGCTGAAACCTGGATAGGCGAACAAGCCTTGAGGCTTATATAAACGCCGCTCCTGTACATTATTACAGTAGCTGAATACATAAATTAAATAATTTAACAACAAAACAATAATACTGAGCAAAAATATCACATATATGATTGAATAATGAATATGTTCGTTATGGTGTTGGTTATGCCAACGAAATAAACTGCCGCAGAAAATCAAATTATATATAATTTGACGTACATTGAGTATATATGTACTGGTGATAATCAATGGAAGCAGTTACTAGTACTTTTAGATATGAAACTGGTTTTGAGAATATTACTATTAGTTGAGTTATTCAATGCGCCGTTCCATATAAAATAGTTTTAACATCGTATAACATACAATGTCCGACCATACCTGAATATATAGTCAGTGAGTCATTGCACTGTGGGTAGACTCCCTCAATGCTTGAATCGACTACGTCAACTTCAACATTGCCCATGAGGAAATATTCGTACATCAGCCACACACAATCCAAGTCACTGAAAATATAAAGAGGGTTATATTACGCGAAGTTTACGTGAGTGAGTGAGTGAGTGAGTTAATATTTAACGTCACATCGGCAATATCTCAGCCATATCATGACGAAAACAATACATACGATATAAAGAGAAAACATTTTGAAGATTAAAACCTGTCGACGATGGACAGTAAAAATACTAGAGAAACACAGATATGAATAAAACTAGCGAGCACAGCTAAAACATTTCAATTAAAAAGGACAATACAGTATAAAACACGGGCTATAGATCGCCAACAACTGAAGGTAGATCACCATACTAGGAACCATAGGGACTTACATTACTGTTGCTACCTGCATGGATCCTAGTTGGATTTACACCATCCCTTCAGCCGCTGGCGATTGTAGGAAAATTTAGCCGGCAGTTAAAAGAACAAAGATACTACGTTTAAAATATGGTAAATTTACATTTTACTTTGAAAGTTTTGGGACTTACGTACCCTAGCGAAGTTTACGACCGTACCCATGAACTATACACTTCAAAACTAAGGTAAACTCAAGTCCAGGCTTATAAAGATCAGACTAGCTATTCTCGAAACGTTCGTAGCTCTAAGAACTTCTTAAGCCCATTCTTAACACATTGGCTACGATCAAAGTTAAGAATTCTTAGGGCTACGAATGTTTCGAGAATAAGGGCCCAGGGCGTTTGGTATACGACCGCAGTCCTGTCGCAGCTGTGTCGCGTCCTTGTCGCGTCCATGTAGAAATACCATGTTATCGCCCTCAGATCACAACACAACACGATAAGACACGTCGCGAACAAGAATATCTCAGCTGAATAATGCTGATACTTGAGTCTGGTGAATATTTAGTATCCAATCATTGAATTGCGACGCAGGTACAGATATACAGATATGTCAGCCCCCTTGTTGTTACAGGGTTAAATCGACTAGTATGTTGTAATGTTCATTCGTGTTGTGTGTATATGACATATCACGTATGTACACTTCAGTAATGATACGGATACGAAGGAGATTAATGTCTTCATGGACTGATGTCTTCAGAAACAAATGTGAACTACAGAAACATAATAGATATAATACGATATCACACATGCTAATCACGGTCAGTACAGACATGTGAATTATGTCAGTTATGAGACGACGCCATGAAAAACCATATTAATTTGATTAACGTTGATTTTGTTTTGGACATACTTAGAGTATTCATCCGGGTATCCAGGAGACACGATGTACAATGGGGAGTTGGTGGGCATCATTGTCAAATTGCAGACACCAGCTGAAAACAACACACATATACAGTTAAATGATATTCCTCAGTCAAGCGCCATGATAATGTAACTGAAAAATATTTACAATCAATTACAACTATTAATGCATTCTTTTGTTGATCAGTCATTGTTGGATATGAAAATGTGAGATTCTCATATGCCTTAAAATCTATTGAAATGTTTGATTCCTGTGTTCAAGGAATTACATCTGGATGTGTCCTTAAATGTCTCATTGCGACCACTTAAGCTTTATCATTACAGTGTTTAGCATAAATTTATCCATGCTGATTTCTATTAAGATACTTTGTGTGATGCTCACCTTCAACTGTCTTGTAATGGAATGTAAAACCGTTCCCAACAACAGAGCCATCAGTCTTGAAATCGATCCGTAATTGATCTTTAGAACTTTGGAACGTAGGTGTAGAATGTCCACAGAAGGATCCGAGGAACTGGTTCCCTGTAGGAAATAAACGAGGTTACCGATTGAAACAACCTTTTAATGAGCTATATCTTGCTATAGCTTTATATATGATATCATATAGAATATTGTGCATACAACTTTATCATCATGTAAAACTTTCATTCTTTTCAGCTGCACTTGTTGGTTGGAATTGTGATTCTTAATGTAGCATCTAAGTGCAGTAGACACCAGTAATGAAGATCACAATTTCGTAGAATTTTTGGCGACACGAGTGAGTTTGTTGGTAGGTCAAACAAATTATGGTTGTCTTTAATGAAATATTCACGGACAAGTCAGGAACATTGTCCTCGATTTACTTACCATCCCCTTCGTGATCATTGAAAACAGCCACAGAATCGGAGACACACTTGTCTGTGGACTGCACCCTCATGGAGTCGAATACCACTACTATGGTATCAGTCGGATTTTTCGCAGTGAACAGCCAGGTGCAGTTCAGATTACTGTAACACAACATCATTTATGTGCATCAACCTGACTGTTACCGGTAGGCATACGCATCTTGTCGACTCAATACATACTGGACACAGCATGTAACACTGAAACCGTTCTGTTTAGATATACTGGTTAAAGAGACACTGCCAATTCTTGTAATATCACCAGTGAAGATCTGGAGTAGAATTGCTCTTCAGCAACCCATGCTTATCGTAAGAGGCGACTAACGGAATAAGGTGATCAGGCTCGCTGAATCGGTTGACACATGTCATCGTATCCCAAATGCGTGGATCTATGCTCATGATGTCAATCATTGGATTGTCTGATCCAGTCTCGGTTGTTTTACAGACCCCCGTGTAAATCATATTGTAAAATGTACTTACTTGAAGTACTGAAAAGGATGCCCAGGTGAGTGAAAGATTGCCTTGTCAGGTGTTGCAATAAACGACCCTCCACATTCTGGGAAGATTATAGAATATGCAATATATCAAATCATGTCACGTTAACAACTGAATCATAGTAGCAACATAGAATCAAATATTGTACATTGCATAACGAAATACAGATTTGTTACGATTAGCTTTGGATGTCGGAAACATATTTTTACTGATGCGACAGTTACAGCTTGGCTTCGAAACATGTACCTTCTCATCGGACCCTATGACCTATAACCACACAAGTTCACCCAAGCCTTACGGTTACATAGCTAAATGAAATATGCGAGTGCCTATTGAAATAACTAAAGTTGACGTACACTTGACCGTTGAAAATATATTCTTGAGATGAGTAGGAATGTTGAGTTTATGAGTCCGATATATGTCGCTGGTAGGCTTCCTTTTAGGGGAGGTTTTAGCAGAATTCTTTTGTGGTTAGGAAAAGGGTTCTGTCATTATTATCCCCCGCTACGAAGTGGGAGGCAGATATAGCTTCCGTCCTTCCATCCGTCCGAGATGATGGGGACAGATTTTCTCAAAAACCGTTATAGAGAGGGAAGCCAAATTTGACATGTGCTTTCAAGTCATGAATTCCTTGATAGCCTTCGAAAACGGAAACCGTGTTACAATTTTACAGATTTATGGTCTTTGTCATGCGTTTTTTTATTTAGTGCACGTTATCCCACGATTTTCTAAGTAACCGTTATAGATAGAGAAACCAAATGTGGTATGTGTTTTCAGGACTTGAAGTGTCGAAGTTAAAAAAAGGAACCAAATAACAGTAGAACACTGTGGAGGGGGATAATGATGACCATTTCTTCTTGTTTCATCTGAGGCTGCATTCTAAAGAAATAATATATCACTACATACTTGGTGTTTCATAGAACTGCAGATGGAATCCCCTCAACTGGTGATCGTTGTCAGTCTTGAACAAGATGTAGATGGCACCGCCAGAACTGAAGACTGTAGTGCGGTCATGTCCACAGATTCGCCCAAGGGAGCGGTCTGTCGAGTTTGGCCCTGCAACACGGAAACATCAATCTCCGTTTGAAAACCAATATACAGATTCACAGTTAGCAGGGCAATGCCAGCCAAGGTTTATGATGACCATACCTACATGTTCATTTGTACTTAGTATTGTTTGAGCCTACACACGTGTCATTACACAAAGGAAATATTGATATCTTGTACTGGCGCATTGAATGAGCTGGGTTTAACATAAGATATATACCGTTTTCGTATAACCAAAAGATCTGTCAGACTGCGATCACAACCTAGGATGCATATGTTATCATAAGACCGGCAGTATTTGCTGGCATTTGAAAGATCCCCATGTTCCTACCAATGTCATATCTTAACTTAACGGGAAAGGATTTACTTTTGTAGGTAGGTAAACACAATTTTAGATCCTCAAAATAGAAACATGAACAAACAAATTATCAAGTTGCATCACTAAGGCCTCACCTGGATCAATATTATCTGCAAATGAGGCAATACTTTTGAGCGATCATCACCAATTTTACGATTAATGTTATTAAAGCTCCATTTACTTTTGAATACAGATAAGCAAGCATTGCTAACTCGAGGTAGTATGTGCGCTCTTACCATCGTAAAAGGACAGACTATCATAAACGCAGTTTTTCGATGTTTCGATCGCAGAATCCAGAACTCTCACGATGACTGTATTCTGTTTGTTACTGGCTTCGATCCTCCACCAGCAAGTCAGATTGCTGTGATAATGAGAAAGAATTGTTTTAAGGCATATCTACGTGATACACAAATTCCATTCCCACACCGTCACTTACAATCATTGTAACTGCGCACGGTTGACACGGAGTACACGTGAATAAATATCATAAAATGTAATGTACAAAAGTTTAAAAGGATTGAATTGGGCACGACACCAGTTAACAAACATGAAACAAATATGAACATGTTCCGTAAATGTTCTGTTCAGATAATCCTCTTTAGGGATAGCCTGGTGGTTAAACCGTTAGCTCGCCGCGCCGAAGGCCAGTCTTCGATTCCCATGTTTGAAGCCACCGCCGTGATATTGCTGTATTATTGCTGAAAACGATGTAAAGCCATGCCCACTCTCACACTCAATTTTACCGATATTGTCCACAGACGAGTCGCTTTAAGGTGCTATAGACTTACGTCGGATAGTTTTTTAGTTGGATATCCTGGGGAAGTGAGGTTAGATGGGGTCCCTCGTGCAATCAACTCCACATTGCATGATTCTGAAAGAAAACGGAAAATGCTGATAAGTTTGCATGACAATATATCCCTGTTTAATACGTCTTTTCAACCGTTTTTCAGCTGTGTTATGACCTGTAAATTTAGGAACTACGCCCAAGACACAGTGACGTTTAAGACTGAGACCATGAGAAAGAGTATAGATAATAGAACGAGGATTATTATCGGTGTGAATATGAGATTCAAACTAGCGACAAGCGGATCCTGACAATACTAGGTAATGCAGTTAAGTCAACATAGCTGCCTTTAGGCAGACAGGTTTGGTGAGTTTTGAAGACATCAACATGTCCATACAGCAGGTAAACCATTTGCAACGTCCTCTCCGCACAGTCCTTTTACACACTGTGTATGTAATCATTGACAATAATTTGCTAATGAATCAATTCTTTAACTCGTTTTTCACAGTGTTGCTTCTTTTCGTGTACACGTTTCCATACTAAACTGATCTAATCTAAATTTAAATGAAAGAGCTTTTTCTAGAAATAACAAAATCCTCCGGTTAAATTTGGAACTATAAAGATGAATTTATTATATATTGCAAAGTGTTTTCAAATGTTTATCAGTATGGTAATTAAAAACACTGGTTACATGAATATAGGGGCACGCCCTCAGGTTTACACAGAGCCATACATATGACGCCTAGACAGAAAGAAGTGTCAATAGACCGTAGATCATCCTCCCCTTCAATGAATACTTGAAAAATACCGACTTACTGAATAGTAATGTATTGGCGTTTTATATCAAACATAAGTAATCGTAAAAAGATAAGCATGAAAAAAATAATAAAGAGAATAGGTATACCTGAAACACGCCCCTTTTCAACGGAAAAATATCCTGAATGTGTAGAACATGACCTCTCTGTGACCAGTTTCTATTCGTAAATACTGATGAATTTATGAACACTATTGAATTTGACAGGTCAATGTTAAATTTTTTGAAAACACAATGGTTACTTGAAAAGTACAGAGCCATCATTCCCATAACTAGCAAGTACAAAATGTTGTGACAATGTATAACAAAAGAATGTCTACCTGTTATAGCAAACAGCGCCACAGAGACAACCACGGCCGAGAGAAATTCGCGAACGTTCATCCCTTTGTGAAACTGTATCCTCCTCTGAACCAACTGGCTGAAGGTCCTATATTAATATGTATATTAGATCTCATTGCGAAACCGTACTGATATATGACACAGTATCTCGTGATTTGTTATCATCAACCTATGAACCACCCATCGGCTTCATCATAAACAATGCAGTGCATGAAATCAGATTGCACCCTATCAATAACATTAGTTGCAAAAGAACGTATATAATACGACAATGATAGGCGGATATGTGAGGTGTCAATTTAGTATGCGTTTTTATTATGCATTACGTTTATTGAAATGACGATGCCACCAACCCGTATTATAGATTTACACATACATACAGACTAATCTGTTCATAATATTATAATACTAATATTTAAGTATTAAACACAATTCTTGCACACATTTCAACTATTAAAAATACATCGTAATATGTAAGATAATAGTGTGCAAAAATTTGCACAAAGCAGCATGTACATTTTCCGGTAAGATGGAGATATACCTTACTATGATGATGTGATTTCGTGCTTTCTAAAATAGAAAAAAATGAGTATTCAGATTCTTAAATAGGCATTACGTGACACAATGGACATAACACATCTTCAGTTGGGGTATTCAGTTTGAGCATTGTCATTTAGCTCTATACATCCTTAGCTTCAAGCTGTAAGGAAGAAAGGTAAGGTCATGACAAGGTCATTGTCAAGTGCGCACTTTTGTTTGGGAAGGAAGGTATATTTTGTTCGGTTTTACGGCAGTTGTGCAAGGGCAAATGTGCCTTTTGTTTTCTTTATATTTTTCATAACAATATTCTGAAGACAATTATTATAAGAATTGTGAAATAACGCAACGACAACCTTCTTCCATCCCTACTCATCTGTTACGAAGTTAAAGACAGGTAACTGCATATACATGTATTTCAGTGGATGTCTCCACCTCATGAGGGTTTGATTGCTGCACCGAAATAGTGAATGGCTGAGAATGTTGTATTTAACAACAGCCATATGACGACACTCTGTGTGTTGAGAATGGAGCTGAACCCTGTATTTGATGTGGCGAGGCAACGTTTCACCACTAGACTAACCCACCTATCCATGTACCGAATGATCGCGGACAACCTCGAACACTGATGAGTCCATAATAACGTACGTAGTTGCAGCTATCACTAATGCCTCTGACGTTCCGTGTATTAATAATTCACAACAGGTCAGCTCAGTGATACCCTGATAAGATGTCGGCGTAGATCCACATATCTATCCAAAACTGTTCGCAAATGTGTTTACATCTAGTATCTACTGACATGGAAATGAACTGGTAAAATATGAGACATTAGACAATGAATGCTTGACAGATGTTTAACCAAACTATTTAAGGCAATATAGTCCTATCTATAAATCTATAGCTCAGCAAAGTCCATGTCCAAGCTTTTGAATTGACTGGGATATAAAGTTATTGTTAAACTTACACACTACATGCATGTATTAACAGACTCTTAACACAGAAGAAAGCCAGTATTTTGTTTCGTGAAGAATAAGAATAAATTTGATTTTATGGTTTGAGACAAACCTTATCAGTACTCATGAAAGTTTTCGCAAGTGTACCCCTATGCATTGTTTTCCACCAATAACAGTGTGTGGGGTATTATGTATTATGTCTTAAGTATGTGTACATATCTGTGTGTTTATAATCATGCATATAGCACTGCGTTTCGTTTGGTTTGCATTAATAAGCACAACGTGGAGTCTTCAGTGGCTTTGTTTCTTATAACAATATTGACTATGATATTTCTCATGTGACAGTTGATCTCCTTGCCTCACATGATAAGCTCAGTATGCGTGTTGGTGTTGTCAAATATATTAGGTGCAAATATCAGTGGACCAGACAGTATCATCCTTGCACGCCCACTCGATGTTGAGAAGGCGATATAGACCGAGGTATAGAATTACAGATATTCACCTCTGATAACGACGGTAAGATAAGTTCAGCTGATCGAGTCAGTTGTGTATCTCTATATGGCATATACTATGAAGCACGCTCGGCACTGTACAATCATATTAACATATTGATCAGGGTTTGTGTCTTCCTCGATAATCTCCAGGGTATACGTTCCGATAAATCTCCACTATATCCTGGGTGCATCTACGGCTCGGCCTGATGATTTTATTACCTCCCTTTGCTGGCTCCGCATTCTCACAGTAGCCAATCAAATAAGCCGCCGTTACAACCGAGCTTACCAGTGTCGACAAAGATAGCGATCGCAGCTGCGAAAAGTTGTTCGCAGTGCGACTCAAACTTGCTGGGAAAACATACAGACAAATTGACAGGTCTGAAACCTTAAAAAAACATATGCAAGAGCTCATTGTACCTCTTTCAGAGAACCTCTGCAACAATATATTATTGTGTTGCCAAGTTTAATCGGTTAGAAAATGTAAAAAGCGAAAGTGAGTTGTGATTGGTACGCTCAACTTCCCAGCGGAAACACCTGATTGGATAAAAAAAACAACCAAGGGAGGTAATGAAATCATCGGCTCGAGCCGTAGATGCATCCAGGGTATAGTGGATATTTATCGGAACGTATACCCTAGAGATTATCGAGGATGGGTTTGTGTTTAACAGTGGATTTCAACTGTGCTTTTTCGGCTACGTCACTGCAACAAACGTGTTTAACGTTGTATACATATTGTGAGTTGTAGTTATCACATTCACATATGCGTGATATCCCTAGATAAGGCTACGGTTGTGACCAGGTCATTGCGTAACGAGTGCGAAAAGGCTACGACGATTGTAAGCTGATGGGTTGCATTTGTGAATGCGTTAGCTATCGTGGGACACCAAATATGATCTAGGGATATCTCAAGAATTGACGATTGTCTTATACCATGTCGTTCGTCACTAATGATAACACAGTGCATACAGTGTTATCAATTTTGTTGTTTTTGCAAACGTGCCTAATGATAACACAGTGCATACAGTGTTATCAATTTTGTTGTTTTTGCAAAACGTTCCTTAGCAGTACGTATTTCAGAATACTAGAGAGAGAGAGAGAGAGAGAGAGAGAGAGAGAGAGAGAGAGGGAGAGCGAGACACAGACACAGAGACAGAGTGAGTGACCACAAATCAATATAATGTACATAGACAGTTTATTCGATAACAAGGTCACAGGCCCATAATACAATGTTTGGTTGCATGATAAATGCATGTCAGTAAATCGAATAGGTTTCTGTAAGCTGATGGACTATCTATAAATATATGAAATACATCGGTGAAAGATTTGAGACTGGTTATTTGTGACATATCGTTCTACTTTTGAACAACGCTCACATACAAGCAATACATGTAATTGATCTACAGTAAAAGAGCTTCCACCTTCTATTCAATATTTACAAATTCGATCACTGTATAAGTCATGTTATAATCTACTACATGAGTCATGTACTATCTGTGAAGATTACAGTAAATATGTCTGGTTTCACATCCAATTACATACCAGCAGGTTTTAGCAATGTGTCTGTCATTTCCGGGCGAGTTGCACAAACGACAATCCAAGCCTTTATAACCATTTGATACCATCAGTCATCCACGGGATCGTGAAGAAAAGTTTAGTAAATACACCAGTAGGTGTGTTCATTTATGTTACTTGAAGTAGCAGTTGCAGGCGATCGTAACAACCTGAAATATTTTAACTCTAACAGCTCACGATACATATTTTGTTCAAATCATTAATTTGACTCTATTTCCTAATTCCAGGAAAATTGCTCTTTCCCTCATCCTTTATGCATTGTCATTTATTGATGCGTGTTCTTATAAAAGAAACGGTGAAGGTTTGTTCTGTGCGCTATGGTGTCACTCTGAAAGCATGATCCCCTCCGGACAACGTGGTAGCCGATAGCAACGATGACAAATACACCAGCAATAACACCAACAGCAATTCCAATGATGACGCCTTTAGGGGAGTCTGGAAGGACAATGTGTTATATATAGTGAAGGAAAAAATAAGGGATCACATGAAAGCACAAGTGTTCATTTATTTTTTCCAGGTTTCTTCACAAGCTAAGCGATACAAAGCTTGTGAAGAAACCTGGAAAAAAGATAGGAACATTTATGCTTTTATGTGATCCCTTATTTTTTCCCCTCAGTATATTACAATATTTGAACTTATAAACGGTACCGTAGCTAACAAATTCACTCTGCACAGTCACTGACCTGTAGCTGTTAATCACACATTATACATAATCACTGAAAATTTCAGGGATTATACATAATCCCTGGTTTTACATATTCACTGTAACATATATTTGTATATAATTCATAAATAAAGATAAACATTGAGTCAAAAGCAGTTGATATTTGATCATATTTGGTCCCGGAAACTAGTTCACAGGGAACAAAATAAGGTATTAAAGGGGATTTTCACACCCCAGGGATTTCTTCTACTGAAACAATAGGAGTTGGGTAGGTGGGAAGACCCCCAAGTTTTACAGTGTAAGTATGCTTTGTCAACAATTCTGTTTGTGTGGCACTCAAAACAGCGTCCTGTCTTTTCAATGAATGGAATGTCGTGGAGCACTGATCTGGAACAATTCCTCGGAATTTGTTGCTTTTCTTATTGTTTTATGCCTGTGGGTACCCGGATGCACTCCGAGACATTTTCTATGGTTTGTGACATCAGGGCGTGTCCTCACATTTATCAACAAAAAATTTAAAAAACAGTTTCGTCTTGGAATTAATTGGGAAATGTGGCCATCTTTGTACAAAGTAGACCCATCTAGTTTTCAGGGTAACAATTCGAACCATTTTAAAGTTTAATGGAATCTTTCAGTGATTAAAAAGAAACTTAAGAGAAAACGGAAGTAAATTTACATCCTTATAGGGTTTTATATGATATAACAAGCATTGTCACACCGTATCCCCGCCGCAAATTATTAAATCAGACTTACAAAGTAATCAAAGTGAACGTCATAGTTTAAAATGAAGTTAAATGTCATTGACAACAAAAATATGATATCTTGCTCTATAGTTGTTCAAACACACAAATATTTTCAAGACTCGTTTTGACATCTACATGAATGTCATGGTGTATGAAATATGCAAAAATGGTGATAAAGAAATTGCCTTGAAATGAAGATCAAGGTCACCAAACCTCACTGATGACTTTTCGCATAATGTTATGAACCTAGGTACCAAATACGAAAATAATAGTCAATGGTTCTTAAGATATTCCAATTCGTATAGGGGCGGTGGGGTAGCCTAGTGGTTAAAGCGTTGGCTCGTCACGCCGAAGACCCGGGTTCGATTCCCCACATGGGCACAATGTGTTAAGCCCATTTCTGGTGTCCCCTGCCGTGATATTGCTGGAATATTGCTAAAAGCGGCGTAAAACCAAACTCAGTCAGTCAGTCAGTCAGTCCAATTCGTATATGTACGGACGGACGGAGAATAATACTATTGAACCGTTTTCGCACTAAACGCGCGAAATCTTTTATTATGTTTTTTATGCACATTGGAAGTTCATTAAAACATAGTCTATCTGGTTTTTTTGTGTATTTGTAAATTAACTCAAGTCTGTATCATCTTGATATTTTACAAATTGCCTCAGCGAAACACATTTTACACATTCACTCCTACAACAAATGGCTTGTGAAAAAAGAGCCAAATGTTGTCTCACATCGAAGGACTTCCCAACGATAGCGTAAACGATGTGTGGAATGATTCTGTTTAATGCTACAACAAATAAATAAAAAATACAAACATCCCAAATTACAACCATGAACAAATATATCAGCTACCTTATATTCATCAATATCCGCACAAAGTAACATTATCCCACATATATCACAGCTAACCAAAACAAATTCCATGTCATGTGTCTTCAACTATCAAATATTGTAATATACCCATGTCAATAATGGTTGTCACCCCCTTCAATTTTTTTTAATTGGAGATGGGGTGGTGTGTGTGTGTGTGTGTGTGTGTGTGTGTGTGTGTGTGTGTGTGTGTGTGTGTGTGTGTGTGTGTGTGTGTGTGTGTGTGTGTGTGTGTGTGTGTGTGTGTGTGTGTGTGTGTGTGTGTGTGTGTGTGTGTGTGTGTGTGTGTGTGTGAGACAACCATTATTGGCATGAGTATATACCTGTTTCAGGATATTGAAATTCGTGATAATTCTTCAGCTGGTGAGGTAATTTGTTTCAGTTTTCTCACATTTGTCAGCCGAAAGAGCAGTCGTTTCAACTATTTTCTGTACGGTTCCATAGAGAAATCATTGAGTCAGACAACAATGGACAATCAGTCAACGTATTATCGGTTAATCCTTTGAACAAAAGACGTTGCTTTTACACAGGCACTTAACGACAGGTGTAAATAAACCTACACACATAATCACTATTTTTTTACAAAACAACATAACAGTGATTAATCAGTCAACGTATTATGGGTTAATACTTTTCTCTATTCTTTGGAACTCAAGTAGCGTTCACCAGCAAATCGTCTCATGGCAGGAACAATGTAATGCAAAGAGACATCGGAGGCAGTGTTAGACTGCCGGGTTGTCCTTTAAGACGATGAAGTGATTCATTTATGCACCAGGGCCCCGTTTCACAAAGCTATCGTAGCGCTTAGACTGTCGTAAGTCTTCGTTACAGTATAGGATCTACGGCAGTCGTAGCGCTGCGATGGCTTTGTGAAACGGGGCCCACGCTATATCCTGTTTATGTTTCTGCCGTTCAAATGTCTGTTTCATTTATGTCCTCATGTTAAGACCGCCTCCGTGGTGTAGTGGTAAGAGCGTCTGCCTAGAGAGCTGAAGGTCGCGGGTTCGATCCCCGACCGCGTCATACCAAAAGACGTTAAAATACTTGTTTGTCCCTGCCTGGCGCTCGGCATTAATGGGTACAACAAGGACTGGTCGGCTCGGAGTCAGTATAATGTGTCTGAGTGGGGTATTCATGCTTCACTGCGGCATGGTATCTCAGTGGGCTAGCACTATAAAACCAACTTCAGTCTGGGCTAGTACAAGCAGCCGCACATACACATACAAACGCATGCACGTCGTCATATGAGCGAAATATTCTCAAGCACGACGTTAGACCCAATTTCACCTCACCTCACCTCATGTTGACGTGAATCATATTTACACAAACATTCATGAATGCGTATCTACCAGTACAATAGTAGCGATTAAACCTCTGAACGGGTTTCAGCGTGGTTTAATAATAGCAGAATATCCCTGAGTTCAAAATAAACTCAAAATAGTAAACTACAGTTCAGGCATTAAAGCATTATGAAAAACTGGATTGTAAAAATACGATACCTTGGGGACTATAGATCCGTTTGATGGAAACGTTGAAGCCTGTATTGGGTGTGTCATAACTGGTATCAAACTTCAGGAAGAGGTACCTCCCGGTGCTGGATATGACATTATGAGCGTGACCTGCACCACACCATCGAGCTAAGGACGGACTGCTGGGATCATAGCCTTAAACACGGAGTTCTTCATTTATATTTCAGTTGTAGTGTATTCACAAATCAGAACAATATTAGGCTAGGTCTGCATCCTATGTACTACATAATATCAGTATCAATATATACATGGAGGTATAATAATGGTCATGTCATACTCCTTGTTACTTTGCAATAGTACGATTTCTCAACCACTTACTCCAGAGCGTCTCGGTTATTCAAATGGACATATACAGTGTAAATCTTAGGTCAAAACAGCTTCTCGGTTGGGTATTTTGGTTGGTTTGTTGTCCAAGGCCGCACTTAGCAATGTTCGAGAGATATGGTGATGGCCTGTAAATAATCGAGTCTGGATCCAGTGTTAAAAAATTATGAGCATCAATCTACGCAGTTGGGATACGATGACATGTGTCAACCAAGTCAGCGAACCTAACAAACCTTTCCTGTTATTCGAATTTTACGACACGCCTGAGTTGATGAAGATCAATTCTAACCCGGATTTGCACGGCTTATCAGTAGAAGTTTCTTGTTCCATTCATTAAATACCTCTTTGGAGATACAATAACTACGATAACTGTTACAGACTCAAATTAACCGTGTTGTCAAAAATATTTTTCTTAACATGCGAAGTCATTTCATAATTCAAAGTAAAAATGGGTGGATGAGTAGGCAGGTAAGTGGGTAGGTGGGTAGGTGAGTAGGTCTACAGTAGATGTTGGCGTTAATTGGTCAAAACCCAATAATTCTGGAATCGTCATCACCTAAGTTATAGTTAGTAATTAATGTCTGTATTTAAGTGTACATTCGGCAGTATCAGTTAATATCATTCACAATGTCACTTCGATTTTGCTTCTATATACAATACCATCAAATGCTTCAAGGTAGTTGGAATCGCATGAAGTTGACACCTTTGTAGTATTGAATGATATCACCGTCAGCTGGACAGCGATATGTGCAGCGCCGTCAGTGTCTAATCTCCATGAGCAGTGAGCATTTCTACAAGAACAGATAGCAAGATTTAACCATTACCTCGAATAAATCATTACAGAAGTGATTATTCTCAATTCAGTGAAGTGGATTACGTTATTCTTAAGGAATAACGCGACCTCACAGATGGAAGTGTAATAATCGTAAACCATAATAATCATTCTATATGATTCCATTGAACTACTTATACATGGGGTACACACACAGACACAGACACAGACACACACACACACACACACACACACACACACACACACCTTGGGTACTTAAACATTGTAATGAATACGTAATTCCATTAAAATGTACTTGTACACAGGGTACACATACCTTGGGTAGTTAAATGGATAGTTAGGAGATGTTATGTATGTTATTGTGTCCCAAGCCATCTGTTCCTGCAATGTACAGACTGAAACAGGCAAAATTACATGAACGTCATTTTTTGTGCGTTTTTTTCGGTTTCAGAAAAGTAACCAAAATCATCAATTTCATTTAAAAAGATACAATATGTTACATTGCCATTTCACTGTTTGTTGAAATTTATATTGGAGAGATATTAAAAATATTACATGTATATACATAAATATATTAAATATACATTTCATACTTGCTTATCTTCATTTATAAAACTAAAACTATTCATGATTATCATTTTTACTCTCGTCCACCAACCATAACTATATCTCTCTTACGAAAATCACGTTAACACGTCCCATGGTCCCTGGTATGGTGATCTACCTTCTGGTGTTGGCGATCTATAGCTTGTTTTTATATTGTATTGTCCAAATGCTGCTATCTGTTTTAACTCTCCATACTAGTTTTAGTTGTAATTGTGATATTCTAGTTGTTTTACTGTTCTTCGTCGACAGGTTTTTATAACGTACATATATTCCATTTCAATGTCAAATGTTCTCATTTTACTTTTTATTGTATAAAATTGTTTTCGTCACGATATGGCTGCGATATTGCCGATGTGACGTTAAATATTAACTCAATCACTCACTCACGTTAACACGTTAACCTATAAATAGAAGGTTTGCCTACTTTCAAAATCGCCGGCAAAAACTGATGCACTGAAACCGCTTTGGACATTATTTGGCTTCCGGCTTTGAAATGTGACAACCATTTCTTTTCCCGACGTAACGTGATCTTCTGAGAAGCCTAGATGTCCACAAAACTTCCCGATTAAACTGGGCTTGGACAAAGATCCTAAACAGAAAATATGTATCGTGTACATGTAATAAGTAAAGTCTGAATTCAAATAAAAAATGTATATGAAAGGTCGTTAGTTTTGGGATGAAATCTTACTAGCCAAGTGAATGAGCCATACCAGTCATACTCACCATCATGTACTGTGATGTATTCCTCTGTACAGGAAGGTGAAAATGTGAGGTCCACGCTATCAATGGAAATCTTCAGGTTCTGGTTGTTTGCCTCTATTACCCAGACACATTTCATGTCACTGAAAGTCATCGATACATTATTACGGTTACCATCTCCTATAGTATTGATGGTCAAAACAAGGACAGTCGAGTAAGGTTTGTTTTAATTCATTAAGAGTGAACAGAAATACTAGACTATACATGTATGTACAGGTATATAAAGTAGTATATTTTTTCACAGTACATAGAACTAGTATTGGATAACTTTATTCAATAAATAATAACTTTTCTATAAAACATTTAGCTTGCAACTCTTATACACACTATAACGTGAATACAAATTAATGACGTCTATGAAATAAATGTTGCACTATTCTAAACACTTACAAATAATAGTTGGAGAAGGATCCCGGCGGTTGTAAATTACAAAACGTTACTGTAGCATTCAACTGTATGTGTCCGCCACAATCATAAGGATCTGTAGAAAAGACAGCCATTCAACATTCAACAGAAAAACCTACGAATATTCAACACTTGTTGACATAGGTCAGTATTTTACAGCCATGCAGACAGTATTCTCGGTATTGTTGCTTATTAAAAATTGTATATACCACGTATTCGCAACGACGGAGTGAAAACATAATTCCTGTCCTTGGGTAACTTTCGCAGGAGATTGATGAAACATTGGTAATTTTTTCAAAATTCATCATCTCATATCTCATTATTGGTGTTTTGAAATTAACTTGCTTAAGATATTGTTTATGATTATGGAATGTGTACGTGACAATTATTGACAAACATTGTAATCTTTATCATCAATGATATCTCATTTTCAATGTTCTGAAAACTGCTCTCGTAATATTTCATTTGGCAGATACTTCTATTGATTATGGAAATAAATTTGATCAATTCTGGTTTTACTGATATATCTGTGAAAGATACTGAACTGTTCAAAACACATTTCACTAATTCGTTAGTGAAAACATGAAGACGTACCGTGAAATAACCCTGAGATATAATCGATTACGAATCCCTGTTTGACAGATCCTGGGCCAGTATGGAGAATTACCGACATTACATTCCCAGAACTTATGTAGGTTGGCTGCTTTTTACCGCAAAAGACGCCAATTTCTTTGGAATCCTCGTTTGCACCTACACATAAAAATCATGTGTATAATACATGTCTATTGTAAAAATTATACATTCATGACATGATTTGAGCAATTATGTATTATTTTCCAAAGATAAAAAAATATAAAACGACAATCACTTGAAAGCAACTAACCAATTCACACACTGAGGATACTCTCTTCATCCAGCAAGTAGTTGACCAGTATAAGTTAGCTGAGGAAGAATTCACCTTTTTGTGAAAATGTAGGTACAGAAAGACTACGTGAACTGATATTTAAGATTACACTCACCATCTCTAACACTCACATAACTGCCATTGCAGGTATTCCCGTCACCAATGGAAGATTTCCATACACTTATATGGATGCTGGTGTTTTGTGGGCTCCTTAAAATCCACACGCACTTCATGTTCCTGGAATGAGGTATGACAAGGAAATGACTGATTTCTCATGATTATTGTTTTTCTTTGTTTGGTATTTCAGATATTTTCCAGCTATATGGCGTCAGTTTATGACTAATGGAACCTGGCCCAGACAATCAAGTGACCGATATCATGAACATCATCTACATCATTGGGATACCATAACATGCACCAAGTCAGCAGCCCTCATCACCCGATCCCGTTAGTCGGCTCTTGCGACAAGCATGGGTTGCTGAAGGCAATATTCTAACCGTATCTGAACAGGTCGAATACTCATATAATGAACAGTATTATTCTCGAAGAATTAATGTCCTGAATAAAGATGACATATGCTATGATATGTAATGACTGTCAAGGTACTAAACAATAGCGTTTTGCATAATACTCCCTTATTCACTCTATGAGGAATTCTCAACAGGGTATACTTGTAGAAAATGAAAAACAGTTACGATGACAGTGTAAAGGTAGTGGGTATCTAGATGTATGGTTTAATCAAATAATAAATTAATATTTACTGTTTAAAGTTATTGTTTTAAATCAATAAGGAGTCATTTAAATAGTCGAGTCCTGCTCAAACAATCCAGTGATTGACAACATGACCATCAATCTAAGCAACATGGATTCGTATCGAATCGGGGAGGATAAACCATTTCAGCGAGGGGGATCCGATATGATAATATCTAAATTCTTAACAGTTCGCTTAGTTTCTCTTAGGCACCACTGCTATATGTCGAATGTTGTTTAAAACAAAGTTCAAATTCTTTCCTTTCAGATTATATTTTTAGCAGTGGGTTAAAGTGTTGAGTCGTCTCGCCGAGGACGGCTTCTCCAATGGATGCAGTATAGGAAGCCTGTTTCTGCTCATTCAAATCCGTTCTAGTTCATTTTATTTGATTTCTACTTGCCTACGGTAATTGGCAGGGTATCCAGGAGAGACCAGATACTGTTTACTGGAGTTGACGTTGACTTGACCGCCACATGGGAAAGGTTCTAGACGAATGATTTTGGACTATTAGCTTGGAACAGGAATCCACACGTTTTTTGTATAAACACAGAAACCACAAATGGTATATCAACAATACATCAAGAAAAGAAGACAGTGCAAATCGTTTACCTTCATTTTCAGCAAATCGCTCACCATATTACCTATATATTTTACAGAAGAGTCAGTAAAATGAGCAAAGTTAGACAAAAGAAGGCTAGATATTTGTACCATAATTTACGTTTATATTACAATTTACGTCAAGATTAATTACAATTTGGTGCAAGTATTACAATAACGTTTTATTACAATTATTTACGTCGTAACACTACTTTTGTCATTCGTTAAAGTCCTCATCTGGAGAACCATGCACATTTGTACCTCGTGTTTCTGTATATCTCAGTTTAAATCCTCTGCGTAAACGTTGATCACTTGTCACAAATCTGACAGTGAGAGAGGAACCAGAGCTCTGAACCTCAGGCTTCATATTTTCACACCAAATCTGTATAATTGCTGCTGTCTTGTCAGGACCTGTAAACATGACTGCAATTTTATTAAAATGCTTGGTTTAAAAGTTTACGAAAGGTGCAGGGAATGTTGTTTTACTCCGGACAAAGTACGGAGAACACCACTCATGGTTTTCTCATATTAAACCCATGTGTAGATACGAACAACAAACTCTCGAAGTACACCGCCCCACAAAATGATCTTTGTATCATTTGTTCAAATAAAGTGATGCTTGAAATATTCGAATAGGTGACTGTCAGTGTTTGTGTATTGGCAGCCGTAGAATGTTGTACAGAGATTACAAACTAAGCACAATATTTGGCTGCCGTACATAGCTAGAATGTTGTACAGAGATTACAAACTAAGCACAATTATATCCATCACTGTTAAGGAACCATAGAAACATAACTAGAAATGATTTCGGGACACGCATTGTACGAGGTAGTGACACAAGTCTTGTTTCAATGTTCTCTGTGGTAATTTTCTTGTGATTGTACAGTCATGATTACAGGTAGTCATGAATACAGGTGTAATTGATCTTCATATATACGAAGATCAATTATACCTGGTTATATAACCCAAGGTCAGGGCAAGAATTAGAGGCTTATAATGAATTTAATACTTTCCATCATACACATAGACCTTGTCGCCATAATCGCAGTCCCTGTATCCGTCCATATGGGAGTCTAAGACCTCTATATGGACCATCATGTCTGGATCGGATGATGTTAGGGTCCACTGGCAATCTACATGTAGATACCTACAACACAAAATGAAACGTCCCAGGCAACAATTTCACGTTGTAACAATGTTGTCACAATGTTATGCTTTCGTCCGTACAACGTCATTCTGTGGATTACCATTTACGTCGTCACAGCATTGTAACGAAACGTTTAAGTGACGTGATATTAACGTTGTTAGGAAGAATGGAAATTACGTTACTGTGACTTCAGTATATGTATGGTAATCACAAAGTATAATATGATAGGTAAATAATGCACTACGGTCTTGATTTCTGCATAAAGTACGAATAATTCGATGTCACTCTTGTTCTTACGATTTTTGGAAAAGAGACGTCGCATCAACGTTTCAGAAACGATGAAACGATTTGTGAGTGAGTGAGTTTACTTTTACGCAGCAATCAGCAATATTCAAGCTATATGGCGGCGGTTTGTATATAATCGAGTCTGAACCAGACAATCCAGTGATCAACAGCATGAGCATCGATCTGCGCAATTGGGAAACGATGACATGTGTCAATCAAGTCAGCGAGACTGACCACCCGATCGACAAGCATAGTTGCCTTTTATGGCAAGCATGGGTTGCTGAAGACCTATTCCACCCCGGATCTTCACGGGTCGATGATACGATTTGTAAAACATGTAGTCGATACTGTAACATTGTGAAATAACGTTATAAAATGACGTAATGAAAGTGTGAGTTAGCCTGGTCAATATTCAAGTCTGGGTGATTTCACCAGGAATCGCATCCAGGAATGTCTTGTCGCTGTTAATTCCTTACGTTTGCACAGCTTGCGTCTGGATATGGTCATTTGTACACTCAGTATAATTAGAAGTGATCTATGATTTTGTAAATAATTTGTTATACTTACCTATCATACGCCATTGGGTATTCTGGCGAGACAAGGTATCGATCTGACTGAACAGCATTGAGGTTCTGTGGTCCACAGCTTGGTGTAACTGGACAAATAGATATTTCTAATTTCTATTCTCCTAAAAATTCGATATTGCTTCTATTGCAAAACAGTATCAGTAAGTTGTATTTCTGGTTTTCAGGGATGAAAACACCATATAAAAGGGTTAAGTTATCACTCACTATGTTTCAACCACGGTGATCGTTTAGAATGTCTATAACATTTAAAATATGATTTTGAAGCATTACACACATGCATTTTAACTTCTTTAAATATCGACTTTTTGTTTCTATACTTACTATTTTGTTTAACTGCATTTAATTTCATCCGGAACCCTTTCTTTACAACAGCGTTGTTCGTTGTAAACATCACTTTCAGCACATTAGGAATGGTGAAGTTTGGTGTGGAGGTACTACAAAACGTCCCAACTTTGTCTATTGCTACACAAAACAATATATCATTAAGTTTTGCCCTTCAATACGTGGATTTTGAGCAGTACAAGATGTCAATATTTACCGCAAATATTGAACTTCGCAAAGGCATACCGTCACGAAATTCTTTAAATACTTAATCATAGATATCTCATATAATATAAATCATTAATTAAATACATGGTACCACATAAGTGTGGTAGGGACATATTTTGTATGTCTGAGTATCATGATTAGTTTGCGTTAATTACTTTTAAGTATTTTAAATAATCATTAATTCTCTATCTTCATTTCAGCTTCCAACATGACATGTGCAATGTAAATATATATATTCTAATACTTTGTTTAAGCTCACTACAGTGGCTGAAATGAAATACTTAATAATTCATGTATTTTAAACAAGCTTCTTGATTTCAGCTCATGTCAGCGCTGAAACAGTTCATATAGTTAATCGCTTAGTTTTACTAATAAAATTATAGTGTTTACCCAACCGTGACAACACCTTACGATTGGTCCATTCAAACCTGCATGCTTTTTCTATGCCTGAACACCTCGCACCCTCACACGTCATATCATCACCAGACACGACTGACAAAACTTGTGTGACAGACGAACTTGTAAGCAAAGCCGTCAACTAAATTCTCATCAGGCTAGTAAACTAACTATCTTAGATAACGTTTATGCATATCTAATGTAACATTAACTCAATAAGTTATCTTAAGCACATAACATATATAAATAAGGTAATTAATGCCGTCAGGGTAGTTAGCGTGTGTTGTAATCGGCCCGCGGGTAAACGCAAAGTTTCTGTTTTAAAGTGTAACATATCTTCCCTTTTAAACGTAAATAACATTAAATAACTATAAAGCGAGGCATTGGGAGTATGTTTTGTGTATGAATGTTGTCTAATTTTTATTATCTTATTTGCATAAATAATGGCAAAGTATCTCAGTCTAATGTTTATAGTGTATAAAATATATCTTTCCATGCTTATCATTATGTCTGTATGGACATGTACATGAATCGGTTTGGTTCCTATTTCCAGTACACATTAGGGTATGTATTGTGCTGTACAATACCGTTTATATCATGTATATATATATATACTCATGCCAATAATGGTTGTCACCCCTTCAATTATTTTAATTGGAGAGGGGTATGTGGGGGTTGGGGTGGGAGGGGTGACAACCGTTATTGGCATGAGTATATATATATATATATATATCATTCTAACATAAAGAATCATCGGTCCTTTATGTTAACCTTCTAATGTAAATATTGTATGCCATGCAGCGATTACCGCCGATATCATTTATGGATTTGTTTAAGTCGTGCCATGAGTTATCGCCCCTGGTCCTTGTAAAGTTCAACCCCTTAGAGATCATTATATTCCTGTAATGCTTTAATGCACAGATAACATTGTCGGCGCTCATGCATTCAAGCTCTATTAACATTTATAATGTTATTGTACTGAATATTTATAAATAGATGTAAATGTATGTTCTGTAAACATACTGAACACTGTTATTATATTGTTGCCACAATTTTTTCAGGTTTTATCGTGTACATTGAAATTTCAAGCCACTTGGAAATAAACTTACAACCCTGCATTCGCTTTGTAGAATTGTTCAGTCTCTCAACAGATTATACATGCTATACATGCTACTCCAAAATGCGATAACAAACCTTTACATTGCAATGAACAGATACATATCGCCATCAGCCATGCTAGTATATTAAAATTGTAAATTATGTTTAACTACACAATCGTCAACATCAATGGATAGGTTCAATACAATCAGGCATATATCCTACTAAAAGATTGATGAATGGACAATCTGAATAGGCAACTGTGCAAAGGTCTCTAAACTCCACCAATCCTGGGGATGAGAATTTCGTGTGGCCATATATTCGTATTCGTATGCTAGATTATTGTAGTGACATTTATGATATTAGATCTGTCAAGGCCCTACTTCTACCTGTGCAATGCGTCTAAAATTTTGTTAAAGCTAATATATGCCATGACATAGATAACATGCACATACATCTAAAAGCAACTTTAAAAAACCACTCACCGTATCTCCACACCTTTACTGCATCTTTACTGCAGGAAGGAGGTGAACCTTCAAGGTCGGAGTCAACAACTTCGAGAACAATGTCACTTGTGTCACTAGGTGTCCAAATGGTCCAAAAACAAGCAAGATCACTGCAATATTCACGAAGTAATATCAATCTGATCAACATTGTTGGGACATGACGACAAACAATCAACGACTGCATTCATTGGACCCTGTCAAGACAAAGTGACGGATGAGAACTACAAAAACGTCGCTTTGAGGACTTGGTCTGTCCCGGAACTCAACAACGGCGATTCATATTGCCGCTTTCGTTCTTTTCATTTATGTTTGATATGGTTGTAATCAAACTTTTTATGTGGCAAATTGTCAAACTTACGAACAATTACACCTTGTTATGGTGGACATTATCATAACGTGGTGTTGTATTGGAGTAATACAAAACAGTGACATGTCGAAACACATCCGTACCAACCTTATGATACGCGTTCATATGCCCCGCCTCTCCCTTAATTTCCGTTAATTGGATAGAATCATAGTACTTACTTGTAATACGGATTCGGATATCCGGGGGGAGTATATAAACATAGGTATATTATCCCGAAGCTCGTTTGTAAAGTTGCAGTGTTTTTCTGGAAAAAGACAAAATGTTCAAAGAAAAATTAGAAGGTAAGAATACATTTTCAGATTTGGAATTTGGAAAACGGTTTACAGTAATGAAAACGTACCTGGGACGGAGTAAAACAGTAGCTTGAATCCTCTGTATATTCCAGGAGAAGACACTTTTGAATTGAATTCAATTTTCAGCGTGTTTCTGGAACTCTGCACAATACTTCCAGTAGGCGCTATTCCGCAAAAGCGTCCAAGAAGAAGGTTCTCTGTCACGTAAAAACGTAGGTATAACAAAGAATATGAAAGTATGTCAAACAGACAGAAGATAACCAAACTCAAAGCTGATTTTAAGGAATAAAACATGTCAGTTTGTAAACTCCCATGCGTAAAAGCGGTATAATTTTCTATACCAAAACGTCGCTATTGTACATTACAGAAGTTGATCATCAATAAAGAAGTTGATCATCCATAAAGACTTGTCGTTCCTAGTTTGTAGTTATCGTACTAGGGATTGATCTGGCGTTGTATGTGTGTTCACTTGTGTCGTGAACATGATCTTACATATTCTTGGAAATAATGTTATGTTTGATACTGTAACAATTTTATTTGTTTTTAATTATAGTTTGTGGAATATCCCACTGTAGAGAAAACATATCACACCTTTCTTACGACAAAATGTTTCGTTTTTCTACCTGCCGATGCATTTTGTTCATTTTTTTGTTGCGAGTTTATCACCTCTCTGGGAAACAGGCCCTCGTGTCTTTGCGAGGATTAAGGGTTAAAAAATATTGTTTTTTAGATGACCCCCTGACTCGAAATGCTACACAGTACAATACATCATGACGGTCATTATAAGTTGTACTGTGAATCAATTCGAATCGGGGGTCAGCTTAAAAACAATATTTTTTAACCCTTAATCAAAGACACGAGGGCCTGTGGTATAGTGTGTAAATTCAGTTTCCCTAACAGTGATATTACTTGAACAGTCCGCGTAAAATCCATCGCCCCAACTCATTCTCTCATGAACAATCCAACACATCAGAAAAGAGCGTAACTTACCATTGGAAGAGTTCGAGTTGTATATTGTAATGGATCCGTTCTCACACATATCACTCTGCTCCATGTCAATGTCTGTCACCTTTAGTATCACTGTTTCAGTCTCAGATTCTGTATTGATGACCCATGAGCAGCTGAGCTGGATATTGGCGCTACGCAAATATTAGCATAAATCATATTCATGCTCCTATGAATCACATAGGGATGCAAAGATCACATACCGTTCTCGAAAACAAAGTGGTTACTAAAGCTTGGAACATATGTGTCTTGACACTAGACAGCTTTATTTTAGGTTTGCCCTATGCGTCATACCTGAAATAGTTTTGAGGGTATCCAGGAGATGTTAGATGGGTTAGTGTCCCGACCGACGTCAGTTGGCCACCGCATTCTTAAAAGAAATGTGAGAAATGAGACTTGCTACAATATCTTTGTACTATGTATAACCTGATTCTTATCACCCATTAAAGAAGGAAACGTGTAGTTTTATTCTTTTCTCCCAAGGATTCACAAGTGTATAAATGTCGACATTGACTTACATAATGATAAGAGACTGTATTGTGTATTGTAAGAGTGAGTGAGTCAGCAATAGTCCAGATATATGGGCGGGCTGTAAACAATCGAGTCTGGACCAGACAATCCAGTGATTAACAGCATGGGTATCGATGTGTATTGTAGGTTCCAGAAGGATGTGAGGTGAGGTTCCAGAAGGATGTGAGGTTCCAGAAGGAACCTAACATAGGCCTGTTTACAGACTGACTAGCTGGTACAGCTGGTACATTGCATGACCAATAGTTACCAATAGAAATACCTTCACTTTTCTATAGTCCTCCTTTCAAACGTATTTTGTTTTGTTACTAAACCTGCCAAATATTAAAACTACTTACGTGGGACTGCGTACACTTGTATATGGATCTTTGTCACTGTGAACGTATAGCCCTGCTCCATGTATATATACAGAGTCCTGCCACTACTCACTATAGACATCTTTTCATTCGGACATATTTCCGCCAGCAGTGGGTCGGAGCTGTCCTGTCCTGGAAAAACATATATGAAACGTTCTGATGTTAATGTTAGGGAAATTTTGGACATAGATAGACACGCGTAGCAAAAAGGAACGAAATCCGACGATAAAAAATCTGTTTCTTCTTTTGTGCATCAGGTGTACATGTGTGTGCGCGTGTGCGTGTGCGTGTAGGGTATTATATTTTCTGGGAATTCTATCCCAGGTGTTTTGTAATGTTAATTTAGTTACTCATTATTTATTCAAACATTTTACTGTAACAACATACCATCGTATATAGCTAATGTTGTAGTCGGGCATCCGGTGACGTTGTATGGGTTCATAACCTCCATCACGACATTATGTCCTTCTGCAGCCTGTAGTCTCCACCAGCAGCTGAAATATTTAGTAGCCACTGATATTCTATGTAGAAATTGTTATATTCCTCGGGAATTGACTGTTCTGGGCCAAGTAAGCGGCTGTACCTTGTGTCGTACACTAAATTATACGCTATAATGCCTCAACGCTCTGAGCATTAATTCACATAAATGCCTTTGTGTAAAGTGCATTTTGTTCAACAATGTATACAGTCATGTTCTTTTCGACAAAGCTATGTGATTTTTTCCCCATAGGATTTTCAGTGAATCTCCAAGAGCATATGAACGTTGGCCTTATGCTGATTGGCATATTTCTTGAAATAGACATTGTTTTCTCTGTTTTCGAAGATGTTTTCTAACAATGTGGCATCGTTTAATGATCATGACATCAATACCGATTTAATGTGACGACCTAATCTTGAGATCAGGAATTCAAAAACTCACGTTTCAACACTTTCTCAAAAACCGACTTTTCATAATACAAAGAGTAACCTACTCATAATTCGAAATAATAATAGTGTATGTTTGTTGTTTAACGTCCCACTCAGCACTATTCAAGCTCTATGACTGTCAATCATCGCCTCTGTACCGCATACTGATTGACAATGAGCATAAATCTCTGCCCTTGGAATTCATTTAATCCTTTCGTACGAATGGCTTGGGTTGATGAAGGCTGGTGGTTGTCCCAACTTGGGACAAATACTTGTAAGTCACTCGGAAAGGATATTAGTAGCTGCTCGCTTGATATTGAAATGTGTATTCCATTCCTGTCATAGAATCACTCCTTACATGTATATGTACATGTACAAACAGCAATATCACCTTTCGTTAGACTGGTCGAAATTTGGCATGAAGAGGTATTGAATGGCTTCAGTTGCGTTGATTTCCCAACTGCATGTACCAGCATCTGGAATACATAAGATACTAAATGTACACAGGCATGTATGTATTTTCAATGGAGATTGCACTGAGGACCTTCTCTTCACTTTCTCCACTTGGGAGAAATGTCTGTTCAATCAAATCAGTTAGAACAGGCTCTGGGGTTTTTTTTGCTTTTGTTTTTGTTAGTTTTTGTTGTTTTGTTTTAGGTTGTTGTTTTTAATAGGGGGTAGGTGAAGACGTAACTTTTAAAAATTAAATAGAACTGAGTAAGGCTTAGTTACGAAATATATATAGCAAAATTGAACTCCATATTCAAATACATATATGAATGCATAAACGCATGCATTCTCTTACCCTTCTGTTTAGAACAACAATATGTTAATTGCTGCATAACACCACACAGGAGCTCCAAACAAGACAATCAAGTTAGTGATGGACGAGAAATACATTCCAGTGATAGCGTTGTTTCTAGTTATGTTGAAACTAAAGCAACATGGTAATTGTGAATTGCATCTGCCGTGTACAAGTACAGGGATTCTGTTGTTTATACCAGCGGTGAAAGCGTTCGCTCGTCACGCCGAAGACCCGGGTTCCATTTTCCACATGGGTTCATTGTGTCAAGACCGTTTCTGGTGTCCCCCGCCGTGATAATGCTGGAATATTGCTAACAGCGGCGTAAAACCATACTCACTAACTCACTGTAGTTTATAATTAATGACGAAACGTTTAAGAGACATCAACGCAATATATCATTAAATGCACATTTTATCTGCTTAGCCGCTCCACTAATAGTGGGGGTAGTGTTTTTAAACAATATAAAAAATGTATTCTCACTGTTTCTGTTGAGATTCATTAGAAGTTCATAACAGTGTATATAAAAAAATAATCAGTTGTCTGGAAGTTATTTCCCAATTGCGCAAATCGATGCTCATGCTGTTGATCACTGGATTGTCTGGTCCAGACTCGATTATTTACAGACCGCCGCCATATAGCTGGAATATTGCTGAGTGCGGCGTGAAAGTAAACACACTCACCCACTCTGGAATTTATCTTTTAATGAAGGGACTGGTGTTATTTAAATGCTTTTGGAGTCATGTTTAATCAAAAATCTTCAGAAACAGGTATATACTAATCCTGCATGTTGTTACAACATGGACTAGTATATACCTGTTTCCGACAATGTAGATATTCAGGGGATATTTAGGATGGGTAACTGCATGTCTCCTAACCTATCTAACAGTACATCAAGACCACCAGTTGTGTGACCTGCCTCGGATGCTTGGCCATTGTCAGGTGAATATTATTATCACCGATATTACTGTTGAAACTACTGTTATTATATGCATCCTGGTGTTGCAGTTGTACCTCAGTCTGTTGTGTAAAGTCATTGTAATTACCTTGCAGTAAATTGTACTGAATTGTAGTGAGTGAATGTGTGTTGTTTTACGCCGCTCTTAACAAAATTCCAGCATCACAATGGGTGACATCGGAAATGGGTTTCACATATTGTACCTACGTGGAGAGTCGAATCCTCCGTCGCATTTAATACCACCCCCACCCCCGTACAGATATATAGACCGAGTCAATTTTGTAGACTTGTTAATTTACAACCCGTCATTGCGTCATTGTTGGTTTCTTGGGCGTCTATGTCTATTCATGAATATGTGAATCAACATCAGAACCATATTAATAACATGTTCAAGGGACATTTATGACCATGTTTTCTATGTACACCACACCATTAACAGTGCTCGATAACAAGTGACACAAGCTGTTCAGGACACATGCAAATAAATACACATCAAGGCCTACCTGTGAGGTAAACCAGTGTGGCGAGAAGAAGTCCTAAAATTGCCTTTTTCTGGAGCAGCATGTTGTCTCTGAATGTCTACCTGTATTAGTTGATAGACTTTCAAACCAAAGGAACATCGACAATGTCATGACATTTCCGTGTATCCAGTACTATTCCTGCTCATGTGTGTATTAACATAGCGTTGTATCCAATGGCTGGTTAAACAACATCCAGGTGAGCATATGACTGTCACAAATTTCACAATCTATTTACAGACCATAGTGACCTAAATGTTTTCAACTCCTGTCCGTTATCTTCAAGTTCACTCATGTTGGTTGTGCTGTAGGCCGTATGATAAGGTTTCAAAATGGTGTAAGTTACCTGCATGCATGTATGCATGCATGCATGTTTGTATGTATTTATGTATGCATGCATGCATGCATGCACGCTTGTGTATGTATGTTTGCATGTGTGTATGTAACAATCACATGTACCATTTACAGAAAGACTAATAAAACAATAAATGTCAAGGAATACATAGATTATTGTTCACAGACATAACAAGATTTGAATTATTACTAATAATTGTCCACAACAACAGCAAAGTCACACCATTCTTACCTGCGAGATGTAATCACAAGGACAAGCTTTTACTAAGCCTGCAAAAATGTCTGATTACACAGTTATTAAACATCCGAACAGCCTATTAATGATGAAAAACCCCTCGTTCATCAATTGTTTCATGTCTTTGCTGTCTAAGACTGCAAACATCACTGTTCCAGCTAAATGACGGTGATAAGCACACAAACCAGTCCAGTCAATTCAGTTGATGACATCAGGAGTATCCCAGCTGGGATGCGATATGATGTATGAACCAAATCTGACTACCTGAAAACGTGAACAGATTATAGGGTGTGTCCAAACATTCAATACGTACAGAATAATTTGTACCAAAAAACTACAACGCATATTCATCATTATGCAAGAACAAATGAACAAATAAGTATTGTGTCATCTACAACTACATGCATATCTATGTAAAATAACTTTGAAACAATAAAAACAAAATATGATTATTCAACGTATTAGGAAGAATGAACGGTGTGGTGTAAAGGATGGCATGAGGGGAGGAAGCAGTGAAAGATGTAGTAAAGTTAATAGAAATCACACATAAAAAGACTATTGTCAACACAGGTAAATATGTGTCACATGATATTGAAATATTGATTCGAATTGCTTATCTCATGAGCTCCAACAATAATTTCAACACAAGCAGTTATTGTGACACTTACAATCAAATAGACCCGAATCAAACTGCAGTCTGAAGCCTTGGTGTTCAATGCTTTTGTCCGAGTAGAAGCCTATCCGTACATAAGGCCCTGAGCTGATCAAGGTGGGAGTGTCTGATCCACAGAACCGACCCAGCTCACTGGAACACTCTGTTTGTCCTGAAAATAATATTATAAAATGAGTGGTAGGTTTCTAGATAATAACGCATATGAGACCAATGAAAGACAAGTCTTAGAGTATTAATTTGCATACCATCATGAACAGCCACAAAGTCGTGGCACTTAGTTGAAGATGTAGAAGTGGCTTCTAAACTAGTGTTGAGTACTTGGATCCGAATTCTTGAACCACCCATTGCTTGGAGAATCCAGACACATTCCATGTCGCTGCCAATTGAAGAAATAATATATACCCATGCTCCTAAGGAATGACTACATATAATATCCTTTCCATAACCCTACGAAACCGCTGCAACAACCAGAGGACATCGTACGCCTTTAGCCATATCAGAAGCATGTGTTTGTGAATTTCTGTTGTTGATATCAAGTGTACGTTTATCTTGAACACAACGGTGACACCCGTTACAATGACATGTAATTGGAAGTCAAGTTTTCTCTTTAGCAACACAGAATCAAATAAGGGGATTCCATCGGACCTGCAGGTCTTTGGTGTTGTAACCCAAAAACTGTTAAAGGAAGAGTCCGAGGCTTTTTGAAATCTTGACATAACAAGCATCACTAGTCACTATTTGTGAAATGTGGAGTGCTATTTAAGTTACGGTTCAAAAGATAAATAAGTGGAAGGTATTGTCTTTTCATCAATATTGAAAGATATCAAAACGACGACACACTTGATATATAAAGTTGAACGTCTGCGCCACAATAGCGTGTTCTGATTCAGCAAAATCGAGCAAACATTCGCTCTCGTATGCATAAAGAAACAGGGGCTCCATTCACGAAGCAACCTTTACTAAGGTTAACTTTAACTCCCAGGGTACTTTAGTGCTTTGTGAAAGGAGGGCCTGGTCAGTAACAGATATGGCCTCAGTGTCCCATCTCAAAATGTACATTTATCTATGAGAAATAAAACCATTTCTCAAATCAAACGCAATCTCTTCTGTAGAATTCAGAGTCATTGAATGAGTGAAAAGTCCTTGAAAAATAATCAAGAGGAAACTGAATTCGCATCTAGATACAATTCAAATATATAACCTTTGAAGTTCAGCACTAAACATATAGTTTTCTCAGTACATTTCAGATGAAGTTTGCTCTCATCGTCGCATTAAATATGATGACGATTTAATATTATTACCTTCGGTAACCATGAGGGTAACCCGGAGATACCAGTGTTTGGATTCGAGTTAGGAAGCTCATGACGTCAACATTCCCGCCGCAGGAGTCAATCTCTGAAATGATCAAATCAATCAGTGATTCAGTTCCCATCCTATGAATATCTATCGGGGTTTTTCTTTGCTGTGGCTGTGGAAAATTTACCGAATTATATGTACCTTAACTTAACTTCTTAAACAGTTGTGTCATTTACGTTTCAGTAATTTCGATATAATTAAGTTTTATTGATTCTTAAAACAATGGACACGTAGGGGCAGTCTTCCATGGATGATACGCCACACATGCGTCCAAGCTATCGGTGGTAAATTGCTAAAAGCAATGTTCACACACATAAAACTGTACTCACACACGCACGTACGAATTGCAGACAGACAGACAGACATTTTTATTCAGAATTTAAGGCCTCATGGCCCAGAGTACATCACAATAGCGATAATACATTGCATTGTATTTCGTAATCTATGTATATTTTAAAATGTTAAAATATTTCATAACGATGAACATACCATTGGTTTGGAAGAACTTGGCTTTGAATCCTCTGAAAGTTGCATACCAATCAGCATAAAACTGCACAGTCATAACGTGTCCACTGCTCTTGACCTCTGGTGTTTTTTCATTACACCATGTTGCCAGCAAGGGAGACTTAACAGAAGGACCTGGATGGAAGTGGACATGTATAAAGATGCTCGAATCTAGACGTGCTCGAATCTAGACGTGCTGGATACAAACTACGTGCAACTAGTATCTGACAGATTACTTGATAGACATTTCTTAAAGTTTGAAGGATGACAAGACGAAAAACACATTTACATTAACAACTTCTATATTTTACCGTTACAGCAACGTTTTGACATAGATCCCTAATCAAGAAGGGACAAATATCTACTTTGGCATGTGATAGCATGCAACACTCGTGTCAATGTATGTACGCAAAGAAACTAAAACTGCCGTTAAATTTGATAATTTTAGTGAATAATATTGTCAGATATACATGTTTATCTATGTAGTCAACGTACAGTCGTTGTATCTTATGACTTGATGCAATTGTTATAGGTATTGTACCATCGAAGGCTTTTCCAAAGTCGTGGTTACATGTCAGGCCATATTCGACTCCGTCATCTTCAACAATAAGCTGCACCTTCATATAATCCAGTTCTGCTTTTATTGTCCAGACACAAGAATCATTGCTGGAAGACAGAGGCAAGGATACAGCCATAAAACAGGGGAGGGTATTGAGTATCAACATCCATACTGAATGTAAACATTCCTCATCATTCAATGATCTTAGAGATGCTTTACATGCTCAGTAGACACATCGTTGCCGAAACAAGGCTATACTCACAAGAACACTACCAAGAATATAGATTAGTATGTGGCTTACTCTCTGTATCCGTTCGGATAGCCTGGGGTTTGCAAGTATTGCGGCTTGTCCGTCGCTGTAAGTGTAGTGTTTCCGCAAGTGTGAACACTGGTCGCATTCTCTGAAACTATGATTAATATAAAGCTATGTTTGAGTAGCTATGGCTATCCAACTACGAGATTAACATAATGTATTGTCAATGGCGAGTCAGGCTTATTGTAGATAAACTACAATCCTAAACGTGTGATAGAGTATTGTCTAGTATTTGGGGGAATTAAACATTTTAAAATTGATTGAATTGATTTTACACCCAAATTGTTTTCCCTTTCAGAAGAGTCAAGCAGCGAAAGAATGTATTTCATCAATACCCCAGAAGGTCATACTATATATTGCAGTTTGGGCATTTAAGGTTGAGATAGACGTTTGGGTTAAACATATTTTATTGTCCAAAAGACAACGGGACTAGGCACAAGTGCACCACTCATGGTCGCCTTCTCCTTAAATACAGTTGAACATGGTATGACATAATGGGGATGTACAATTTACAGTGGAAGCTTGACATTGAGGAAACATATGCAGTGTTGATATACATATATATACAGTGTTTTACAGGATATACACAGTGTTTTACAGGATATATACAGTGTCTTGGAATGTGGAAAATGTGCATAACATCTTTAACAATGTTAATGTAAGTACAAAAACATGATAATCGCATTTAGCGTTAACCGCTATATTGTGATATTGTTGGCGTCGCCATATCACGTGCCTTTGTTTATAAACATGACCTTGGCACGCGCAGCTGCAAACATTACGTCAATACATGACGTCATTAGTTTCTACGTCATCACACTACGCGACAGATAAAGGCGAGTTACCTCACTTCAATTCTGAAATGTAGGTACAAAAACATAATAATCAAGACTAACAAGTTTTAACCGACGACTTAGTGATAACAGTGCGATTGGGATATACTGATGAATTAAGACAATGTTCTTACCAGATAGCGAAACCAAAGCAGATACACAAATACACATCAGACTGATGCCAAGACTCAGAATGTTTTCCATGTTTAAATTCCCGAATGAGACGTATATGTAGCCGTGTAGGATATAGAAATGCCTTGATTGTACATTTATGTGACTGTGAGTTTTCTATCGCAACCTTAATCTTTCTGTCTTTGGATAAGTCAATCTGGATAATCTGATCTGCATGATCAGACTAGCGTCTGGTCTTGTCCACACCTGAACATCAAGACTGAAGATAAAGGCTGAGACACTCTAACTAAACAACAACTGCGAATAATAGCATGGGAGTTTTTCTGGGCTTGATATTAAGTTGCTGCTACACATGATATACAATATAAGCGATCGCTTTTCTGCAAGAGAAATTTACCTTACAGCGCGATATTGGTGAGGGATTAACGTCGCTTTGATTTATTTAAATCACTATTCATCTTAGTGATAATAGCGAAAGCCAGAATCATTCTCCCCGCGGAGTTTACAACTCAACCTGCAGTAGTCATACTGCTATCTCAGACTTCCGGGTACCCATTCATTGCTCCGCGTCACTTGCCAAAGGAGAATCCATTAAAGGGGACGGTCCCAAGACTCCTAAGTATACTCGCCTGACAGATACCGTTTCCCTGTACAGATAGAACATGATCAGCCCCCACCCCACCCCATATCATATAAAATCATATAGACGAGGGAATATTTAAGGAAATTTAAGTACTACCGGCCAACCACTTACGTCTTACAAGATTAAATTGACCACGTAGTGATAACACCCCGATTACGAGCTATGTATACCTTGGGAAAGCCGGTGTTGCTGATAACGCAGCTATTGTGTGTGTGATAACTGCTGTCGTCACTTCTTTGACTGTCACTATTTGTTACGAGGGAGGGGTGCAAAGAAAGGAACAGTCAGGTGTGCGAGAAAGGATGGAGACTGCGCAGCATGCACAGCACAGGTAAATGAATTGTCGGCACTTGTGCACGTGCTCCGCGTACACCTGGCTGTTCCTCTCTTTGCAGTCCTCCCTCGTAACAAAATTTATAGTGAACTGTGTCAAAATTTTAATGATAGTTTGTTAAACAACTTTTTTTTTATTTTTAGGACATAAATTCTGCAAACAAATCACAGAGTTTGTCTGATGTTATGATCAGTGTTTCATTGAGTATTATATGTTTAGTAGTTTTCGAGTTAGATTGCAATTCATCAGTCCGATTTTGTGCCAAACGGACTATAATGCTCATTGTTTCTTTACTTGATCTAATAAATTTTTTAAGCGTATCGTCTTCAAAGTTGGAAGTAGGCCTGTTAAGTATTGAAAGGTTCCAGATTTTGATGATATGACTGAGATTTTTTCTTCCTTCTCGATCAGATTCTGGCAGCTCCAGGTGCAGAAACCTTTCTCTGCTCTCGAGCATGGTAGCTCCGATTTAAAGTGATGAGATTTGTCGATATCGCTGCCGTAAAATATGCCCTAGCAAATGTTAAAACGCCTCGCATTTGTGCTACCAATTCGAGTCTACCAATACATTTATCATCACATTGCCTTTTTTTCTTGGAATGATTGTGCACAAGACCCCCATGCCAATATCAGTGACACGTGAAAACTGAATCAGGAATCAGGAACATGGTAAAGGTCAGTGATTTTCAAAGGCAATAAGGGGCGGTGGCACTGCTTAATGGTTAAAGCGTTTGCTCGTCAGGCCGAAGGCCCGGGTACACCGGGTACCAAATGGGTACACTGTGTGAAGCTCATTTTCTGGTGTCCCCGCCGTGATATTGCTGGAATATTGTCAAAAGCTGCGTAAAGCCATAGTCAGTCAGTCAGTCAGTCAAAGACAATAACGACAGACATTTAGAAGTTGTAAGCATAAGGTACTGGAATGATGTATAACGTTTGGAAGAAAATCATACATACAAGTATACGGTTGAGTAGTAAAGTTTGAGGTTACATGGTGACAGTAGAGACGCCAGTAGTTGTGTATTAGTCACGCTGACAAATACAAAATAGAATAGCGAGCTCTGCCACGGCGAGCAACCGCCGCTCACTAATTAAACACTGAGATGAATGAAATGGAAATTGTCCAGCGCTACTTTGCTAGAAGAGTCCAGAACCTCCACAAGAGATCTCCTACAGTTGCTACAGCTCAGGTACTAGGGCTATGGTCAATGCAAGGCAGAGTAGATAAATCAAAGCTCCTGTTTTGGGGCCGACTCTGTCGCTCAGCCAGTACCAGTATTGTGAAGCCTATCATGTATTTGAGATTCGCGGAATATATGTCTACTGTGGTAAAAAGTACAAGATCGATTACCCATGACCTCTTGAATGCAGCTCACAAATATGGATTTTCAGATATCATTGACACCTTCATGACAACAGGAGAATTTCCATGCAAAAATGTATGGAATTCCATGGTACAGAAGGCTATATGCCACCACGAACACACTGAATGGAGAAATAAACTCCAAGAGCGTCCAAATATGCAGAGATTTGGTGCCATTCATACGCGCCTCTCTCCTCATCGTCTCTGGAACCTGTGTTTGTGGTATAACATGGCCACCCCTCCTGTCTATGCTCTGATAAAGTTGGGTATACTGCCCGTCACACTTGGACTGTGTCTTATATGCGAGACTGAAAGTGAGGACATTGTAAAACATCAACTCCTATACTGTGACAAGCTGGTAGAAAACAGGAACGCACTGAGCGAGCATCTGTTTGATAACGTGTCTCTTAACACGTATATTAGACTCGAAGATGCTGAAGACGAGGTTAAAATCCTCACATACCTTGGTTCCATTACTCGGTTGTGCAGGACATGACTCTGGATAGCTGGGCTAGGTTCATGAGTATTATTGCAAAACGCATCAGTGCATGGAACCTAGCCAGCATCTCTGTATTTATAAGAATAGCATGCAATGCTTTGTACATATTGCCCAGTGATCATCTGTTGCCAAGAGCTATGATTTTTTATGTTCTGTTGAATTTTTCAAATATTATTGAACTTTCTATTTTGTCACAAATGTGTGTTATGCTCTAAAAATATATACATAACTGGATGTATAACTCATCAAACCATTGGTGGAAATAAAGAACATTCATTCATTCATTCATTCATTCATTCATCGCCGCGTAGGGTAAACACCAGCCCCGGGAAGCTAGCGAGAAAAGTACACAGACGAGCGTCCACAGATTAAACACATCGTCGCTTATGTCAATCACCTGCCCCAGGAAACTACCGAGAAAAGTACACAGACGTCCGATATCGAGACATAGCTAAAAGTATTTTAATGAGACAGCAGTTAATTAATTAGATATACACGTGGTCTTATAGTATGAACAGAACAACCAAACTGTAGAACTTGAAAATGACAATTAAATGTGTAATGATATCGGCAATTATGGGTTAAGAGTGACATGAGTTTGAATATCTCGTCGAGGAGTGTCACGCGCGCACCAAGGCCATTCGAGGGTTCCTAGGCTTTAGTGTAAAATGTCCTACCTGTGTGACGCGTGTTCTGGTCTGCTTCCAGTGGACGCAAACGGTGAAGATTATGAAGGTCTATTTACTTGTGTGTATTGCAAGACCAAAACTGAAATACACATACCATCGTTTTTTAACGCATAGCAACAAGTGTGTTGTGAAGAAAGGGTGTCTTCAAAGATTCACTCCTGCTCGTGTAAGAGAATGCGATACACGGACTAATCATGATATACAAGAAATTTTGGTGGCAGTACAGAAACTCATGATAGACTGATGTCATTCCGCTAGCGCCGTCGGACACTGTACATATCAACCAAAGCTCCTAATATTCTCGTGTGAATACATATACACAACTGTTCATCAATCATCAACAACCAACGAAAGGTACTTTTAGGAAGTGCATTATTTATTTATTTATTCATCTTCATTTTTATCTTGAACTTATAGGAAGTTTGTTTTGTGCCCGCATCATCGCTCTAAAACGTCATAAACATCAAACGAGGTCTTCATCAGGGACGCTGTAAGGAAAAAAGAAACATGTTCAAAGATCTTATCATGCATGGGTTCCCACAAAGCCATCATCTAAAGCAATGTCCTATATACACACGGATCCTAAGCAGAACACAGAAAAACCGAACCCTACGAGGATTACTAGGGACACGGGATTGAGCGATCATCAAAATCACAAAAGCTTTGAAAATGGGACACCGGAAAAAGATGAGGTAAGACATATTTTATTAATACGCAATGTGAGAAGTTTCGTTTGTCATATTAATATCATTAGTCTGTGTCGTAGAAGAAATCTTCGTTTCATGGGAAGGTGATATGTTAAATATTCGAATAATTGCGTTAATCACTACATTATTAGATATATTAATATCACCAACCTCTGTAGTAGAAGAGATGATAATCGGTGTGTGTGTGTGTGTGTGTGTGTGTGTGTGTGTGTGTGTGTGTGTGGACGACATGTGAGATGAATCTAGCATTATTTTACATGAACAATTATATCCTATACGTAGATATTCCCCCACCTGAGAACACAGGTACGCGTTTGAGAAAATGAGCTCTCTGTCAAACAGATGAAAAAAGTCGCTGGCGTAGAGATTGTGGTCCATGATTTGTACGAATATCACAACAAGAATGATGCGAAGGAAGAGTATCGAGCTAATCACGACTTATAAACCCCCACGCGTACTAATCCGTACAACAATGGAATGGGTAACATTACTCCCGCTAAAACTTCAAGGACCAATTTCCTACTTGCGGTTAATTACAAACACATTATGTCTCTGTTGTCACACCTCACGCACGAGTTAGCATTCCCCACTTCAACCCGAATCGTCATTAGTTAGATTTCAAAGAACATTCGCGCGTTGAAGAGAAGTAGTATTTAGTAAATACAAACACTGCTAGACATGGTAAACGACAAACACTGTAGTAAACCAAGTAACGAAGACAAACACATCCCCACCTGGTTAAAACAAAAATCCATCTCTCAGCGAGTGTTGTATACAATTCGTTTTTCTCAATCGAATGACAAATGTCGAGTGGAGAACCCTACTAACACACAAGATAGCAATCCCCACTTTCGTGTGATGGTTAGCTTTTGGACTAGATGAATATTAACGCGTTTAAA